CAAAGCGGTTGCTACAAATACCAAAGAGGCTCGTCGGGACCGGTTATGTGACACTGCGCCGGTGCACATTGAAGCCTGTGGTTTGCGCACATTTCGGCTGCAGCGCACATTTGGGGCTGTTTGTTGTTGGAGGCCCGAGCCAATGCAGTGCTGTCTGGTGGAGGGGCCGTGCAGCCCGCCGCCGCTGCAGAGGTGTGTGGACCATATGTTGGTCTCAGGAGGAGGTGGTTCCCACAGAACCCCTGTGCCCTGTGTTTTATTTGAATTATGCATTCTCGGATACTTCATGTCATTTGCCACATCCTGAGTAAATATTTATTGGATCTGAGAATTCTGGTGGGCTAGTGTGTTTGCTGAAGTTGTCATGATTATTTACTGTGTACACTCCAGGGTGGATAATCCCGGCTGATTGGTCTCCGGATTGCCCACAACTGGCTTAAACACCAACATATCCGAACCATTGGATTATAAAATACACTATAGATCCAGATTACAGCAGGCCTGCAGTTCTCCTGCACGGTGTCCTCCCCCAAGTCTCTGGTTTTGCTGCAGCAGCGCCCGTGTTGCAACCAAGCGCGGGCTTTGTTGTCACTGTCGAGTTATAGAACAGTGTTTGCAGTGGAAACTTGATAGCAGCGATCGAACATGCAATGAACTGGATCAGCTCTGTGATGATCCAGGTCAGTGCTTCACGGTCCACCGACCGGCAGAGGCATTCGTGGGGGGGACAGAAATAGAACAAAAGCACGAGGGAAATATTTGCTGCCCCCCTCCACCCCCCTTCTAAAAAACATTCACACGCACACACACATTTACTCTGAGCCCGTGTTTGAATTTTTGAGTTAGTTTTCTGTGCTGTCAGCCCGAGATGTTCCAACTGCCATCGCTCAGGCATAAATAAATGCATTATTCACGTGTTCTTGCACCACAGGAACCATGGGAAAGCAGAATAGCAAGCTGACTCCCGAGGTGATGGAGGATCTGGTGAAGAACACAGAGTTTAATGAACACGAGCTGAAGCAGTGGTACAAAGGCTTCCTGAAAGACTGCCCCACTGGCAGGCTGAACCTGGACGAGTTCCAGCAGCTCTATGTCAAGGTTGGTGTGAACCGCGGCTTCTCTCCTATATCATACATGTAATTATGTCACGGCGGTTTCCCTTCATCAAACCGCTGCTACTAAGTCTTTTTAAAGCCCTGCTTAAATTATTCAACACACATCTCCCCCCCACATTTGCAGTTCTTCCCTTATGGCGATGCATCAAAGTTCGCACAACACGCCTTCAGAACCTTTGATAAAAATGGAGACGGAACCATCGACTTCCGAGAGTTCATCTGCGCTCTGTCCATCACATCCCGTGGCAGCTTTGAGCAGAAACTCAACTGGGCCTTCAACATGTATGACCTGGATGGTGACGGCAAAATCACCAGAGTGGAGATGCTGGAGATAATCGAGGTGAGGGATTACGGAGACATTAAGCCCTCGCTCATCAGGGGACTGGCCATGTTCTCCCTTTTGTTTTCTCCTGCACACCTCCAACGCTTTCAGTGCTCAGGCAGTTTCATAACGACAGAAAAGCAACTATTATATCTGGAGACACAATCAGTGTAGTAAAACTGATGTGTCGCATTGATATTGGAGTATGTTGACATTTTCTGTAGTAATAACTGTGGTGTGTACTTCTGTGCTTTTCAATATTTATTTTATTTTTATCATAAAGATTGAATAGATAAACTTAATCCGGCCCATCCGTCATGTTCAACATGTTTTGATGGAATGGATTAGATGTTATTCAGCACTAGTAATTCTATTGTAGCGTTTAATGTTACATTTGTTATTTTTCTACAGTCAAAGAAAGTTAAAGAGGGTTAATTTGACATCCGTAGTACATCTATTGTCTCCACGTGGGGTTCAACATGGCGACGGCTGAGCCAGCGGTTACCAACTAAAAGAGTGCAAACAGTGCTGACAAATCTAACAGTGCTTCCGTTATGGAGAACTGGGCGGTACGCCTCATCAAATCCTTGTGTCCTATCAGCGTTCTCAGATTTAACCGCCTTATGCGAGTAGCAGGCCGGTGGGGCAACTTTAATATGACGCTGTGAGTCATAACACACAAATATTAACATGTGCTAAGAGCAGGCATGGCCAGTCCAGCCACGTCAACAAAGCGCAGAGATAATCAAGGTAACACACGGAGGTCGAGGGACTTTGTTCTCGGGTAATTCTTTGTATTTTTAACGTAGCACCTTTAAAGTGCTCTCTGAAGCTGTCATTCAAACTAACGGCCATAACCACTAACCATTTATCTTTTATATTTAGATATTTTAAATGGGTATTTGTTACTTTGTTGATCAGCTATTATTGTTAAGCTATTATTAAGACTGCACTAAATATATCCATATATATTCTTTTTTTACAGTCTGTAGTCCTACTTTTCTTAACACAAATATGTGAAAAAAAATCATGTATTATAAATCAATTTAGAAATGAGTTATTGTTATTAGTTATTGTTATTTAGTTGAGCTTGAAGTTAAAAAGCTACACAGTACCCCTGGCTGGGAACTACTGATGAACAAATGACCCATGCAGACTTTACTGAATTACATAAGAACCAACACTACACTCTAATTTCTCACTACGCCTCCATCACCCACAGGCTATTTACAAAATGGTGGGCACTGTGATCATGATGAAGATGAACGAGGATGGGTTGACACCACAGCAGAGGGTGGACAAGATCTTCGGCAAAATGGATAAGAACAACGACGACCAGATCTCGTTGGACGAGTTCAAAGAGGCGGCAAAGAGCGACCCGTCCATCGTGCTCCTGCTGCAGTGTGACATGCAGAAGTGAGCCGCCTCCACGTCAGTAGCCCACACGCTCCGGACAGCAGCACATGTTTTAATGTCTCATTAGGTTCTCTGCCATTTCCACAGGAAAACTAAAAAAAAAAAAAAAACCTAACAACAATGCTTGGACGATTTTTCAATGAACTCGCTTCTTGTGGTTGTATGCATGAGAATGTCAAATGCTGAATAATTTTGAACATAGCTATAAGATATCATACATTTCTATTTCAAACCATGCCAATGTGATTTGTGCATAGTAACCCTATACGTTCTCATTTAACCGTGTAGCTTGTAAATCAGTGAAGCACTGCATTCAATTACGTTCCTGCAGTATTTAGGATCCCCCAGTGTTCACTGCTGCTACTACTGTACGCTTTACATAATAGTAACAAAACAATAACTCCTATGATAATTGTAACTGTCTCTACTATCCAGCCTTGTTGAGCTCTTGGAGAATAGAGGCTCCTGTCCGTTCCAGATGTTTTCACACGTTGGAACCAAGAAGAGTAGGTTCTTTGCATGCATATATTACTTGTCAGAAAAATATAATCTCTTACCTTTTGCATCTTTAGGTGGTTATAAAAGAGAAACCCTATGGACTTCATTTAGTATTGTTGCATGGGATGTACAGTGTGTGACCCATTGGACCATTAGTTCAACTCCAGTAATGTGGGAGCATGATTCCTTCCAATTGATACACGTTTTTGTGTGAAACCTTTTTTTTAAAAAGATATTTGGATTGTAGTTGTGGGCTGATCTCCGAGGAAGAGCAATTGTAATATGTTTTGCTTCAGTGACTTCTGGGATGAGCAGAAATAATCTAAGGAGCAGCTTTATTTTTATTATTCTATTGTACTGCTGCCACTTATTCTAGAGAAAAGAACCAAATTATAGCTTTCTTTAGGCACAGTACTCATGCATTATTCCCTACAAAGATCCAAAATTGACTTCTCATTCAGGCTGCGCATTTGATTTAGGCTAAAAATAACTGAACTCAGTACATATCAACATGTTTACAGTAAGAAAGAACCGTGCAAAATGAGTACATGAGTAGCTTTGGACCTCGCTGCTGGGAGCTCTCTCTGCAGGGACCCTGTGAGAGGGGCTCCACTTCCAATGCAGCAAAAAATAGGAAACGGGAGGGGGGAAAAAAAGACTCTCATATGTTTACTGGACACACTGCATTCCTACTTATACAACTTTTTTGTAAGGAGAAACTTTTTATTGAAAAGTCTCATCTGCTATTCTGTTTGAAACACCATTAAAGCTGCAGGACCCTCAAGAGAGGCGCTTTAACGGCTTTTGAAAGAGCGTTTCAGGGTAACACGGCAACCGGACGACAATGTTGGTTCACGTTATTGCAGAAATTCTCTTTCAACAGTTTTACTTCAACATTTCTAGGCTATGCAAGCATGGACCAAGTGTCTGCTTGTAGTCCACTTACCGTTGTGCAGGTTGCAGAAGCTTTTCACTGTTCTGTCTCTCACATAACACTCACGCTATTAAAGTCTATATTATTTATACATTTCAGTCCGGTCACTATGTCCGATTCTTTGTCTCGTAAATGTTTATATCAAATATGAAAAAATCATAATACAAGTGACTGTATTATTTTATACATGTGGCATGTGTTGCACCCAAAAATTTATTCTGTAGTGATTAAAATGAATAAACCGTCACCAGGCTTTTTCAAAAGACGCCGTCTAGCAGGTGTAATTCATGGGAAACTGAGGACCAACCTGCTGCAGAGTTTAAGACTGCGTTGAATGTGTTGATAATAGGCGTGAATGATGTGCATGAAAAGAGTGACCGATACAAAGGTGTTGTAACAGCTAAGTACAGTAAGCGACTTCTATTTGAACTGTCTGGAGCAACGTTATTATACTTATTAACACTGACTCATGAAGTAAAACTACACTAAATATTACTAAAACATTTTCAGATTAGTCCACTCTTTGAATAAATTAAATGAATGAACTGAATCAATGTGTTATGAAATACCCCAAAATAAGAGTGAGAATCTTTCTAGCGGCCCCCAGAGGCAGAACTCATCTTCACACCCAAACACACAAATTTCATCAGATAAACTAACCGACATCCTTAAGAGCCATCCGAAACCTTCAAAGTGAATAAACAAAAAAAAACGCTTTCAGAACTTGTTATATATTTATAACAAATAGCTTGAATTATAGATGAAGGTGTACTTCCTCACAAACAGAATAATACACAGTAAAAAAAACCACTCTGTTTAACTTAAAACATAAAATAAAATATAAAAAACGCAACAGCTTCTGAATACGTCATAGGCTGCATAGCAGGAATGACAAGACACATTCAAGAACTTATCCCAGTGGAAAAACAATGACATAACTCCAAATCACGTAAAACAATGCTGAATTCTGAAAATATCGACTGTGCACATGAAAATTCATCCTCATCTGTCACTTTTCATGTTTCTGTCATAAGAGCACAGTCTCTTCATCCATCGCTTCACTTTGGCCTCTTTCTGGATCCTGAAGCTGGTGGATTTTGATGAGGCTGGTTTTGGGCAGATTGCTGAAAGATAAACGAGGGTTATTTTATTAGTCATCAAAGACTATTGACACACGGTGAATACAGTCTTTGGTAAAGCATAGAGGGACATATTTAAATAATTTAATAGTTTTATATGTAAATAATTCAACTGTCTATTTGTTATAAATATTTCACTGTCTATTGGTAGGGAACTACCAATCAACGAATCAAATTGAGATATTTCTACAGGAATGATTGAAAGACATTCCAGTAATTAAAGCACTGTATCTAATCAGTTAAAACGCATTGAAATAAAATTGACATTGGAACGGACTACGTTCATAATCAACTTCAGCCCTTATATAAGAAGTAAAGCGAAAGTTACGCGAGACGTAAAGGTTCAGTTGACGTAAATGCCAGAATGTAAACTGAGGAAATGAAGAAGAGCGGCACCTGGTGGTGATGGGAGTGATGAAGATGAACTGTCGAAGGTGCTGCCGCTCTGACAGCTCCAGGAGGAGATCCAGAGAGATTCTGCGATTGTGCATGTCCTACAGAACAGTTGGCCAGAAAGTCAGCGAAAGCCAAAAGTTGATGCCCACCTGGACACACGGACGGTTCTGTGGGCCTACCATGTAGACGTCGAACTCATCGAGGCATCTGAAGGGCGACTCGGTGATTTCCCACAGAGAGAGCATGAAGCAAACCGTAGAGAAGGAGCGTTCGCCCCCGGACAGGGACCTCATGTCGCCCGCACCGTCGTCCTCTCTGCCCGGAGGCGTCACCTTTACGTGTGCCAGAACAGGTTGGTGTGTTACTTATGTTTGTGCACATTACAGCTTCCGGATTGTTACGCAGAAAGTCTTGGATGATGTCTAGAGATGATAATATGTGCTGTTGAACCAGGGGTGACTCCCGTGGTCACTCGGATTCCCTTCAAATTACACATCATTACCTTCATCAGTGTTTTATATAACACTACTTCAATTAAAGAGCTCAATGAGTCTATTTCCATTACTTAAAAAAAAACACAACACAAACAGGGGAACAACCTTTCAGAGTAATTTGTAAAAATAGAAAAAGAAAAAACTGACATACCGAGATTGAGAGCGTCTCATTGTTGTGATCAAAAACCATCGAGCCACAGCTGTTCATCTTTATCAGGAAGTTATTGAAGTATAACTTGCATCTGACAGAGACTGACCTTCGGGGAGAAGACGAATATGAAATAATCAGACTTTCCACTGTCAGTTCAGCACTGTTACCACGTCATGCTGGATTGCTTTCCAAACCCAGTACACGGTTATTTACCTACGCATTATTTTGTATCTGTTCTGCCTGTCTGACATGATGTGATCCAGTTGATCGATGAAGCCCCGCAGGTCTCTCACTTGGTTGGTTTTCTCTCTGTAGAGTGCAAGGGCCTCAGCGTACTCCCTAACGAGGAGAGAAAAGGACATTTTTGTGATTTCAGACGGTGACACGAGGCCAGGTAGTGACGGGCGAGTGGATTGAGGCAGAAACAAGTGTCAATGGCAGAAGTAATCTTTGTGAAGCTTGAGGGCTCCAACTAAAAACAACTAAACCGTCTTGCTACAAACAGTTAATTCTCTAACAATTTTTGTTAGTTAGATAATTTAGCTCATGATACATTTCACAACTCATTGAGACTCAGATGAGAGAGAGAAGCAGGAGACTGAAGGGCCGGCGTGATGGAGGTCAGTGGTCTACAGGTCTAGAGCCCCCCTCCCCTTTCTTGAATCCCACCGACGCCCCCGCTCACCTTACCACCTGCTCCTGCTCGCCGTGGTTGCTCTCGTACACCTTGATTTGCCTCTTCAGCCGAGTGATTTCGGTGTCGATGGTCCTGGTGCTGCCGCTCACCTGCTGCCGCTCGGGGCTGATCTCGGATGCTTTGCCCACACATTCCTGTCATCACACGTAAGGTCACGTGACACTCGGCGTTTTCAGTCTGAATTACCCTGAAGCTAGTAAATCGTAGTTGTCTGTGTAGTTCAAGACTGGGTCGAGCCCCTAAAACCTACTGTAGCAATAAAGCCTCCTATAAATGAGGGAAACAAAACCAACATGTAATCTGTCGGACATTTCGCTCCAGCGATTGTTACCTTTAGCTCTTCTTCTCTTTCAGCGAGCTCAATCTCCATGGCTTGGACGTTGTCTTCATGCGCCTTCAGTTTGGTTTCTAAGATCTTAAGGGTTTGCTCGTGTCTTGCACACTCAGCATCCAGCTTCAGCTGCTCATCCTTCGGGTCAACAAACAGTGATCGGCAACTTTCACCATTTCTAGCCTTCTAAACAAAAGTGATGAAACGAAAGAACTCTACTGCACCTTTAACACCTCCGTCTCCTCATAAAGATGATCAATCCGTTCTCTGACAGCCGAGTACTTGGACTCTACTTCCTCGGCTGCTCTGCGATGCTTGTTGAGCTCTTTCTTTGCCTCATGAACTGTCTGGTTTTCTACCTCCATCTTCTGTCGGTTCTCTTGGGCGACTTCTTCCTGCAGAACGAATGTTAAGACATTAGACGTGCACGTGGTGAGATTTATGTCTGTCCTGAAAGGGGTCGATACAAACGAAACAAAAATGATCACCAAGGTTTTGAGGTCGTCGATGTGCTCCTCGCCAGCACTCTCCAGCTCAGTTATTGATGCCTTGACTTGATTCACAGACACCTGCATTGAAAATAGAAAAAAATAAGCTAAAATGACTTTGAATTGGAAGTCTGTGTGAATGTAGATCCATCATGCACAGCATGAATGTCCACGATCTTTATCTCACGACAAAAGAAAGGAAGCGGAGCATCATCAGGAGAAGACTGAAGGTGTAAAGCAAACGCTTTACATCACGCACCAGAGTCTTCTTCAGGGAGATGACGACGCTGTCCAGATGTCTCTCCATGTTCACGATGTCCTCAGTCACAGAGGTCACGTGGAGCTGAAACGTGGACAGCTTAGCCTGGTGATTCGCCAGATCGGTCTCCAACATGCTGTGACAGGGAGCACCGAATTTCAACTCAAATCACAAGTCTGCATTTACCACATTTTAGAAAACAAGATGCACAATAAAAACAGACAAACCCTTCAAACGCTGTGCGGCAGCCAAGCACAACACACTTCCATCTGACATAAGAGTAAAGATACCATATTGTCACAGTGTGGGTTTGTTCCCTGTTTTATTTTGTAGTTTTTCGCCTCTTGTGTCCCTGGGTTAACTTCACTTCCTGCCTTGTCCTGTCGCCCCCTGTGATTGTCCTGAGAAGCGAAGGCTCCCAGCTGCAGCCTCACATTTACTTAACTGACACCGCCGTGCTTCTCAACTGTCTCTCAGCATGAAAGCAAATGAGTGCAACTTTCAGAATGTCAAACTATTCCCTTAAGTGCAAACTGTTTTTATAAAGCAGAAAGGCAACAAAATATACAAAAAAAGTCATTTGGATTTCCATGAATGTCAATCCAGTCTTTACAAAAAAAGTATTTCCAAATCTATCAGAAAGTTAAGAATAGTTACAAAAATCTACGTGGTTTTACCATTTCAAAAAACCTCTGCAGATATTTTGTTGTTTAATCTATTCAACTTGGGTTAAAGGTGCAAATGAGGGATTTCTATTTGAGGAATTTGTATTATCTATTATGATCTTATTATTATCTTTATGTTATACTATCAGTGGAATACATATTGAGAATAATTCACATCCTTTATTGTAGTTACAGTATTAATGTGTACAGTGAATATGCCACAAGTCCTGTATTAAAAAACATAAAAAGTAAATCAATATTATCTGCAAAATGTGATTAATAAAAATACTAATAGTGATGGAAATCTGTACTCCTTTTTATACTTTTGGGTATTTTTACCTTCAACAATGAATCACATTCTTTAGGATTATTATATATGAGGCACCGTTTATGAGAACCACATTTCTGTAATAGTTAGCTTTGTGACCCTGCATTTCCATCAAATCCAAGATCATTTATGAATAATTTATCTAGTTTAAGGAGAGTTAAGAGTTCTCTTAACACGTGAAGGAACAGTTCAGTCTTAAGTCTATCAGAAATATTTCAATGAGACGCATCTTGAAATAGATTGTTTTCATTGGAAATGATGAGGATGAAAGATCATAAAATATTAACATGATTACCTTATTTCAGTCTCAAGATCCCCACCGAGGTACTTGGCTATGCTGAAGTCGCAGGTGTAATAACGGTTAGAAAACACCTGATCGCCCTCGGCAGTGAAGGCCTCGCGACAGTTTTTAGGAGGCTGACCTTGCTGCATGACCCTCCTCGCCTTGTCTTTATCCTTTGATTCAACACAAAACATCTGGTCAGACACCGTGTGCCACAATGGGTATTAACAGGCACGACTGCACACACTAACTTTGATAATGAGAATTGATTCTATCCCCCTCATATCAATCAGGCAGTTGATGATGACCGGGTTTGTTGCTGTGATTATGTCCAGCACAGAAAGGCATTCTGGATAATGTGCTTTCCTACGAAACACAAGAGAAAGGAAAACTAAATACAAAATGCATCCGGATAAAAGTCGGTGAATCTGAAATGCTGCTGACCGTCCGTGAATGTTGTAAACTTTTTCAGAGAAAGAGCTGACGATGATCTGCGGCCTGTTGCCCTTTGGATAATAGCGACACATCAGCTCCTGGAGGACGGCCTCGTCTTTGTAGTTGTCGCAGCAGAAAGCTTTCATGAAGCTCCGCAGGCAGCACTCCACGGCCACGGCCAGCACGGGATCCTTCAGGCTGATGCACGCCCCTGAGTGCAAATGCAGACGGTCAACTCAGAGTAAGTCCTTTAAAAGACAACAGGGACGAATAATACTTGAAACGAAAATATAGCAAATGAATAACATTTTTGGAGAATACATTTATTCCACGTGCCACGGTCTCAAGAAAAGACGCATGTGTGAGTGAGTTCTCTGAGCATGAACGGAAATGTGCCAATTTTACCAAAATCACAACTATCCAACTCAATCCAATAGAACGAGAGAAAATAAAGTCACCTATTGGGCCAACGGGTCTCTTGAGAAAGCGCCCCGTGGCGTACGCCTCGCCGATGGAGCACAACAGGTCGGGTACCTGATCTCCGAATCGCTTCAGTGTGTTTGATCGACTGGCGAGGATCTGATTCTTCCTCCTCAGTTTGGACTCGTACGCAACGTGGATGTTTTTTTCCTCCAATCTAATCGATGTGAACAGATAAATGTAAAATATTTCATGGGGTTAAACATGAACTGTGCTCTCAAATTCCAACCCCAAAGCAGATATCGTGTTTTGTACCTCAGCTTGTCGCGCTCTTCCCTTCCATTGAAAAGTGCCTGATGTTTGTTCTTAATCTCTTGATTCAACTTTGAGCAATTTGTCTCAAGCTGCGCGAGCTGCTCCTTCAGGCTGGATATTGTCTTCTGCTGTTTTGAATATTCTGTGCTTCCATCCTCGCCAAGGTTTACACTAAAGAGAGCAGGAATAACCTTTCAACTGAGTGCATGTGTTCGTATTGAAGCCATTTTCTCTGTTCTCCCGTACCTTGTTTTTGCCTTATCAATTCTCTCCCGGAGAAGGTTTTGCTCATTCTCCGACTGTTTCAGCTTGTTCAGAGCTCGGAAATAAACCAGCTATGAAGAAACAATGACTTCAATCAATATAAATGTTGTACGTGACACAGTATTATTATTATTATTATTATATTTTCCAATCAGTACCTCCTGCTCCTTGTGAGCTTTGCCAACGACCTTCACTTGCTCTCTCAACCTCAGATTGTCTCGGGACAGAGTCTCTCGTTCCTGCCTCATGCCATCAACCCTGCTCTCGATGCACTGGATCCTCTTCTCTACTTGTGTGAGCTTAGACTTTGTGAAAGATAAGAAAAAGAGCGGATGTATCTTTAAGGATGACTTCTGGCATTCTGAAAAGGTTGGTTTTCTTTCAGTGGAAGACATCTATAAACCGGCGAATGAGTCGGGACAGCTGGTGTCTCTCTTCCCCCGAATGGGGACACCTGTGATCTACCTGACAGAGCTGAAGGTTGTCCTGATGTTTGTGATTATTAACTTCCTTTTCAAAGTCCTCCTTCAGCTGCTGGACAAGCTGCTCCTTCTCTCTGACCTGAGAGCCATAAGAGAAAGAGAGAATTTAAAATGACTCGTATAAGGAAATACGATGTAACTGAAATAAATTTGTTTTGCACGGCGATGGAGTCTTACCAAACACCACGCCATCGCTTTCTTGAGATTCTCCAAAACCGCCTTCATCTCACTGAAGGACGGCAGCTTTTCATACCGCTCTTTCCTCTGGAGAAACTCTTGCTTCAGGTCCTTAAGAGACTGAACACAAAAGATGTGTGAGACCGTAGATCAATACATTCCTTCTGTTGGCAAAATGAATATTTAGATGAAGCAAGTAAAAAAGCACAAACTTAAATCGGTTTAAAATTAGGTATTAATCACCCACTCCTGTTATTTAGGGGTTCTTCTTCTTCCAAGATAACTTTAGTGTGTATGTGATCAACTTCCAGTTCATTAAGTTTGTGTTCTGCATACTACTTTTTGAAAATCAAATATTGATATAGTTTATCTAGAATTGGCTGTTTAGGTTTACTGCTTATTTTATAAATCCTTCTTGTTTTATATTGTCATAGTTTGATACCTTTCCCAAATTAGAAGTTAGCACAGGAAGTTTCCCTGTTTCGCATACATCAAGTCAATTTTGCCCTTTCAAATGTCATCGCAGCGTATTGGTTGAATACATTAAGAATTGACTTGTGATGTGATGAATTCTCAATAAATTACCTCCTCTTGTCTCTCGACCTGCTGCCGTGTAACTGTTTTAGTGTTTTTGATGTGGATGTAATCTCTCTTCATCTGTTCCAGCAGAGTTGCTTTCATGAAGAACTGCAGACAACAAAAGCAGTGAAGCGTCCCAAAAATGTTATCAAAACATGTCGAAATAAAAACGATAATTTAATTTAATGTTTAATTATTATTCTTAAAATGAGAAGCCCATAATCAAAAACGGCGTTTTCTCTACCTTATACTTATCGGATTCACTTTTTGAATGCAGGAACTGTTTACACATTTCTTGGCTGAGAATGGACACCGGATTATCCAACTAGAACACACAAAGCAGAGGTGCTACTGGAAGAAGCTAAATGGACACATTTGCTGGAAGTTACATTTATTACATTGTTTGAAAAATAAAACAAATCATTTAAAGTATGTTTTGTGTATTTTAGTATAGAAGGGATTCTATACATACAAATACATTTACAAAATCAAGCGCTGCAAAAGTCAGGAATCCTAAATAACAAATAATATGTCAAATATATATTTCTTAAAATGAAAATGTGTTTGTACCTGGATGTTGAAATGGTCCAGAATGGCAGTCAGCTCCTCCTTCTTGTTTGAGACAAGTTGTCCTGAAATACAAGAAAAAAGACCATCCATATAGATATAGGAAAATGTTCGATTTAATACAATCACAATCCTGATGTTGTAGTAATTTTTGTACAAGTGGCACAACATGTTACACTTATTCTAAAAAAATAAGTCTTAATAAATCACCTTCAGCTTGAATTGGAACTTTTCACTGTTTTTTTATATTTTATAGACAAAACTAGTGACAAAGAAAATAATTGTCATCCAGAAGTCAGATTAACTATTTTAGTTGTGCACATAATAATATTAAAAAGTCTGAAGCGGGATCACACCTGATACAGCCAGTATCTCCCAGCAGGGAGCACATGGTTAAAACACACTTCTGAGGATGGAAACTTCTCCACAATGACTTAGCGAAGAAGTGCAGTTCAACTTCCTTCTGCTTACAAAATATCTCGATGACATTTACAAAATCGTACCTTTAAATTCCCACTTGGACGTACGGTGTAAAGCAGTGAAACATGCAATGCCCATAAAGCACACGCATGCAAGTTCGTAGAGGAAGACTCCTTACGCAGAGTGAATGATGTTTAAGGTTCGAGGGATGACGGTCTAATTAAAGTGCTTTGTCGTCACTCTCCTGTGCATCTGACATTAATCAGAAGGTGAAATATCATCTCAGGAAGAGTCACCTGATTTGTTCTTCAATCTGCAGGTGCGGCATCCATCACTGGCGATACGGTGCTCGATGGAGATGCTGTCGCCGTAGACGCGCCTCTTAAACGCATCTGGTCCTCTGTTTCTCAGCTTCACTATTATATCTGCAGTGCTAGAGAGCCGCTTACACTGTGGTGGCATTCTAGGAACGACTTACAACAACATGAGGAGCAGACTGTGGAATAATATCAGGTAGTCTGACTTACTTCTCACCGCTTTTAACAAAATCCTTCAGGGACATTCCTCTGTTTGTGACGGTTGCCTTTCCACCCAGGCCTACGATCAATGCAGTCACGATTGCGCTTTTTCCACCTGAGATTTAGTTTGGAAACAACAAAGACAAGGGATTCACGCGCTGCAGACTGGAGCGCCTCGCAGGCCCCTCCAGTCTGCAGCGCGCTCTCTCAAAAATGGAGCAATTTCTGAAATCATAAGAGTCCTGTAACCTTTATCCTGGTTTAATATATTTTTCAGTGTTACTATCCTTCCACAGTTGAATTTATAACATATAATATATACTTTTTAAGAGTTCATCTTTGTTAAAATGAAACAGTCCTGTTTTATTCGACAAAAATCAATGGAGTTAAAGAAGCCTGGTTTTGGAGGGAGCGCATAATGTGGAGGCGCAACCGGCCGGGTTGGAACGTGTTAAACACACAAGTCAAAGACAACAAGCAGCTGACCCGACATTTAGAAATCCGGTTCTTATCCAGTTCTTACTTCCATTGTTGCCGACGATGAAATTCACGTTGGGTCCAAACTTGAACGGGCCGAGCAAATGGTGACACATGAAGTTTTTCAGAGTGATGCTCTCGATGAGGCCGATATCTCCCTGGAGAAACATGCAGAACAACACATTCAACCCGTTTAAAAGCTGGTGAGAAGTTCAGACAGAGCAGGAAGGGAGGAGGGGGGGACTCACCGAGACGGATGAAGGGCCCCTGCTGGATGAAGGGCCCCTGCTGGATGAAGGGCCCCTGCTGGATGAAGGGCCTCTGCTGGATGAAGGGCCCCTGCTGGATGAAGGGCCCCTGCTGGATGAAGGGCCTCTGCTGGATGAAGGGCCCCTGCTGGCTGAAGGGCCCCTGCTGGATGAAGGGCCCCTGCTGGATGAAGGGCCTCTGCTGGATGAAGGGCCTCTGCTGGATGAAGGGCCCCTGCTGGCTGAAGGGCTCTGATGCTCCGTATCAGCGGCCGCTCTGCGGCTCTTGACAGCCGTGGGGCCACTGATCGCTTCACCTTTCCGCTTACTCATTTTGAAACTCGACGCTGGAAATAGAACTGAACAGGAAGACAATAACGTCAAACGTTTTTTTCTTAATATGAAGACAGGTTTCACTTTGACAATACTTGATATGTTTATTGATTTAGTTACAAGTATCTTAACTTTGTTACTTTTTTTTTAACTCTACTACATTTTAGATGGAAATGTACTTTTTACTGCCGTTGTGCTCTTTTGCTGAAATCTTTATAAACATAGTTGTCTTATGTTAATAAAAATAATAAAATAATATTTAATCGAAAATTGTATTTTTAGACACAATAATTACTGCAATTTTGGTAATGTTGATTTATTCCTTTTTATGTTAATACCTACAACTCTTAAATAAGTAACACTAATGTTTCTTACACACATTTTTTTTCACAGGGTAGTTTAGTGTTGTTTACTAAAACAACACTGGTTTAAAACGTGTGATGTCTTAAGTGTTTTGGGTTCAACTAAGGACAATTAAAACACACACTGTTTGGCAATATCCTGAGGATGCAGAATCAAAATACTCAGATCATTGGCCTGCCGGTTTGGTCATTATTCATAAATCCATCGCTCAATGCCACGAACAAGATATTCAAGTTCCTCTTTATGTGGAACCAAGTTGAAATTTTGAATTTTTAACACCCAACGCAGGAAACTATTTTCAGATATGGTGGTTAGATTGTAAACTATGCAATTACAACAAATAGTTTCCAACACAAAGACAGCGAGTGTGTGAAACAGAAAAATAGATGTGAGCCTTTTTCTTCGAGTCAGGAAGCAGTGGCCCCAAAACCTGCAGCCTCAACAGCAACATGTGTTAGTGAGCAACACAACTGTGCAGATAAACCTTCACTGCAGGACGTGTCCTTCTACGTGTGGTCGAACTCGTTCAGAGGGATATCAAGACGTGTTAGGTCTTAACAGCACCTCGTTCAAACGGTGCAGCATTCATGTATTTACAATAAACCCCCCCTCGCAACAAAGCACAGCAACAGGTGGATTTTAAACGCCTCGAACTCCCGGTACCCTGCGGCTTAAAAACAACAGCACAATCAAACACGACAAGCTTGTTATAAACGTCGCCTACCATTGTGCGCGCACCGCCCGCAAAAGCAACAGAGGAAGACGGTTCATCGCACTTCCTGGGCGGCGAGTCGCGCACGCGGACGCTTCTCGGTGTCACTTCCTCGAGCCGGATTGGCTCTCCGGGGCCCCTCTGGTGTCTGCAGCATCCACGCCTCACTGACGAGCTCACTGCACGTTTTACTCCCACTTTGCCGTTCGGCCCAGATTTGACACATTGCGACTGTTAAAACACGGCCTGCTTGTTATTTTGCGTGCGTTTCTTTCGAGGTGTGCGTGCGCGCGTGCGTGCGCGTGCAAATCTGAAGCCTTTAAAGTCACGTGGTTTCTCGCTGCCGCGTCTGTCAGAGTCCCGGTGACGATGCGTCGCCCGCAACGAACACGGTGAGGAAGCGACTCGTGTCGAATAACGTGGCGTAAGTTGGCGTGATGAGCTGCGAGTTGATGTAGAAGCCAATGGTTGGGAGGAAGGTGAAGGCCGGAGACGCTCGTTACAAGGGCACGTGCATCGTGTGTGTGTTAATTGGGTTTTATTCAATTACCGAGATTTTGCAACAAAAAAAAAAAACCGGAGAGAGCTGGATTTAACGCAGACAGGTGCTGGGTAGTTTTAAGCATAATTGACGTTAATTCTGGTGTAAAATAACTGACGTCGTACAGACATTCTTATGATTAGTGCGGGTTTTAAACACTGACAGTGGCTCTAGGTCCGGATTGGTTAAACGTATTTTAATTGGCTCTATTTTCACAACAAAAGTTTAATTGTGCAAAAAGAGGCAAACTAGTTCAAATGAATCAAAAAATTTGTGTGTGTGTGTGTGTATTTTGCTGATTTAGGTCTTGAATTTTGATACTGCTCGTGACCATGCAGCCTAAAACAATTATTAATAATAAAGAGGTCATGAAAACTAACCTTTTGAAGCTGTGTTACCGTACATGGGGTCACTTGAATCTAATTGGAAGTGCAGTCATGCGAGTTTAATGAGACTTTTGCAGTCAAATTCATTTACGAGTCCTTTTCTCCTCGCCTACTTGTTTGAAGTGTTGGCCCGTTCAGCAGATGGACACTGGATGGCACCCAATGCTGTTTTATTGAATCTCTTAATGTTTGTTTTCAGAGCTGTTAATCCAGCCTTAGTTTGACACTAAATCTGTCGGTGTTGATGAGGGTCCTCTTGTGATCACTGCTCCTTGCAGGCACAGGTTTCCTGTGTTTGGCTTATGTCCACATAATTCAATTCATGGAGACATTTCTCAGGATGCATTACTAGTTTTTATATGAAGCCGCCTCAAACTCTGACTTTCATTTCTTCATTTTACAGTTGAAGTAATTCAATTGGATTACTTCAGTGCAGAAGCCACATTTCTATTAAGTAGAATTGGAAACAAGGACGCTTGATGGTTAATGATTTAAAGGAATATTTGTATATTACTCAAGCCATTGTTTTCGTTTCTTGTCTTTATTAACAGGCCTTAACTGATAAACCTGAGGAAGGGGGAGCTGTTTACAACAGCAAAACAATATCAAAACCGCACAACTTTGCCATATATTTAATGTCAAATCTGATCGTATATCCATACTTCCCAAACTCATGCGGGTATGCTAAAATCAAAGTTAATAAACTTCCCCGGATGAGTATTTTTTTTTTTTTTACAGTTAACTCTTCAAATGACTTTGAAACATTCAATTTTTTTCCTGTTTTGCAGATTTCACCTCTGAACTTCACAATGTGTTCAATCCCCGGGCTTCCAAAACTCGGATCAGAAGTTCCTGTTGTCATCACAAGGGTAAACCCAAACCCCAGTTATGGTCTTGTAGAATTATGGGTTCACATTGATGATGGAAGAAAGCATGTTTATGAGCAGATGAAAGAGGAAATTCAGATTCCCAAAAGAAGGTTTTATGGATCAGAAGGAAAACCAGGGGATCTCTGTCTGGTTTGTATAAGCTCCACCTGGCACAGAGCTCGCATTGTGTCGTCTCAAGGTGAAACGTGCAATGTTTTTCTAATTGACCAGGCACAGCCGCACATCGCCACAAGTGAAGCTTTAGCATGGGGCCACAGCGACTGTTTTCTCCTGCCTCCTGAAACGGAATCATGCCTACTTGCAAATGTCGTCTCCCTTGAGAATAAATGGCCTGAAATTGCCACAACGTTTTTGGTGTCTCTGCCCGGAAAGAAATTTAATGGAGTGATTCAGCACGTGCTGATGCCAGACAGGACCATCCTCCTCGACATACCCGCCGTTTCAAAGCATGTCTGTGAGATTGGAGTTACGAAGAAGATGCCAATGGATGAGTTTAAAAGCCTTGTCCAGAAATGTCTCGAGGCTGAGCGTCCAACGCAAAAACGGAAGGTTAATAATAACCAACTGGAGAAGCATGGCGAATACTTTTACCCAGAACTCTTAACTGATGCTTTTGAAATAGTTAACGTAACACAGGTAACTAGTCCATGTAAAATGTTTTGCAAACTCCACATTTTTTCCAAGGCAGTGAAGATTTTGTCAGAACAAATCCAGCAGCACTATGAAGAGAGCTCGGAACTTGGAGAGATGGAACCGTTGACTTGCGGGGATCCGTGTGCTGCTCGAGGGGTGGATGGCAGATGGCGTCGCTCGTTGCTAAAGGAAACGCTAAATAGCGATGGTGCTGTAGAAGTCTTGTACGTAGATGAAGGAAAACTTGAAGTGCTTCCAATTGGAGATATGAGACCTCTCAATGGAAAATTCCTGAGAATGCCCGTTGTCACATATCCCTGTTCTCTCGAAGGCGTAAAAGATAACGGCAAAGGTTGGACCACAGATCAGATTGATTATTTGAACTCACTGCTCCTGAACAAGAACTTTGTGGCGAAATTCAACCACCACAATATACGTCAAAATGTCTATAACGTCATTCTCTATGGAGATAATGACACGTGCATGAACAACTGTTTTAAGGACCTTTTTTCTTCCTCCAAGACGGAGCAAGACACAAATTTCCAAAACGGACTTCTTAATTTACCCGGAAAACAAGGTTCCATAGATTTACCGAACAAAGTCCCTGAAAATGTTGATGGAGAAGAAACCTTGCCATGCACAAAAAAGCAAGCAGTTAATGGTATGACCGATGATTTACCAACCTCTCGAGCTGACGAGCTTCATGTCAAAGAGAGTTCAGAGCAGCGAGGCCCTGTGGTACAAATTAATGGGCATCTTTCAAAAAGTTTCCCCTCTGAGGTGCAAAATCCTCGTGATGACGATATGTTGACTGTAGGAAGTAGTGTCAACGTAAACGTATCTTTTGTTCAAAGTCCACATGCATTTTGGTGTCAACCAAAGAAAAACGGTGAGCATCTTAGGCAGCTGATGCAGGATCTGCAAAACCATTATGAATCCATCCCCCCTCCGCCACTAGTTGAGTCCATCTGTGTTGCCCGTAATCCAGACGATGACATGTGGTATAGAGCAAGGATCCATGCAAGTCATCACTCCCCTGTGGTAGATGTGAGATTTATAGACTATGGTCAAACTGAAACGATTCCTCTGCGAGACCTTTTCCCCATTGATCCAGCTTTCTTACAGCTGGATCCGCAGGCTTTCCAGTGTAGCTTGTTCAATGGCGAGAATTCCACTGATCCCAATTCCATCTCTCCCACCAAGGAATGTGTGTCAGTTCACGAGCAGGATGTTCCACTTGCATCGTTTAAAGTCCCTCCAGAAGTGCCAGAGGAAGTCAACAAGTGGTTTGCAGATAGTGCTATTGGCCAAGAATTCAGCATTTCAGTGTTGGCAAAAGGGAGAAAAGGGAAGTTTGTTGTTGAACTGTTTGCTGGAGCTCTGAATTTAAATGTGAAAGTCAAAGAGATGATATCAAAGATGACACAACAAGAGACTTTTAGTCTTCTTCAGCAGACTGACAAGCAGCTTTCAAACGGCACAGAACGTGACAGTGTGCCAAATGAGGACTGTTTAATGCAAGAGTTCACAAATATGTCCTTATTAACAATTAAAGATAACATGAATGAAGTGCAAAATGACAATGGATCATACGTGAGAGATGAGCTCAGTGAACAAGTCATGACCAATGCCTCCGTGCAGGAGTGTGAACATGATGACACTTTGGAAGAAGGAAGAAAACCAACTTTGTATCTTATGGACAAAGAAATGGAAACCGGCAACGGTGACTCAGAAGTAACACAACTTTCCTGTCCTGAGGGAAATGAGAACATCTGCATGTACAAGTGGCGAAAAACTCCCCAAAACCATAACGAGGAAGTATACGCATCCTGCATTGTTGGACCACAATACTTTTGGTGCCAGTACGCCAACACAGAAGACCTGAACGAAGTGTCGAGGCTTGCTCAGGAAGCAGGACAGATTCAACCGGACGTGATGTTCCCTGAGACTCTTGGTCCCGGCAGTCCATGCCTTGCTCAGTTCTCCAGTGACCAACAGTGGTATCGAGCTCAAGTAATTCGCACTATTGGTCAGGCATTCACAGTCTTGTTTATTGACTATGGTAATGAGTCTGATGTCAACCTAAACAATGTGAGACCTCTGCCACATACTCTGATGGATAAGGCTCCTCTGGCCTTTTTGTGCTCTCTTAAAGGATTTGATGAGTCCAAGGGGTCCTGGAATGACGACGTTTACGATGACTTCTACAATCTTCTGGTTGATAAACAACTCAACCTGACCGTGTTCAACATGAAAGAACATCCAGAGGCAGCAGTGCCACAGTATGAAGTGGAAATTGAATGTGAGAGAGCGATTGTTAATGCAGCAATGAAGAAATACTGGAGACCGGTTGCCAAAGGGCGTCTTTCGATGGAACACTCTCAAGGGAAAACCTTTGTCCAAGATACTCAAACAGAGTCCAACATGATGCATCCTAATGTTTGCAAAGAAACCGTGAATACATATAGGTTCAAGAAGCCAAACTTCTCCAAAAACAAAAAAGTGGAGGTATATGCTTCTTGTATTGTGCAACCCCATTACTTTTGGTGTCAGTACACCAACGCAGAGGAACTCAACGAAGTGTCGAGGCTTGCTCAGGAAGCAGGATGGACTCAATGGGACGTGATGTTCCCTGAGACTCTCGGTCCCGGCAGTCCATGCCTTGCTCAGTTCTCCAGTGACAAACAGTGGTATCGAGCTCAAGTAATTCGCACTATTGGTCAGGCATTCACAGTCTTGTTTATTGACTATGGTAATGAGTCTGATGTTGACTCCAAGAACGTGAGAGCACTGCCACATACTCTGATGGAAAAAGCTCCTCTGGCCTTTTTGTGCTCTCTTAAAGGATTTGATGAGTCCAAGGGCTCCTGGAATGACGACGTTTACGATGACTTCTACAATCTCCTGGTTGATAAACAACTCAACCTGACCGTGTTCAACATGAAAGAACATCCAGAGCCTGATGTTCCCCAGTATGAAGTGGAGCTTGTGTGCGAGGGATCTGTTGTAAATAAACTAATGGTGAAACACTGGAAACGATTGGACACGGACCAAACCTTGGCAGAGTGAATGTGATCAGGTTAGTAGAATAAAGTTGGTGTCACTTTTCAACTGAAGAAAGGGCTTGTTACTAATGAGATCTTCTATTTCTGATTGTCATATTAGCTAGTTTATTAAATGCCTTTTAAATTTCACTGACCATGAAAACGTTGTTCTAGGATGTATAGTTCTTGACCAATTCAACCTCTGCAAGGGAAGTCTGTCATGAAGGGGATTTTTTTTAGATTTAGACATTGAAGCAAATTTTGTTATAATATTATAAAATGTTTATATTTCAGCTGTGGACCAAGATGACAGCCCATTGGGAAACCCGATTACAACAGAACAACCTTGACTTTTGTGAACTGGAAGTTCTTATTTGTCTTTTTAGAGAATGTATATGGTTGATTTGTGTCAATAAAGAGTTTGGGAATATATTTGAGAGATTTCAAAAAAAAAACATACATATCTGTAAAGGCCTTTTAGCAGGTATGGGATGCAAATCTTTTTCTCAAGGCCATGTCTTCGGGGATTGAACGCTTTACTAAAACAGGACAACTGAAGGGACGCCGAGACCACATTATGCCTAATCCCCCTGCCCGAGGTCGAGACACTGGTGGTGGTGGTTCTGGTTCTTCTGAAAAATGCTTATTCGAGGTGGAGGGCCGTAATCTGATTTGAGTGGAAATTACAACTAACTGCAGACGAGAGAACAATTTGAAAATTTGACAAACGTGTGCTTGGCTTCAGGTAACCAACAAATTTAAGGTGAACGTAATCGTCCACTTGTGCTGTGTTTGTGGAAGTGTACAAATGTGGGTTTCCATTTAGTACACTGGAGCCCCTCCTCCACTCGATAACAAAGTTAAACGAATGCATTGTAAAAATGTTCCCACCATTGGATGTTGGCTGACAAATCACAAAAACGGGAGTTGGGCTTACATGTCTTTGCACAACAGTTTATGAAAATAAAACGTTACTGGTAACAAACATCCTTTGCGCACTGACCAAAGGGCACTTGTTTTTAAGTAGTTGCACAATAAATGACCATGTGCCAATGATATGGAGGCTAGTAATGAAATCAATACCAGGAGGGGAAAAGGTCTCTGCTAGTGTAGGCTAGGCCACGTTCCGTAGTAACAGCCTTCGCATGTGCAGTAAACTAGCCTAAAGAGGCCTGTTTTAGTGGTATTTATTGATTTGAATTGGTGACTAACTCTTTGTTGGCCTGAACACCTTTGGGACGTGATCATGAAATGCCACGGCCCGCATACAGCGCCAGCCAACTGCAACTGCGCAAAACTATACCTGTTCAGCCTTATGAAGCATTCCAGACGCAGCGTGTCACATATGTACATACATAGCATAGTTTCCTTTCCTATCCACAGCAGATGGCAGCATTTGCTCTTCATATGCTCCAGTTAGCACGTTGCTCCATGTTTTCAACTGTTGCTAGGCATCCACAGCAACTAAATGACTAAATGTTGCAGTGGCGTGGAATTTCGATAGTTGAGAAGAATCCAAGAAAAAAATGAATTGAATCCAAATCAGAGGGACATCGAGTGGAGCTACACACACACAAACACACACACACATTCACTGGGCAGCAGCTCAAGGTCAGTGTTGGTGAAAATATGCTGTGGGTTACTTTTCGATAATGGATTGCTACCTATTGTGCCCTTTTATTGCATCACTGAATTTGGTTTCTGTTGCTCATACTTCAATCTTATTCATTGGATTTTTTTTACCATAGTCAAGATTTATAATTATTTATTTATTTAACAACAATTTTTAAAATCCCTGCTTTGCCTTTTCTCCAGGATATACAGGCACGATCAGGATTCTCATTGAGCATTGAGCCAAGTCTGCACTCCCTGCATTCGCCTGTAGACCAAGACTGCTGTCGACACAAACCAGCACTGATAGCTGAAATATATGGACACCATGACTGCGTTCTTTTCCTTAAATGGTAGTTTAATGTAAAACAACAAAGATCACATGATTTGGAAATGTTTTATATATACTATACAAACATTACACCATTGTAAAATGGACATGTTTCACAGGAAATAGCAATAGTCACATCAGAAAAACAATGTAGCTGCAAATGTACTATCAGTGTCTAAAATGCTGTTTTGATGTAAGAGTAAACACATTTTAGATGATCCTCACAACTTCATAGCTGACTTAACTTTGTGGTGCTGTCAGTAACTGCCGCCTGGAGAGCAGAGCAGAAGGAAATGTAAGATGAATTAATCAATAATGTGGTATTTTACATAAAAACACAGTTGTAGCACACTTACATCTCTCCTTAGACGTTTCAGAAGTACGTCCCGGGTCTGTCAAAATTGGATTAAAACATTAATGTATGTTGTATGTGGTTTGTAAACCTCCCCCCGCAAAGTTTTTGGGACACACTCCCTGATTTTGTTGAGCTTGTATGCTAAAATATATTGCCCCATATTTGGATGTTTTAAAAAACCCCTCCTGAGAACCTTTTAACTTTATCACACAATCATGGTGTTTGTACTTTTAAAAGGAATACTTTGACATTTAGGGAAATTTGCTTATTTATTTTAACGGAAATTAGATCATGAAAAGTAAAGTAACATAGTACAGTAATAGAAGTGGATCCAAAAATGCAAGAAACATGATTAAGATTGGTTTTTTTTCTTTTAAGAAGTAAAACTGCCTCACCTGTTTGTCTGCCAGGCATGTGGTTAACAAAAGGAACAAACCCTGCAAATGGAACGACAAGAGGTTACTGAGCATGAGATACTTTAACTGGTGCAGCTGTTTACCTCCAGTGATTTCCGTACCTGGAATGTGTTCAGCAGGGTAAAGGTGTAGTGAGTTGCTGTGGCCATCAGTCCAGTTGTGAGGTCAATAAGCATTACAGCGAACCCGAACATCCAAGTCACACCAAAGATTGGAGTCAGAAGAATAACTGACCTAATGACAGTCACGGCAGCCTTTTTTTCTGTTTCATTATGTCTGCATGTAGTCGCAGAGCGATCTAAAAGCTTAACGATGACCACCACCATGGAGAACACGTTGAAGAAAACGATCGCACCGACTGGGATCACAAATGTATGGATTGACCCTTCCAGAAGTCCAGTGTAACGCAGCCAACACGTTTTACTACTGTAGTACGCCCCTTCAGCACCCTGATCGTAGCACAGAAATGTGATAATAGCAATCAGCAAAGGACACACGTAGCCCAGGACCAATGACATCCTCAGGTATGTTTTCCTGCTCACAGCATGGAGCACAAAAACATTGTTAAGAAGAAGCACACTGCTCAGACTAAACATCCAAAAGAACACGGACAGGAAACTGAAATGTTTCAACAACACAAAGATCTGACACCACATTTCTTTGTTATCGTAACTGGGCTTCAAAGATGCCAAAAAGCAGCAATCTGCAACGAGCAAACAGAGACAAATGTTCAGCTGAGCGGTATGCCGTATATACGACTGATCTGTCTTCACCACAGAACTCCAGACCGTCAGCTCGATCGCGAGGGTGACAATGAGTGACATCACTGATACGGACAGTCCCACTAAGGTCAACTGCGTGAGGCCTTTGAGTTCTATGGGAGACCTTGACATTAGGATGGCAAATGAGGACAAATGTTGGCAAATGCAAAGTCCCCCATTGGAGGATGCAACCCATTCGCATCCTTTTTCTGACCAACTCCTGGTGTTGTTGTCCCATGCGACACATATTATTTGAACATCGCGAGGCCTCGGCTTGATCAACGAGAAGTTGATTCGAACCGTTGGTTGGAATTGTCGGTTTTCAGTTGTTACTGACACAATGTTGCTGTTAGGCTCGTACATCTCATAGTGGTTGGGCAAATAGTTCTCCAGCTCTTTGAACCCAGCTGTCTTTACGTCGCCGGGGTCCTGACCAACAAGTTCAACTATGTCATTGAACACCGTTGCGGAACATTTTGACCTCTGGTTGCAATTTGATACGACTGCGTCTACATTGTGTGTCTCAGATGCATGGCTTAGGTTGGCTTTATGAATCAATTTTTCAAGGGAAAGTAGATATGCCTCAGCTAATGTAATATTGCCTATGTCCCCTGCGTTGGTCCATGACAGTTCAAGAGAGCTGTTGAGCATATTGCTGGATGACGCCAGAAAGTCCTGAAAACAAAAGAGCTTTGGTTGGTGGTGAAAGCAAACAAGCTTTAATGACGGCTTTAAAAATATTGTTTTAGCTGCTACTTTGTCAGAAAGACAACACGTGAGCAACAGATAAAAACAGATAAAAACTAAATGCCAACTGCGAACTTAACCACAGTCTTTTGTAAATGTAAATATGGATAAATACGTTTTTGACTGCTGAAATTCAATAAACACAGGATTAGAAAATGCATTTTTCATTTCACTTTGCTATGAAAGGTGTGCAGCCTGTCATCTAACAACTAGCGAGAATGAATGAACTTGAACAAAGAAAATGCAGAAAAAATTGGATTGATTGTTGAAAAATGTTAGTGCCTTTTTACAATGAAATCACTAACATTGGAAGAGAATTCCGGCCCTAAAAAACACCAAAAACAGAGTACGTTTCATGACGTTTTTAAGGGACAACTTAAATTAAAAAGGCAAGTAATTCTCTTTTTTTATCTACACAGGAAATCCAACAATGCCATTCAATAAAAATAATCAAAGATTGTGTTATACTTACAGCCACTGTCAATTCATTATCTATGCTTTTTATCTTTTGACCCAAGCTGAAGAGCACTGAGACAGACGCGCCGATGTCGGGGCTGCTGTTGATAGTCACTGAGTCATTAGTGACATTGTGAAGGAGGGAAAACACTTCTGCAGCATTTTTATCTAATGCGCCAAGTCCAATGTCAATGATCTGAAACAACAGCGATGATTTACGTGTGATGAATTTTTGTGTCAAAACTACCGGGGAGATTTAAGAAGATTTAAGAAAACGTATTTTGATTTTCTGCTTCATATTCTGCTAATGTGTTTGGTATTAGTCACTTTTCTAGCAGATGATGGAGAACTTTCTTTTTAATTTTTAACACAAAAACACACCTTTGCTTTTTGAAGCACATCATTCACTTTCACTGTCACACACGATGAGCTCTCAATGTCCCATGACCCACCTGTTTGGCTGAAATAATGAATGTATTAGTCAATCAACATAAAATTCATCAACAAACATTCGTTAGTTTCAGCTCCTCACATTGAACATGATCAAATTTCCTTTGGCTACGGACTGACATACATTCTATTCACAAACAATTAATGGATTAAATTCAAGATCATTTGCTAGTAAAAATAATAATTGGTTGCAGTGTTACCATTTCCTCTTTCTTTGTCCGGTCCCACTTGTGCATTTTAACACAGCCTCGAATCCGGCTTTAGTGTCTTTCCAGTCACCATCAGCTGGACAGAATTTTTCATTTTCTGTTTTGAATAAGGAAAGTTAAGGCGTTAACATTTATTATATATATAACACAAAAAACAGAGCATATCGGATATTAACTGGAAATTTGGAAGGTTTGATAACAGATCACTTTTTTGGTTCAACCATTCCCAACTATAATATACAAAACAAACAAAACTAATCCATAGTGCAAAACGTCACAATGGAAAAATTTGAATCTATTGCAATATGGATGCAAAGTCAGACAAAGCCATCGATTGTTGACAGCACTTTACTGAAACACTGAAACATACCATATATGATATTGACAGCAGCTGAAGCCTTTCTCTCTTCTCCGCACTTGTTCTTAAAAGTGCACGTTACGTCGGGTGTAACCTGAGAGTTCTTACAGCTAGCGACTACATCAGCCGTAAGAGCATCATTAGTTACTGGGAAAAGACCTACATGGATGATAAATACATGTCATTTATTCTTAGTTTGCACAAGGATTCATTTAAACAAATGGTCCAAAAAATGGACACAAGGAAACGTACTCACCAACGAGCTTGTGTTCTGTCCATGTCACATTATAGCTTTCATTGTTGCTCGCTATTTGACATGTTACTTTTACTGTCACCAATTCGGAACCTGAGCAGTGTGGAAATGGCGGCGTCATGGTGATGTCAATACTTGGCAGGAGATAGACGTTCAATACAGCGCTGGCTGTGTGGTTTATCTTGATGAAGTTATTCACTTGGGGATAGATGCATGTGTACTCTCCTGTGAAATGAGAAACAGACAAACAACAAAAATGCGCTTTGTTATCATTTTATTTGACAAACGTGTTTATCCTTCAGTTACTGAGCAAAATTAGCATAGTGTTTCCGTCCACCTAACGAATGTGTAAATCCCTGTAAACCCTTTTTGTTCTGTTTTGGTCTCCACCAAATCCAGAGAGAAACGATGTTCACCAGCTAGTCGCTAACTTTGTCTGTCTGCAGATGTTTCACTTTGAGCTCATAACGGAGCCAGAAGTAAAAATACTGTCTTATAAAATATTCTGACTTATATATATTGTATTAGAGCTAATTAATAATTAGTGATGCAATAATGTGTAAGCAGTATTTTATGCTGGTCCAGGTAGAGCTAATTTGAACTACTTTATATTCTAATGGGTGGTTTAATCCATGACAACATGTAAAAGGTCAATTCAGTGGATGACAGAAATATACCTGCCCAGAGTTCCGATATGTTTCGGAGGAAGACTTTGGTCTCCATTGTGTTTCTCGTCACCTCGGCCTCTGTGCCAGTAAATATCTCAAAAACTTTGTCCGCTCTCTTCAGCTGCCACACTGGCTGTGTATGCAGGTCCTCCTGCACCTCACATGTGAGGGTGGGGGTATCGTAGTAGCACACTTGGTTTTTGGGCAGCATAAATAAACGGACGACACCTGTGGGAAAATAAGAGTCAGTATAGAATCCAGAGGGCGCAGCGTGTGTCTATTTGAATGCTTTTCTAGTTGATTCATGATTCAATACGGGTTCAGGTGCATCCCAGCCTTTGGTAGGTAGAATTACCTGTAGTCTCCAGATAAACTGATGCTGACAGATTGCTGCCCAGGCTTTTTGACCCATTAATCAAATATTGTTGCTTGATCTGATTAGCGAAGGTCATTTCAAAATCTGCAATGACGCTTCCAACCCTTCAGGGAAGAGAAATCACAGATCTTAGTCACATATTGAAAACAGTACAATAGCAGAACTTATTTTCTTTGGAAAAGAGGAAGTACCTGTATTTGCTAATTTTCAAGGTGTCAAATCCTGCCATGGTGCTGTACACTGCTTTCATCTGCAAAGCAACGTCAGTGCAAGCAATTCACACGTCAGTGTACTATTTACAGATGACAATAGCTCAATTACGTACATTATTCCTGATCTGACCAAGGCACTTAATAAAGAAATGTGCTGTTCATTCATAAGTCATTACCTTTTCCATCAAAGAGGTATCACACTGCTTAAATTCCTCAAAGTCTTTTCCTTTCAGACACTTGTAATACTCCAGTCCATTTAAAGTAATGGATCCCCTTATGGATACTGTGAGAAAACGAAGACGCATGCTTGACACACAATAGATGAACGGACATGCAAACCACAGTACAATGCAACCAAATACCTGTTTCGTTTGAAACACACATGGCTGCAGTCCGGTTGGTGAAGCTGCAACAGCTCCCGTTACATTTCTGTCCAGGTTCCTGACAAAGTGTCTCGCTCCACCTGAAGGACGGCTCGCAGCTGCACTGTGTGGCGCCCTGGACCTTCGAACAGCCTGAGCAATGTAGAGTTCATCCAATTTTATTTCGGTTTTTTTTTCCAATTGAATATGGAATACGTCAAATTTTTAGGAAATAGAAAAATGTTTACGTGTAGTCATTTTAAGGTCAGAAACTTTCACGTTGGTATTTTTGACAAAAGGTCTCAGTGCCGCTGATACGTTTGGGATTGCACTTTCCTCCACTATCAGTTTGATGTAATACATTTGTGTTGAATTCTCTGTAATGCAAAAGAGACAAACCATCAATCTAAATGCAACTGTTTCTAAAGACCTTTTCTGTTTATGAACATTCTTAGGGCAAACTTTTAATGATAATAATTGTACCTTGTCCAGCAGTCTGTAACGGTCAAAACAAGTCATTAATTTTCGATGTAATTTATTATTGCAGTTTTTAATTTTAAGCTAATGCAATCTTGATGATAATGACTTACCTGACAGATGTTTAGTCCCAGGATATAAAGAACGCATAATGTCCACATCCTGTTCCTGCATATGATCAGAAACAGGAGGAGTCATTTGTATTGGCCTTTTGCAAACATAAATCTGGTTACTGTTTGATGGTATAAAAGTTACTACTGTACTTTATGTCCATTTTGTATAAGACAGCTCTTCTTTTTTTCATAAACACCGATCACTAGACTCTATTCCTTGATCGGTCACATGATATGCGTCGATGAGTGTGTCTGAAAACAGCTAAAACACATAAAATCACATTTTATGATCCAAAAAAGTTTTATGTACGTAGCACAAAATCAAAAAGTTTTCTTAAAGCTCAACACTTCAAATACCGACATTGGCACGTCCCCACGTTTTTCTATTGATTTGGACTGTGAGCATTCTTACATTAATCTCTGGACCTTGTGAATTTGGTTTGTAAATTCCCAAATTACTACCACAAAAAAAACAAGTTATTTTTTTGTTGATTCAACTCCTGTTAACAGGTGTACAAATCCTATTAAACTAAATGGCCTTTTATTGCACTGAATAACTGAAATTTAAAAAAAGAATATGGCATATTCAAACTTTTGTATTTTGTCAAAGGTTGCAAAAACACAGCGAAACAGTATAATCTAATTGATGTGTGTATCAATGCTAGATAATCAATATAGAAAGATTAGCCAACCTGTATCAGTGAACCATCACAGCAGCGTCTCACTCCGTCTGTTGAACCCGACTGTTCCCACAAATAAGAGCAGCACGCCAGACCGAAGCAGAAACAAGGAAGTGAAAAACACAAAAGCTTATTCTGTTTGTATCCTGATAACTGGAGGCAGGTCGCTGTGGTGAGACATGCAAAAGCATGAAAGGGGTTCTGTCAATCTAATTTGACTTTCAAAAAACGCTAGCTTGTGCTGCGTAATACCAATGGCCTCTAATGTCGCCATCACAATTTCAGACAAATGTCTAGCAGCATAAAATGTCGAGGTGATGACTTTGTGGACGTAAGGCAGAAAGTAAACTAACTTGACTGGAAGAGGCGTAGATCTTACATGTAGATGTCCAGCAGGCAGCGTTGCTCTTCATACGTGAAACCAGATCGGTGACAAGGCTCTGAGGGCAAAAGGACAAATGCCTTTAATTGAGTTTAATTTTAAAACTTTAATTAAACTCTGGACCTGCTATAATTATTATACAACCCTTGTGTTTACAACTGGGATGTAAGCCGAGGAAAGAGAAGCTTTGCAGCATCTGATCTCTTTAAAAGAGATACTTGTTTTAAAGGACATTTATGGGTATTTACCGGTCCGGATCTCAAACCACATTCAGCTCTTTACATTCAGGAATAAATGCTGAATACAGCTTTTGTCTTTATTATTGTATGTATTGTATTTATACCCAAATCCATATATGATGATGTACACAGAGATACAGGTTTAACATATACAACTTAATATATGAAGTACACAAGAGAACAGATGCTGCACAACCAGAGACAGATGTTCATCCAGAATGCCTCCTGTCTCACTTAGTTCATTTGTCTGTCATTTTTCAACATATAGCAGATATCTATACTAATATTAATTTATGTGTGGGAACACTTATACAATTAGAATATTACATAAATCATTATCAATCCCAAAATGTATATACAGGAGATTAAAAAATATCTCCACACTGAATATCTGGATGATTCCAACAATGTGAATGAGATTCATGGCTTTAAGTTACTTTTCTATTGAAAAAATTCTAATTAAAAACAGTGCAAAAGGATGATTACAAAGTCTTTAATCCTTTCCAGTGTTTGATGCAATACAGATAAAATTTACTCATACATTGTTAACAATTGAGTCTTCTCACCCTGCACCATTTATACAGCTGCAGTTGCCTTAAATATTTGTCAAGAACAAAATCAATACTGGTATAAAAAAAAGTAACAGAACTTAAACATTTCTGATATAGTGTTCTTCTTTTTTTTTACATGTACACACACACACAAGGAGAAGAGATTGTAAGTTAATGACCGTACACCTTATAAAAACTGCATATAAACTGCATCTGTAACATTATAACTACTCCTTTATTGACTAGACAGTTTTAGCTTTGACTTTAGTGCAGCATTTGAGAGTGCAAATTCACTTCTTTTTTTCTCATCACAAAGAAAAAGGCATAAAAGTGAGAAATAGAAAAGGTTTCTTTTCAACCCGCGCAATGTTAAACTGTGATGTCACACAGTCGTTTCGTGCTCCACAAAAGCTGCTTGAACTTCAGGAAGAAACCTGTCCAGCTCTTCGTGTGATGTCCCGTCCTCTTGTGCTAAGACCAGTCCATTGCCCTCTTTACATCGTGGCGCTGAGAGCTAAAAGAATCATTTAAAAGGTCACTAAAAAAGGTAAATATAGCAGTGCAGATCACAAGTGACGTTAACAACTACTCATTAAATGGGATCTAACAAGGCTGCAAGGACAATACTAACACGCCGATGTGAAGCATAATAATGTTCCGCATGAACGGATGTTCAATCAAATTTTCTTTGAGCCGCGTTCCCACATTGTTGGTTCAGGGTGGTACAACTGTCAAAATCTTTAGTGCCTGTACGGTTCTCCGTTAAGCATTAAGGGCTCAAAATGCCAAATAAAATTATCATCAACAATTTATAGCTTTGTGTTGCAAATATTGAGTAACTAGAGGAAGATTAAAAAGGGAGGCGCACGTGTTCAGCCTGGCGTATTATATTTACACAGAAACATTAGCGATAGAAGATGGTAGATAAAAATAAAACTGATGGCTATATTGCACACCTGGTTGATTCATAAGCCACTTTCAATTGTATTGATTGAAACTGTTTAGATAAAAAAACAGTTGATAAGATTCTTGTGAATTAACTCTTGTAATCAGATGTAAAAAACTAAAAATAAACCCACAATTGTACATAAAATGTTTTAAAGGTATCAAAGCATGTTGTTGTGCAGCAATTCATCCAAATGTTGGATATTTTCTGAAAAACCAAAAGTAAAGCTAAACCAAATAGTTCGGTTATTAAATATCATCAATCATTGGGCCAGATTTTTCCAACTTCTAACAATCAATCATGTTTCAGCTCTCTGCAGTGACGAGATGCTAACTAATGGAAGGAATCGGACCGGCATCCATGATTTTACTGACCGTCGGTCCTCGAGGAGTCACGCAGCAGAGCTTCTTTTTGAGGTGTTCAGGTAGGAAACAGAGCAGTTTCCCAAACACAGGATAGATTGTCCCTGGTGTCACATCCTCTTCTTTCATAGGGCCTAAATAGAAAACAGATTTGAAATGTCAAATTAAAAATCAAATGTATTGTGAAATAGGGAGAGCACGTGCACAGTAAGAATTGGCTCACCTGTGAGGAAGCTGATGATCAGGCCGATCAGAATGACTGCGAAGCAGCTGAAAGCACTGTACCACATGTAGGACAACGAATAAAATCTGTTCAGCCCAGACGGTTTGCTGAAGGACAGAGAGAGATGATTAACTTGTCAGATTATCAAAAACAAAAACTGAAGAAAGACACACGGTGCCGAATGTGTACCTGAGAGTGAGATTGTCGAGTGCAGTGTGGACGGCGGACGTGCTGTTGTCCGACAGCAGCGCGGCTCTGCAGCCGGCTGACAGCGGCCTCGCGCCGGAGCTCCGGTTGAAGATGCTCCCGATGCCGACCCAGAAAGACAAAGCCAGACCGGCTCCCAGACCCGCCATTGCTCCCTGGTAACAACAGCAAAACTATGTCATGTGATCTATGCCAATCATGCTGCCAGAGGTTCACATTGTCACAATGAGGGTTCTCAGCTTTTGCACTCTTGACACTCTCTTGGTAGATAAGATGCGCCCAGATGCCAGATGAAACAGATTTTTTATTGATAGCACCTTTTATTACAGGAATTCATTCTGGATTACATTTAATAATGAAAATGAATAAGTGGCTTCCACATGTGCTGATTACGTTGAAACCTGAGCGACAAAATGAGGAGCAAGAGAATCCCATTTCTACAATTAAACAAAAATAAATGAAAAAAGCCTGATCAACTTGAGCACATTAAGGTCAGCAGCTTCAGTGTATATGGTCTCGTGACTAAACACGCGGCGGATCTCATCGAAGAGGTTCAACTTACAGTGGGGTTGGCCCACGGGAAGAACATCCCGAGACAAAACAGACCAAGGACAGGACCGCCGACCATACCGAAGAGCTTCAAAGCCACCTGCAAGTCAAACACGACGACAATCAGTGCACGTTCAGTGAGAAATGTTACTGCCGTTATTGGAGCATACGACTTGTGAGCTTACATTGAGAACGGAAACGTCCATTAGGTGAGTGAGATAGGCCATAGCCAGACACAGCAGCCCGTAGGACATAGCTTACAGTGGGGACACAAGTTGAAAGTTTAGAACAAATGTTCATTATGCAGCTCTGAAATTGTGATGAACTGTAAAGAGCCAACCTAAGGCTTTGGACACCAGGGTGGCTCTTGCTTCGGTCATGGCGGGGACATGAGGTTTGACGAGATCTTCCATAGTCACAGTGGCCAAGGAGTTAAAAGCAGAAGAGATGGTGCTGCAGAAGGAGACAATATTTACTGTACAAAACAGAACTACAAATCTGTAAAATACATGAAAAAACAATGCAAGGTAAAGATTATTATTCGCCCTCTCAAAGACAACAAATCAAAGACATTTTGCTGTAATGGAATTGATGTGAATAACAGCATTAGATTTCCCATCATCAAGCTTATAATGTTCACTATTTAACTATACGATCATTTTTGAGGATGAAGTCTCTTAACAGCATTATTAGTCAAATGTTGTTGAATAATAATGTTATACAAAAGAAACTTTTAGTGGAGTCAAACTATGTCACCCCTGGCCGTATGACTTCACCTGGGACACCTGAACGGCGGAATGAGTTATTTACTGCCTCTTCCCTGGCTATCGGGAAGGAGATACCACCAAACTTAACTGCAAAAAACAATAGCTGACTTCACGAGTCAGAGAGACAGCGGTTTACTGACTGAGCTCATTTGAATTTAATTAAAAGGCATATATTAGGCAAATATATACTGGCGCTGTGGAAAGTCCCGTACCTGAGAGCTGCACTGAACAAGCAGGCAACAAAGAGTCCAGGTAGACCAGGAAAACCCTCCAGCATATCCATCACAAAGTATATCACCATCTGTGGAAAACAACCAAAATGAAGCGTGTTTGCATACTTATGCCACCATTAACCAAATTCACATCTGACAATGTAGGAGCTTGAGGACAGCACATTTACATGTTCATGCTGTAAAATATATAATCCCTGAAGGATTTTTTTACATAACTTTGTATAATATAACTTTCGACATTCACACATTCTCCATGATCCATGAAGCAGAAAAGGGACAATACTGATGATGGTTTGGTTCAGGCAGAACACTGAAAAGCTGAAATAACACACTGACTCACCGCATCGGAGGTGAGGTTCATCTGATTTGAAGACGTGGGCAGCATGGCCGAGTGATCCTCTCCACAGTAACGTGCAAACATGACCAGTCCCATCACACAGCTCAGAGCCAGAGACAACTGCAGGGAGGGAAACGCCATGTAGCAAGACCTGTACACAGGGAGGAAGAAACAATGTAAAAGTGGTCCTTTTTGTCCACCCAAAAAGAGAGAAAAATATCTAACTGGCACATTTTGGTGTGATTTCTTAAATTGTGGCATTTTTTAAGAATTGTGACAAAGAAATGACTTTTTGACGAGTACAGATTGCGGCCCAATGAGGTTGTGTTTGGACTAAGTGCTAACATAAGCATTCTGTTACGCTCACAACGACAATGCTGACTCAAAGCGGTTGAGAGGAGACCATCGGAGTCACAATCATATACAAAGTGTTTTTTTAAGCTTTAATGAACCTGACAGCCTCTTTCTCTGTGCGGGCGCTGAGATATCGTTGGACCTGAGCCTGGTTGACTCCATACAGGGACAGCATGAGGAAGACGCCGCCAACGCCCAGAGTCCAGAAGGTGTGTCTCTCCGTAGGATCTGGGTTTAGGCTGAACACAAGATAAAAAGCGCGTAAACATTATGCTTTGGTACGTTGGAACATTCAAGCATAACTCAATGGATCTTATTATGTCTCGCATTTGTTACTTTGTTTTTTTAGTTTTTGAAAACCCTCCCCGCGGTGAAGTGAAAAGCAGCAAGTGTTGATTAAACTGCGTAATTCTTCTCATTGCTTTGACACAAAATTAATGAACTGATCCCATCTTTCAGATTTCATTGTTTTTTCACTCAAATTTAACCTCCAGCTCTGTATCTTTACAGTTAAATTTACATTTAAATAAATTACTAGAAGAGACTGTAATTTGCAACATCAACATCTAAAGAATAGAGAATGCCAAAATGTATACGGTGAAGAGGTTTCAATAGGTTTGTAGTACTATAAATATAAATATAAGTAGTAGTAGTAGTAATACCTGTTGCAATACTGCACAAGTAGTAAGTGTTAAAACATTACAATATTAGTCTTAATGTCATTGTTCCATTATACGAGCTGATCCAGAGATGTATATGAAGTGTGAAGTAATTAAAACGTCTAATTAAAAAAAACATATGTATATAAAATACCATTCACTGTTTGTAGTAAAATGTAAATATTCTAATCAGTTAACCAATTCAGGAACAACGGGGGCTCCAAAGGAAGCTGCAATGGGCTTATTATCGTGCGTCAATCTTCTTAAAAAAGCACCAAACTTTCAGACAACTGTATTTTCAGTTTGTGACCACAACAAAATCGACTTTTCTGTTCAGGAGAAACTGTGATACCGGCTTTTAGAGAGCCGGTATTGACTTCAACATTTGCAAACAGATTTCCTCATCCATCCGGATGCTGCGTACTGCAAAACCCGGTGCGACTCACTTGAGAGCAGAGATGCGGTTTCCCTCCCAGACTTTCCTCCAGACTTCAGACGCTCCTCCGGTCTGATTCACTCCCACCACGATGACAGCCAGCTGCCCTGCAAACATCACAGCAGTCTGAAAGACGTCTGTCCAGATGACAGCCTTCAAACCGCCCTGCCAGGAGCAAACAAGACACATGGGAAATTAATCTGATATATTCTTCATTCAAATGCCAGACATCTGTATCTATAATCATTTCTGTTAACGCAAGATATATTTATTGTAATGTGGAAGAGGGGTCTTTAAACGGACACCCTACACTGGGCCTGTAAACAAGCCGTGAAACCAAAAGGAACAGTTGGGAACATTCAGATGCCAGAAGGTCCAGTTAAGCTGCATGAAAATTGCCCTGTATCAACTCACCATTGTTGTGTACAACGTGCACGCTAGTCCAGTAGCCAGCACTGCCCCCCATAGCTCAAATCCAGTAACTGAAAGAAAACACAGCTACAATTGAACCACAGATCTTATTTCTCTGCTGAGAGTAAAATACGTGACCTTGTCTAACCTGCATTTAGTGCAAAGGCAGGAGTGTACACACAAACTCCCATGTAGACAACCTGTAGCAGAGTAAAGCACACATCAGACACCATCGCCATCATAAAGGTTTGTAAAAATAAAACAGCATGTTTTAAGAGCATAAATAAAGCTGTATTTCACAGGCTATCCTATGGGGGTGCACCAATCTCATCCACTCGGGCAGATCAGGGCAATATTGGCCGTGTGAGAGAAATAGCTTTAGGAATAACGCTATCGCCAGCTTGCCAACAGTGAATATTGATACTTTCATGTCCGTACACTAAATATGCTTTGAATAAAACAGGGAATTCAGCTAACCTGCAGCAGCCTTGAGCTTAATAGCATGTGAGAGTTTTATTTTCCTCTTTTGTCAAAGCGTCAAACATTTTCCTTACGCTGAGTGGGTATTGGTTGGATGTGACCAATGCACGGTAAATACAGTTTTGTGGTGAACATCAGCTGGCTGCCAACATAAGCTTTAAGCAGCATGACCACATGAACCTCACATGAAAATAGAAAATGCACTCAGAAACCATCAGATTGGTACTCTCTGCAGACAGTGTGTGTAAAAGTAATGTTATCCCGAGAGGAAAGAGTGGTACTGGTGCATCCCCACTATATAAAGAGAAGTGCTGCACCCACTGTCTGAAAGATGAAGGTCAAAGTTCCACAGATACGCACTGCTTTGCTGAAGCGCAATTCAAGATACTGTGGGAAAACCAACAACATAAGAGTCATGGAGGATACACGCTATTAATCTGAACTAAAATCCAACAAATGGCTCTGCCGTACCTCGTAGGTACTGGAGAGCCGCAGTTTGTACAACACAGGAATGAAAACGTGGGCAGGAATGAGGAGGCCGAGAAAGTAGGCACAGCCGATGAACCAGTACTGAGTACCATGAGTATAGATTTCTGCCGGCACGCCGATAATGGCCACAGCCGACTGGAATGAGGCGATGAGTGACAGCGAAACGGGGAGACAGCTCATGCTCCTGTCCGCCATCAAGAACTCCTGCGTGGTGCGCTGGCGCCCGCCTGAGAGAGCGTGGTACAGCCCGATGCCCATAGAGGCAGCAAGCAAGACCGCAAATATCACATAGTCCACGGCTGTGAAGTGCTTCTGGTCGGACGGGTCCATGCTGATTGTTTTTGAGTCTTGGCTTCAGAATGTCTAGTCGTCTTTCAGAGGGACGAGAGAAGTCTCTGTCCACACCCATCAGCGAGGAGAGACCAGGAGCCTTGAAGAAAGCAAAGGAAAACACTGATAAAACCTGTGCGTGTTCGAGAGAGAGAGAGAGAGAGAGTAAGCTTTGCTGGCATGTTGTGGCTTTCTGTATCCAATAATCTTTTGAACAAATCTCTCTGCTTGACGAGTAAAGAAGTTAACCCACACAACCCAACCTGCTCTCCTTGTGTCCTGGATTCTCCTCAGCGGTTTCCAGATTCATTTTCCTTCACACATAGAGGTGAAATCACTGCAGTTACCAAAATGCTTTACACAAACCGAGGTCAGACAACACGGTCGTAAACTTTACCCCGCTTTGGCTGATCCAAAAATACTGACTGCAGCGAGGAAGTGCTATTCTGCCATCTACTGACTTTGTGGATACTGCACCACAAAGACACACAGCAGATACCAACTTCTGAGGGTTTTGAAGATCAAGAGCAAGCAGATTGTGTCGATCTTAAAAGTTTCCACTAATTTAGGAGGACACAAATAACAAATAAAAAGTTGTTTTTGTGCCAATTGAATTAATTTTTCAAAATATTTTTGACAATGAAATCACATCAAATTATCAGTTATTTCTCAAACAAAAATACCAAATATACGTTTTTCAGCTTTTTTTGTGGCGATTAGCTGGTTTCTTTGGTCTTTTTAATTTGATTATATATATATTAATATATGGTTAATTACACAAATCAATTCATTTGAAGATGTCTCATCTCAATCAAGGACATTCTGATTATTTCCACATATTAAAAATGTCTAATCAACAGCTGCCCAATTTCTGATAATTAATGATTGTTATCACATTGCTGCATTAATATATGAAACCTAACACAGGCACACAAAGAGACAAGAGAGATAATATTAGCAATTCCGTTTAAGGTGATGAAATAAGCTTCTTCAAACGATAAATCATAGTGGCTGCTAAATAGTTTTATTTCCAAATACTGATTGATAAATTGATGTTACGTTGTCAGTTCAGCTATAACCCAAACTCAACCATAGAAGTTAGCGCAAGGTAACTTAAGAGCTACTGGGAGAAATGAAGCAGGACTATTGATTTAAGTGAGTTTTACCTGACGTGAAGACTGCTACCTTTAGATATACCTTATGGGGAAATGTAACGTTACTGCACTTCCTCAAATCCCAAACGATAGCCAACCGCACCGAAAATGTCAACAGAATTGTTATTCTTCTAGCTGTGAAAATATATTGTGTCTGAACATGTAGAGCGGTGAGAAGGATAAAGACATAATAACACGAGACAGTCGCACCTTCACGCTGCAGCACTGTTATAATCCATGTGCGGCGAGCTGTCACCCCGGCGCCATACTGTCTTTGCTGAGGCGCCTGTTAAAACCGCACAGCTCGTTCACTGTGAGACTCAACCTCGTGTTGTTTCAACCGCTTCTGCTGTGTTTATAAAGCGTTAAATCATTATAATGGCTAGTTAACCTCTGTCAGCGCCACGTGTGGTCGCAGGTTATTTGGAATTCTCTTCCGGGCTGGAAACTGGGGGCGGGGCTACCGGTGATGACGCTACAGCCGCCAAAATCAAACACATCCGCAACTACAAGTGGATGTTTTCATCTAAAGCAGCGTAACGTACATTATTCCACACAACACAAATACTCCCAGAACATGGAGGTGGCGACTACAAAAGGTAACCCGGACTGGGGTAGAGGTAGTTTACCGGTACAACTAACGTTGTCTAACGTTAACTGGTACGTTGCCGTTAGCCATTGGTAGTTTTTCATTAGCTTAATGCTAGTTGAAGCAATCGCAGTCCTCAACGTTTATGAACTTAACATAAGCAAAACCCCACACATGTCGTTTGAAGGTTAACCCGATAGGACTGCTCGTTCCTCCGCAGGTGTTTTGAGTCATCTCAGTCGCCTGGAAGTTCAGAAAAGAAGCCTGAAGAGTCAACCTCAGCAGCCGGGTGGTGTGAAGGCGCTGAGGGCGACGGTGGAGGCGCTTCTGACGCAGAGGGACCAGCTGAGAGCAGAGATCCAGACTCACAAGGTGACGTTTCGTTCCATCTACATCACAGAGGGAAACCTCGTACTTCTTACTCTCCTATACGCAGCTCGGAATCACCTGTTTCACATACAAGGATTCCACTTTTTATGTCTCGTTTTTTTGGGCCAAAGGCACCAAAGGATCGAGATAGACGAGGATTTATTTTACTTTCAGATTACCGTTCATCTTCCCGCTCAGTGAAAACCATGTGATTCCAAATTGGACAAATTTGCTGTTGATTTTTCTGCACACTGACTACGTTTTGCATTGTAAGATAAAGTATCAAGGATAGTTTTGATTGCAGGACTTTAGTCCGTGTGGTTGTAGTATCTGAACGCTTCTTTCTGAAGATTTGTATGACTTAAAAAAAGTGGCCCCTTCTATCAGCAACTACCGTGTGAATTTCTTGTACCTTCTTGTTGGCTGATTCGTTATTCGGTACACCGTCCTGCTACAGAATATCAAGAAACTGAGGGTGTCTATGGACAAGCAGTGTACAAACGAAGAAGAAGAAACAGAGGAGGGAATGGACGAAGACTCCGAGAACTCAAACCTGCTGCGGCTGATGGCCAGACATACACAACTGAAAGACCTCCTGCATGCTCACAACGTCGTTGGTATCTGTCGTTCACCCATTTAATATTGAGATGTTGTTACACATGTCTTCTATCTGTCTGAGATGCATCAACGTGTCCTAATCCAACTTCTTGACGTCCCTCAGGTGGGTACAACGTTGTAAAGACCCGTCAAGGTAAAGGAGTGTGTGTGTCTGTGGCAACGTTCTACGAGGGCGTTTACTTGAACACTTACAACCTGGAGATCGACGTGAAGCCGACCGTGAGGATCAGTCGTCACAATGTTCCTCCGTTTATTCCTTTGAACAACCTGGCTGAGCAGAGCAACATGCAGACGGACCTCCGGACTCTTCTGGACCCCCTCAGCCAACATCTCAACGCCTTTGCCGGTCGCCAGCAGCAGTTTAAGTTTGTTAAGGTGCCCGATTCAGTTTTTTTATGGATGTGTGTGTGTGTGTGTGTGTGTGTGTAATAAATCTGACAAATCTCGGTTTGTCAGGTGATGTAGAAGTGGCTGCTCTGATCTCAAATATGAAACCATTAGACAATTGTCTAAGAAAATTGTTGTCTTTACTTGATGAGTCAATCCACAGAAATAACTGTAAAACATTTGAATAGTTTACTGTTTAGTCAGTTTCATAAAGCAAAGATACCACACTTACAATTGTTATTATCTTGGAGTGTTAATATTCATCTATGATGCTGAACAGATATTGGACATTTTGTACTGATGTCTAACATTTTATTGACCATATAATTAATCAAAAAAATCATTCAATAGATGAAAATGTATATGAAAAAAACAAAAGCGGTACAAAAATGTTTTGTATTGTTTCTTTTCATATTTTATAACTTATGACATTCATATATTATATAGATGACATATAATAATATCAGCTGACCACTTTATCAATTAATTAAACCTGCAGTAATTTTTACACATTTTCTTAAAATCTTCAGATGTAAGATGTGAGAAATGAATTATTTCTTTACTCAACATTTTATACTTTCATACTCTCTCAAAAGAAAAATAACTAGCAATATTCGTCCCATAATCTGTTCTGGTGGTAAACGCACTGAACCTGTCGTCCTGCTTGTTTCTCAGGAGCTCCATAAGTCTGTGGAGGTGATGGAGAGTAACGTGTTGTGTTCATTACTGGTGCTGAAGTTCACCGTCCCCAGAGAGAAGACGGCTGTTCTCTGCTCCCTCGACTACACTGACTGCACCAGAAGTCTTCCCACACGAGTCCACTTTGAATCTGACGGTAGGATTTGTTTAGTTCAGAAGTTTCCCAGACTTTACATTACATGTCATTTAGCGGACGCTTTTATCAAAAGGGACTTGTAAGTGCATTCAACCATAGGGTACAAACTCAGAGGAGCAAGAAACAAGAAAGTGCAATTTCCTCAAATAAGCCAATTTACAATTTGCTATAGATGAGTGACGTTACAAGTACAATTTAAGTGCTACAATTTGTTAGTCTTTAGTTGAGGTAGAGTCTGAAGAGGTGTGTCTTTAGTTTGCGGCGGAAGATGTGAAGGTTCTCTGCGGTCCTGGTGTCTTCAGAGAGCTCGTTCCACCATTTCGGAGCAGGGACAGCAAAGAGTCGAGATCTAGTCGAGTGTTTTGCTCTCAGTGAGGGAGGGACGAGAAGTTTAGCAGATGCAGAGCGGAGAGTGCGGGTCGGGATGTCGGGTTTGACCACCTCCTGGATGTAAGCTGGACCCGATCCATTCACAGCATGGTACGTGAGCACCAACGTTTTGAACTGGATGCGGGCGGCCACCGGTAGCCAGTGAAGAGAGCGGAGGAGTGTGGGAGAATTTAGGAAGGTTAAAGAGCAGTCGAGCTGCTGCATTCTGGATGAGCTGCAGAGGTTGAATGGCGGTAGCAGGGAGACCTGCCAGGAGCGAGTTGCAGTAGTCCAGGCGTGAGATGACAAGAGCCTGAATCCTGCGCTGCCTTCTGAGTGAGAAGAGGACGTATTCTCCTGATGTTGTAGAGCGTGTATCTACGCTGATGCCACCAAGCTGATGGCAAAGGACTGCAACTCAAATCTCTTCTTTTTTTCTTCTTCTTTTTTTGCAGACGAGGAGCTTCCTGAGTCTCCAGTGTGGAAAACACACTGCAGCTTTCTCATGGAGACTCCTGTGCACAAAGCGTTGAAAACAATGAGGAAGACGGGGAATATCGTGTAATTTATTGAGATATATAATAAAGCCATTCTACATTTGAATAAACTCTGATTTTTCTTTTACAATGAAACAGATACTTAAACTTTTGGTTTTGTTTTGATGTTGCAAACGTTTAGGTAAGACGCCGCATGTATTTCCATGTTGCTTTTGTCCTTGAACTTTTATATGAATGCCGCCACCTCATTGCGTAAAGTCTCCCACTGAAACTGCCTCAGCGTTTCTATTTCCTCCTGGGCTTTCTGCTGTTGCCTGGCCAGCTCTTTTTCCGATATTGCTTCACCGCTTCATCTTCTTTCTTGTGATACTGGGAGTTGCTGGTGTACGATCTTCTGCCATCAGATGGTTGTAATTTGTGTTCTTCAATCTCCCTCACGGCGACGTTGACAGACGCTTTAGGCTCAACCCCTTTTACCATCCCCACTCGTCTGCGTTCGCTCTTCAGGGAGTCTGTTCTCTGCTTAAGCGTTTTGCGAGTGGACCTGTACTGCCGGGCCAACGTGTCCGGTTTATGCTGGAGCGCCCGTTCCTCTTATTATTCAGCACTTTCAAATTTTTCTGCTGCACAACAGGTGTCTGAAGCATTGATCCATTAGAAGATGGCTTGAAGGAGAAATGTGTTTTTGAGTCACCAAAATAGAAACATAAGTTTTGTTTAAATTAGGAAGAGTTTGGTGTTTTCTTAACTGATTTCTGTCCTCTAAAGCGTTGTGTTCTGCAGGTGTTTTTATTGCTATGTCCGTCTCATTGTACGTTATGTAATAGCCTATTGTATCTGAAATAAAGTGAATGGGATTGTTGTGTGTGACATCGTAGTTGTTTTTTTGACAAACATTTATTTGACTTATTCAAGGGTTTTTTATGCGAATACTCTTCTTCCAGCTTCTAAAATTTTAATATTTCTTTGGCTTCTTTGATAGAAGAGTGAATCTCTTGAATTAGACTGCTGGTCAAGCAACACAAAGATGTTACTTGTATTTAACAAATCCATGTAAGGATATTATTGTCGCAGAGCCGTAGGGAAATCCACTTTTCTTCTGCAGTGTTCTGCCCCTCTGCTGGTTTGACCCCTCCCGCTAAACTGATGGCTCAATAAAACTTCCCCAAAGGTCCCTGCGCCATCTCAAAGTGGATGGACTGTTGACATCGTCGTCTGGTAAGTTGTTTTTGATGCTTTGGCATTATTCAAAGATAGCAGATGATTTAATGTCAAATGGACCAGATCTATGTACCTTTTGATACTTTGTTTCTGCTTTCAGGGGAGTATCTAATAGCTCGACATACACCATTAGAAAATACTCTCTTTGCTAATCTAGAAATTTAATAAAAGCAGGTGAATTGTATAGCTTCGAATTATTATGAATTCATACAGCTAAATGTTCATTTTGCATTCTATATTTGACATATTTACAAGTAAATGGAGGATATGAATATAACAAGCAATTACATGATGTATACAACTCATGTTGCAAATGAACCCTAGACATAACATGAAATAAACAGCATTAAAAACCTATATAATACCCTAGAAGAAAGACGTAAGAAATAAAGAAGAAATCATTTCTTTCATACAAACTTTCTATTGCGTTGACTTTTACTTTGAAAAGTCTATGTACTTCCGATACACGATAAACGATGGTATTTTCGTTTAATCGCTTAAAAGGTACACGCACCCATAGATAGATGGGTCTTTACTAATTAAATTAAATTAAATTAAAGATAGATGATTTTACTGCGCATGCGCGCTGCGTAACAAACGTCGACGTGTCGCTGCTGTCTCGCGTCATCGCGGAACTTCACTGACCCTCCGTCATATTAAAACTGACTACCATATTATTACACGTTCCTCTTTTCTCTTCTTCTTTTTCCAGCTTCTTCTAAATAGTTGTTTTCTTATTGTCACCCATTTTCACAACAAGTTTCGCTTCATCTGCTAGTTTAAATATGTTTTTGCACTGCAGCTATATGGAAAGCTACATTGTATAACGATGGTTTAAACGTTATGACATGTTAATAATATAGATCAATCATAGAATATTCGCACTTAGATGTGATAAATTCGATTAGATTGTAATATATGTAATAATTGGTGCTCTCGACCTGTTAAAAATGGTTGCTGATGCTAATATCTGCAATTTCTTTCTTCAATTTAATCACAGTTTCCACTGCTCGGACTATAAATGCATCGCATCCTGCACATTAGGAGACTTGTACTAGGAAACGCATGCAGGACAGTGAGTGTTCAAAACAACAGAACTAAAGTACTTTGTATGAAGGGGATATAGCGAGCAAGGCCAGCATTTCTTGTATCGCTGCATTGTGGCATTTAAGCATTTCCCTTTTTCTTTTCACCGGCCTGGTACAAGTGTTGCTCTGGCTCTGCCGGGATGATGCGTGCAGTGTGTGTTGACGTACCGGGAGGGCCGGAGAATTTGCTACTGCGGACTGTCCCGAGACCTCAGCCCAAAAGTGGAGAAGTCCTGATTAAAGTTCATGCAACTGCCCTCAACAGGGCGGACTTACTGCAGGTACAATCCAAATGCTACAAATAACAAGTGCATTACAATTCCCTTTCTAAGCATATCTACTTGTCCAGCTTTATATCATCATGGGAATATGTAATTTTTTTCTTTCTTTCTGCAGAGGCGAGGATTGTACCCACCTCCCCCAGGTGAGAGTGACATCATAGGCCTGGAGGTTGCCGGTACTGTGGATACTCTGGGTCCGGGGGTGAAAGGTGGCTGGGGGCGGGATGACCGCGTCATGGCCTTGCTCTCTGGAGGAGGATATGCAGAATATGTGTCCGTGCCTGAGGAGCTTTTAATGCCCGTCCCCCCTAATCTCACTCTGTGCCAGGCTGCTACGATCCCAGAGGCCTGGCTCACAGCTTTTCAGCTGCTGGTATTCATAGGTATGCATACATACAACCATGTTTTTTATTATTTCCTTTTCTTATTCAAGCTTCATTCTATCAGACTCATTGAGTTAAACGATCTATTTTCCAAGAAACACTCGAGAATTAGATAATAGAAAACTATTACATATTCTTGTTAGACCCGCTTACATAAGTGTAAGGGGTCTAATACTGCATGATGCTAATTTAAGTTGTAAGATGACATTCCTGAAAGAAACAATTCTACACGCTGCTCTAAACAAGTACAAAATATTTCAAGTTCATGCTCATCCAGACAAAAGTTTTATTAGTTTCTACTTAACATTACCCTCTCTACAATTACCAAGGAGTTAAATAACACATCGCGTTCTTGTGTCTGTCTTCTCTGCCTCAGCTCAGGTGAAGGAGGACGAGGTGGTTCTGGTTCACGCCGGAGCCAGCGGAGTGGGGACAGCTGCTGTTCAGCTGGTGCGTCTGCTGGGCGCCGTGCCCGTCGTTACTGCAGGAGGCCCCGAAAAACTTAAGATGGCCCTGAGTCTCGGAGCTGCAGCCGGCTTCAACTACAAAGAGGAGAGCTTCGCTCAGGGAGTCCATGACTTTACAGGAGGTGAATTTTTACAGGAGGTGGATTGAATGGCTTTATAGGTGGTGTAGGCGAGGGCAGGGAAACAGGTCCGGAGATAATTGCTGTAATTTTGTTGCATTGTTCTTATTGTAGCGATTCATCAAGCCAGTTGTAAAGTGTTCTGCAGACGTTTGATTGTGTCTCCTATGCAGCAGTAATGACAACGGCTTGTGTTAGAATCACAAATTACAATAGAGTTGGATAAAGGTGTACACTTTTAAGTAATCTATATTTGACTTACTGTCAATAAATATCATGAAACCCCAAGAAGAACAAAGTGTTAGTTAATTCATTCTTATAAGATCCTAATTGTATACAGAAATCTTGATTACGTTTTCAAGATCCTCTGTACGAAATTTGGAGATTGTCTATTTCCTCTCAAAGGCTTTTAACATGGCGACATCTGTCAGCTAATGGGGGTATCATGAATTAATTAGTAAGTAAGAAAGTAAGAAAGACCAAAAAATGGGTCAGCGGTTGAAACCAGAGCTGCAGATTAAATATCCTGTGCAATTGCTTTCACTGATTGAACGTTATTTCACAGGCAAAGGAGCGAACGTCATCCTTGACTGCATCGGCGGCTGTAACTGGAAGCAAAATGTGAGCTCTTTAGCCACCGACGGCAGGTGGGTGCTGTACGGCACCATGGGAGGCCGGGCAGTCGAGGGGGAGCTACTGGGGAAACTGCTCTCCAAACGAGGCAGCTTGCTTTGCAGCCTCCTGCGCTCTCGCAGCCTTCAGGTGAGAATCCAGAATCGACACACCAGCTTCATCCCTGCTTCGTCCATGCGGACTCATGTCAAAAGTGCCAGCACAACTCCCGTGTAACATGAGTGTGACTCCTGCGTTGTATTTTTCATTCACAGTACAAAGCCGACCTGGTGAAGGCTTTCTCACAAAGAGTGTTACCGTGCTTCTCGGACCAGCATGCCTCCTTGAGGCCTGTGATTGACAGCACATTCAACCTGGAGGACATTGCAGAAGCTCACAGACACATGGAGGCCAACAGGAACACGGGGAAGATTGTCATAAATTTGATTCCACCAAATTAGGAAACTCAGAAAGCAACAGCTGTAGTCATTTGCTCTGAAATATGAAATTGGATTCATCATGATTTTAAATGTGCCTTATACACCTCAATAGTCCTCAAACCTTTGGATTATTGGATTAAATGGGTTTTTCATCCAGAATAATTACTATGCCATTTCTTCTATATTGTCACAATTAACCGCTGCTAAATGTTTTTTAACATTGTAATCATATTGAAAAAATAAAAAATAAAAGAGACCGACACTGACTCTTCATTCATATATATCTAACAAATAATGGTATAATATATTTTATAAAGTATTACAGAAAACCATTAAAAGAGGACTATGCCAAAAGCAAAGCTATCGTCCTGTAAAATATTTTTATATTTATATTGGACACCGAAGTCCTGCAAATTTGCAACGCAGCGCAACCTGCGTCACAAGACCGCGCGGACTCCGTCCGGTCGCGAGCTTCCTGCTTCCGGCTGAAGTTATTCTTCTCATGGCTTCCTCTGCTGGTCATAACAGATTAAACTGAGTACCAGCTTCAGCTCATGGATCGAACTTCAGGACGACACACCGACACATTTGGGACTCTATGACTCGACGAAACACAACGATATTTATTCATCCTGGTGGTGAGATTCAACACATAACTGCCTCCTCATGCTAAAGTTAGCTAAGTCAGTTAGCCGTTTGTCGGGACTCTCCCCTTCGGGCTAAAAGAAAGTAACTGAAGTTAACTTAAACATATATATATATAAAGGCTACATGTCTTATGGTGGAGTACAGAACGTCCGCATATGGCGGCCATCTTGGGTCGGGCAACTTTTGTTGTTGGTGGTTGCTCAATTTTCAACCGATTTTTAAACGGTTTGGTTGGTTATAAAGGTCAGAGATGTAGTTATGACACTGCATACTTATGAATAATGTTCGGTTTAATATCATTTTCGTATGAAAACCCATGGTTATAATTAGAATTATTCATAAGTATGCAGTGTATGCATACTTGTATGCATGTATGCGTACATCTCTGTACAGGGTGGGGATTTCAACATGCAGCATTTCTTTGTAAAGTGAAATCTTGTACCTATTTTAGAACATTATTCTATTTTTTTAGAAAATAACACAACTATTCATAATATGTGTGTGTGTTTTCTAACCTATCGACAATTTTTGTTTGCATTTCTGCAGAGGAAGATGAGTCTTTGCATCGATAGAGAATGCTTTTTTTGTGCAAAGACCTTCCTTTTACATGGTAGAAGGAAGGTCATACCTAACCAAACCATTTCCTTCATTCACATTGGTATATTATGCCCTCCATAATAACAGAATTTTGTTGCGTTCCCAAAAGCAATGCAGTTAACTACATATATGTTTCACACTAGGGCGTTTTTGGTGACGGCCCTGTTTTATACTTACGCTGAATATACAGTGATATATAAATACTCTATTGTAACAATTTAAATTGTGTCTGTTATTTTACAGCTGCCAAATCCTGAAAGATGGAGGACCCCAACAAACTTCAGCGCAAAATGTCAACGGCAGGAGAAAGCCTGTACAAAACCCTGGGACTGGAGAAAGGAGCATCCCAAGAAGCAATAAAGAAGGCATACAGGTGCGTTCACAACCAGAGGTGTCAAGTAACAAAGTACAAATACTTCGTTACCTTACTTTAGTAGAAATTTGGAGTATCTATAAAATGACACAAATCAGAGTGACGCCGGGTACGAAAAGTGTTCGGTGGAAGGTTCCGTTTTCAGAGCGGCAGGTTTCGGTGGTCGGTTCCTCAGGTGGTCGGTTCTTCTGGTGGTCTGTGGTCAGTTCTTCTGGTGGTCTGTGGCAGGATCCTTTGTCAGAACAAGCCGATCTCAGTTGAGCATTTAGCGACATGGACCCGCCTCCTCATCCTCATGTAACGTTAAGAGTATCTTCATGACCATGGGTTTGCCGTAAATGTTTTTTTCTAACTTTATTGAGAATCTGGCACAACGCAGCGACTTAAATAAAGTGGTGTTTTGTTTTGGCGTCGCCTCTCTGAATATCGCCATATTTCCATCATCCGAACGGCACGTCACATGATCTTAAGGCACCTTCGGTCACATTGTAACGAACTGACATGTTCTGTGAGCGACGTTACACATTAAGAGTTTGTCCTTAATGGAAATGTTTTCCCCTTACATTACTTTTACATTTATACTTTAAGTATTTTTGAAACCAGTATCTTTATACTATTATTTAAGTCGATACTTCTACTTGAGTAATGAATGTGAATACTTTTAAAGACAAAGTCATCGCTCTACTTAACTTGTTATCCCACGTATATTTGTAATTGAATTGAATTTATGTTTATTACATAAAATTCCAATTTCTTGTACAAGTAACGGAACTCATTACGATAAGATACCAGTGAATGTTACCTGACGTTCATGGTCTGTTGTCAATTAAAAAGAGTTGAAGGGCCTGGATGTCTCTGTAATGTCTCGTGTTGTGCTTAACGGACCAGATTTTGACGCGTATTGTGACCCTCGCTGACTTGTTCCCAGGAAACTGGCTTTGAGGCATCACCCCGATAAGAACCCGGACAACCCAGAAGCTGCTGAAAAATTCAAGGAGATCAACAATGCCAATTCCATCCTCAGTGACGACAACAAACGGAAGATCTACGACGAGTATGGATCGATGGGACTCTATGTGGCCGAGCAGTTTGGGGAAGATAGTGTGAAATATTACTTCCTCATGTCCAAGTGCTGGTTCAAGGTGAGTTTGTGTTTCAATGTGGTTTTAAAAGTCCACAGTGAACAAGTGACGTTTGAGCAATTACCTGGATGAACTTTTTCCAATCGTGAGCGTGTTTAGGTGTCACACTCACTGTAGAATGAGTATCTACGGCAATCAATTTTCATTCCCTTTTCCTCTGATGTTCAGACCCTGTTGGTGTGCTGCGGTATTTTCACCTGCTGCTGCTGTTTCTGCTGCTGTTGTTTCTGCTGTGGGAAAGCCAAAAGCTCAGAGAACGAGGAAAACTTTGCTTATATGGACCCCGAGGACCTCGAGGCAGAGATCAGAGAGCAGGATGCAGGTGAGGGGCTTTGCTCTTTGTATTCACTTCAGCTTATTCAATGCAGTGTTTATTGTGAATTATTTGTCAGGGAATACCAGCAGAATGTTGAAGAATAAAACATTTTAATTTTGTTAACCACCTTGTTGTACTGACAAGCTTCCACCATGAATGGAGAAATCTGAAAACAAAGTAGATGTGGTAGTTTTAAGAAGCTCAACTGTTAACACACTTTCACACAACCTGCAGTTTATTTAGTGTGATTCGCGCCACTTCCCAAACACATCCATTTCCTCCACAGCCGTACCTTTTTTTTGAAACCCTGAACTCCTCCGGAGTCGCACAACCATGAGACGGTGTTTGTAGAATGTGGATTGAGTATTAAGATTACCGATGGAAGTGATGCTGCCCTGGATGGTGAATAACGACTAGTTAAACAGGAGTCATTTATTTTCTGAGTTCTTAGGGTTGGTGTCTCCTCTGTGAGTCTGTAAATAGTAAATAGTAACACTAATGGAGATTAATAGTGTAGAAATAACACTGTACCGTCTCACCAAATTATCATCTCAAATTTGACGTCACAGAGAAAAGTTAGGATCTTCTTGTAACTGAGCATTCTCTGGTCCAGCTCCGCTGAGCCCGCTTGAAAACCACATTACTGTTGTGCAAATAAAACCTTTAGTGACTGAGGAGAGAACTTGCAGACGCTGCTTGTTGGTTTGCTCAGTATCGCATTTTCTTTCACAGCAGGAGACCACGTAATAGTTATTCAGCCATGTGCCGACCCTTCGAACGGCGCCGTCGCCTCTTCAGGTAGAGTTAATCTTTTCTCAGCTGCTCTGTGCCGCTTCACTAATCGGGCAGAAGAGGAAGCGGTGATTCTGTTTCCTCACAGAGGAGTTTTGGCAGCTTTTAACCACTAAGTGTGTGGAGCACAACGTACTAACATTTCTTCCAACAGGTGCTGCAGGATGCAGTTGGTTTTATTTCCCTTGCTGCTTATTAACTTCATTGCACTCTGTTGATAATGTTATTGACGTTGAGCACAGTGGGGGAAATCTGGGTTAAACATCTAAATTCATTAAGCGTTTTTTAATATCTAATTGGGTTTTGGAGTTATGAATCAACAACGTTGTAGGGTGTGGCCTAATAGTTAAAGATCTATAACATCAAAAGTAATTGGCCTGCCCTAACCAATGTTCACATTGTGTCCCTGAATATACCCTAATTTTCAGAATATTTGAACTTTAGGAGACGCTGCTCTCATTCGCTCAATATTTGCTTGTTCTTTTTCGAATTTTAGATTTACAAACTAGCAAAGTCCTCCGAGAGTTTTAACCCAATAGCCGCACCTATTGGCAAAGGAAAATGCAAAAGTTAATACTTCTGGGTGGAGCAGAAGTTGTGTGAATAACTCCCGTTCTCTCCCTTGACTGAATGGAGGTGATCCTTCATATTTTAGTGACTTTTTGCAGGGCTTTGGACAGCGAGGCAAGTAGCCTAGTGGTGAGGTATTCCCTTTACGAAGCCAGACTCTGGTTTGAATCCCACACCTGGCTTTGATTTTTTATTTTTTTAGTCTTTTTGACCGCGTGTCTGGTTGACCGATGCTCCCCCCGACATGCAAGGGGAGGCGAAGGCCCGTTCATCGCTGCTTGCAGCTTTAGTTACTTTTATTATTTTAATCGTCCCGCGGTTAATACTGGTATAAAACCTCAGGTCCAGTGGTGCAAAGCCAAAAGAATCAACTGGCTGGACTTTAAAACTTGAAAAGGATTTAATAACTAACAGAACACATAGTCAATTGCACTACGAATAGTGTAATGTTTTGCGAATTAGAGAATCTCCTTACTCTGACTAAAAACTATGAATTTCCGAAGTCTCTCCCCTGAGCTCTTCCTTTTCGTTCCCTTTTCCTTCTAGAGAAAGAAAAGCAGAAATGAAGATTGCATTATGGAGGCCATTTGTACAGCATTGAATGACTTAGATATACAATATGTTTAATTCCTAATGCAGGAATTATTATACTACCTTATAACACACAAACTATAATTCTGCCACTAGTCATGATGAAACATGTTATCATTTCTGCCGGCTGTGCTTTCTGCTTCATTTCCTAACAGGACCCACTGATCTTGAGTGACTAACAGTTCTGCTGCTTGTTTTTTTGTTTTCACATTTGGGCCACTCCGCTCTATGCTGTATAATCTGTAAACTCACGTAAGGTATTTGAGAATATTGTAGACACTTAAAATCCCCTTTGTTTTCACACCTCCAGGTGAGAATGCGCCGATCGTGATTCAGCCTCATGCGACCAACGGCGCCTCATGAACGCAGTGAGCGGCGTTCTGATGAAACCACATTGTCATAAGCATCTGCCATAATCTTTTTGGAAACTGATGAGCTTACGTTATGGTTTGAATTTGGCCAAAACATATATATATTAATCTGTTTATGTCTTCGATGAATCAAGCATCTATTCCATTGGGCCATTTTGTTCTTTCTGTGTGTGCCACTGGGTTTGTCTTTGTCCAATCTCATATTTATGTCATCCTTATTTTTAAAAATATTGGGTTACTTGTGGACTGCAGTGAGAAATGACAAAGCCATGCAGATTGAAATCTCTGGAATCTTTTTATTTTAATTTTATGTGCACTTTAATGTCTTGAGTTGGTATTTAAAATCTTAAAGCAGCCGCGGCGGTCTGCGAATATTCCGGCTCAAGATGGCTTTAAGGTCGGAAATGTTATAATATTGTCTTTTAAAACGACACAATACGCAGGTTCCCAATTTTTTTCCCAATCACTCGGAGACCTAGAATGTGTTCACTCACTCTGTACATAGATTCATATTGTAGAAACAGATTTACAGTCTATTGAGACGATGGCAAACTGTGGAGTGGTTTGGACTTATGTTGACTGTTGTGCATTCGTTCCTGTGTATTTTATTTCTATCAATGAGTAATATTTGTAGGACGGGCATTACAGGAAGAATTCAACATTTTGGGAGAAACGCTCACTCAATTTCACATCATTGTAGTCACGACTATGAGTGCAAATATTTATGAGTGACTTCCTATAAAATCGACTATGACAATATTGCAATGTATTCCTAAAGTTGACTTTAAAAAGAAGACTTTTAGAATGCGTTGGCTTTTTGTAGCACCTTTCTGTCAAGCGTCCATCTGAGGGTCAGAATCTGGTCCTTGTGAATGTTTGTGTATAATGGTGGGAGACGCTGCTTTTGTAGGCAGACTTTAATACCTTTTTAGACTCCGGCTAGCTGTTCCTCACCGTTTCCAGTCTTTATGCTAAGCTAAGCTAATTGCTTCCAGCTCCATACTAACACAGCGCACAGACATGAGAGCTGCATCCGTCGTCCCACATGATGTTTGTAAAGTAAATAAGCGTGTCCTCCAAAATGTTGAAATGGTTCCTTCACTCTTCCTGCACATAAGATGACCTCAAAATAAACTTTAGGTACTGAGAAAGCTCTTTATGAATCTGTCATATTCTCTAAATCTTTCCTACGCTTGAAGCTAGAACCCATAACTCACTGATTCGTTGAGAAATATTACACATGCAGTCATTTTTGGGGATCGGTCGAGGCCTGATGTTAAAGGCGATTTCTCTGGTGAGTGAGGTGATTTACTGCCTGTTATGTGCCATAAAATTGTGCTCAATGCAGGAAACATGTTTGTATGTAAATTCAGAGATGTATTTTTGTAATACTCATTCTCATCCCTCCTTTTCTTTGACTAATTTAGTGTATATTAAGAGAACGCCTTAAATTATATTTTGTGTTTGTATTATATTGTGTGCATTTGGTACAATTCTAAATTGTATGTGTACAATATTTTTAGAATTCGTTCCTGTGTTTATATACATTTTGAGCAAACCCAGAAATGTATATAGTCAATTTTATACACAAAACTTCCCAAAAGTGTCTAAATCTTAATAGGATTTTAAAAATGATTTTTCATCTTTTAAAAAAGAAAAAATATATGTATATTTAGTTTGTCATCTCTTCATTCCCAGATATTTTTTCTAATCTTTTTCGGTGTTTCTGGTGTGTTCGTGTCTGTAAAAGTATCGTCTGATCAAATAAACCTCTGGCGGTGAATGCAGTGTCGTACAGTTATCTCGTGCTTGGAACAGTTTGCCGTCAGTGAGCAGCACGTCTGGGCTCCGTCACCTGCCATTGGCTCCCGTTGTGCTCCACCTCTGAGAGAGAACGCGTTCACAGCAGCTGGCAAGCTGTCCAGCTTCACGTTAACATTAGATAAACCCAACAGGGAGTCCTGGAAGCGTATTCACCTGCGCATATGGAGCTACCAACAGAGAAACATCTGATTGAAGCTCACCAGGAGCCTCTTGGATGGTAGGCACTTGCTCTTTTCACGTTCTCGTGTAAACTCAACATCGCCACAGATTAAAGGGATTTAATCACGGTTCTGCCTTCTCTCAGGACGGCTTCTGCAGAGGACAAACCGTCCCGCTCGGCATCCGAGTCCAGCGAGGACGCCTCCAGCACGGACGGCCTGTGGCGGCCCGGCCGGCTGTGCCAGGAGACGGGCTCCGTGTCTCCGGCTGAGAGGGACCGGAGACGTTTGGCCAGAAGGAGACTTTTCGTGGCCGGTGCCGTCAGCCTCGTCTTCATGGCCGGGGAGGTGATCGGTGAGGGGGAAGGAAAAAAGGATGCGGTCATGTCTGAGCTCAAGCTGCCGCAAATATTCAGATGCCGACTGTGACACTTTGTTTTGTCAGTAACTTTAGTGGTAAAAAAACCCCCAATGTTCATCTGGATGGTAAAAAGGGATTTGGACTGATGGGAAGTCAATTTTCTCAAGGCTGTGCTAAAGTATCATTTTGAGGTTCTTTTACTTTACTTCATAAATACAGTTTACTGCTACTTTATATAAAATGTCACATTTTCTTCTGAGCATATTACAAATTCATAACGTGAAAGATGTGATCACTCTTATAGATAAAAGAAGTAGTCTAAATATAACACTGCTTACTGAATCAAAAATATCAGCTGATTAAAGACTGCAGTTTATAAAAGAAATAATAACAGAACACTCAAAATACCAAATCAACAAGCTTAGAAGTAAAAGAGAGAACATTTTTAAATCTGGGAAAGAAGACCAGAGTCTACGGAAACACACCTCAGTACAGAAGAGTCCTAAAATTAATCACACAAGCCCATTAAAATCAAAAATTAACTGTGTACAAGACACAATGTCGGAGTACTTTCACCAGCCAGCCCCAACAAGTGTATTTCTACACTGTAAAATATCACGTTTACTTATCTTGTTCTTAAAAAATACAAACACTCTTGTCTCTTAACCTGCTACACAATCATCACCCCCCAGGTCACTCTCACTGAGAGACACACACACACACACACACACACACACACGCACACACATACATGCATATGTGTGTGTCTTTTCTGCAGGTGGATACGCCGCGCACAGTCTGGCCATCATGACAGACGCTGCCCATCTCCTGACGGACTTTGGCAGCATTGTGATCAGCATCTTCTCTCTGTGGATCTCCTGCAGGCCTCAAACACACAACATGACCTTCGGGTGGCATCGAGCAGGTGACGTCCAAACCCGCTTTGTTGGAATCATCCAGTTAAAGGGATAGTTTGACATTTTGGTGACTTCCTTCTCAGATCGATATTCAGTCAATCTTACATTTGTAAATTATCATACATTGTGTTGAGTGATTCTTTTCTGTGAGTTTACGTTCTACGGTTACGGGTTATTTTATTAAGTTAATCAAGTATTTTTTTAAATGTCAAGTCAAACGTATATTTTGAGAAATTAATTGAAACTACAATGTTGAGATTTCTTTTAAGTAAATATATAGATTGATAGATTATCTATTAAAACACTAAAACATTTAATAGTTGGTGTCTTGTTAAAATGTTGTATCTATAATCAAGTATTCTATATTGTGATGATGTCCTTCAGTTTGATGAGAAATGTTTTTTCCTCTCTGTCTTCCGTCCGAAAAGGGATTGTTGTTAAATCCTTTACATTGAATATTTGTGTTTTCCCCTGCTTTTACCAACTATCCTGCAAAGTCTACATTTAGAGAACAGAACCACGAATACAGTCCCAGTACTTGTGCAATGAGCCGATCTCATCCACACACGTCTGCCGTTGAACAGAGGTCGTGGGCATGTTGCTGTCAGTGTTGTCCATCTGGGCCGTGACGGCCGCGCTGCTCATATCGGCCACGCAGAGGATCTCTGGCGGCGACTACGACATCGACGCTCCCGTCATGCTCGTTACTTCCGGCTGCGCTGTGGGGGTCAACGTCCTGTGAGTGTTCGGCCAAGCTGCAATCAGACCCTCTTCCTCAGGTCGTCCTGACTTTGCCCCGTGTTTAGGATGGTCCTGATCCTCCACCAGTCCGGAGCCCCTCACGGCCACAGTCACGCGCTTCCCGCCGGCCGGCGCCTGCTGAGCGGCGACCACCACGACCGCGGCAACGCCAGCGTGAAGGCGGCCTTCATCCACGTGGTGGGGGATCTGGTGCAAAGCGTGGGAGTCCTGCTAGCTGCCACCATCATCCACTTCTGGGTCCGCCGCTTACCCGACACGCCGCGTTTGACTTGCGGAGGCTAATGTTGAATGCGTTCCCACTCCCCCACTTTGCTAATCAGCATTAGTTAAACACAGAGTTCAACCGGGGCTGATGGGAATGCCGTTAGTTGATATTGGGACAAATTCTGCTACATGAAAAGTCAGTAAGGTTTGCTTGAACCACACGGCTCTGCCAAGTCTTCATCGATTAGGGAACTTCCTTCACCTTGTGCGTGGAAGAGATTCGTCACACCACCTCATTTTTATTTAACGAGACCTGAGCAAACTGACAGAGCCACAATGTGAGACCCTGTCTAAAGCTCCAGCAAAGTAACTGAGGTGAAATGTACAGTATTGTACAGGTAAACTAACACGCTGGCAGTTTGGATTTTGTACATTGAACATTTTTTGAAGTTTTTGAAATTAAGAAAATTTGCAAGAATATAAATATTCTTTAATTTACTGAAACTGGACAAGATGAGTGACAACTCATGTGTAAGTAATTTATTTTGACAGATATGAGCAGAGGCACAGATAATTCAGTTTATAGCCTCTGTCCCGTGGTTCATTTGTTTTGATCTCATTTTGAATCTCTTTGTTCCTCACAGCCGGAGTATAAAGTAGCAGATCCCATTTGCACATTCCTGTTCTCGCTTCTGGTTCTTGGGACGACGCTTCCCATCACTAAGGATGTTTTCAGAATCCTGATGGAGGGTAAAAACATTTGGTCCGCCCGCGACATTTGTTGACTGCGTTTCGTTTTAACGGCGTGGCCTCGGTTCCCCTGCAGGCGCTCCTCCCGGCGTGAGCTTCAGCGCGGTGAGACAGCTGCTGCTGTCGGTGAGGGGAGTCGTGTCGGTTCACAGTCTGCACATGTGGAGCCTCAACACGACGCACTCTTTGCTGTCTGTCCACATGGCCACAGGTAAAAGCTGCTACTAATGTCTTTAATCAGGTATCTAGTATCCCGGATCGTCCCACTAAAGGTCTTTATGGCTAAAACGGCATAACAGCACAAAAATCAGACCAACCATTTTTGACTTTTTCACAAAATATCTTGAACATCCTTTACAAATTCACAAGTATGACAAGTTGTGACATTCGCTTTAGAATGTTTTTATTCATGACTTAATGTATTACGGTCGTTTAAAACCTTCAGTTTTGCAGCATTTAAACATACTATTGGAATTTGTATGACCCGCGTAGCTTTTATTTTGTAAACATACATCTGAAATGCTGGACACCAAGCAAACAATGCGATTAAAAGATTGTTGACAAGTGAAATGATTTTCCTACATTTGTGTCCTCAGAAGATGCCGATACACAGATCATCCTCATGAAGGCAACAAAGCTCCTGCGCTCAGAGTTTGGCTTCTCCACCGTCACAATCCAAATAGAGACTATTTGAAACAAAAGGGTATTTGACATTAATGTTTGTTTGAGCTTTGCTTATTCATATGATTTCCATCAGGTTGACAGCTTTTACACTATAAAGGTTTATTTATGAAGTAGCTGAGAGAATATAAATGAACATTTACAGTATCTTCATTGAAAAATGTATTACACTTCTATATTGTGTAGCACCTGTATAAATTCAAATAGAAAATGTTTTACACCACATTAAAGTAGACAAATCCATAATTGGTTAATACTGTTCACGTGAATAGCGTCTTAATGGTTTGAGTATAACAATAAGTAAAAATGGTGAATAGAGTTTTACATTTATTTCAACAGACAGTCTGGACGTGAAGGTTTACAGTTTAGATGATAGTAAACAACAGATCCATGTAGACACGATCTTCGCCCGGCTGAGAGTCCTGGTCAACACGGGCGACTAAATACGGTTTTGGGTCACGGGTCTTTGAGTTGGTTGGTGCACGCGGGGCGTCCGTCCCTCCAGTACTTCTCATACATCTCGCGGAACATGTTCTTGCAGGATATTCTAGCTTTGAGTTTAGAGCAGATGAGGAAGGAGCCTCCCATCTTGCGGTGAAGGGAGTAGGTTTCCTCGGGGGGCGGCGTCAGTCGCTCCCTCAGCATCACCGGGATGAGGCTGTGGATACGAGCTGTGGTGCTCTGAGCTCCAAAGTCAAAGGGCTCCACAGAAGCAAACGCCTCACCGAGGATCATCACCGCATCCACGTGGGTGTTCTCCATCACCTCGTAGCAGGAACAAAAAGCAGTTAAGGGCTTTTCAAAAGTTCTACGTTCAGAGATCCGTACTCATTTACTTCTCAAAGTCAAACTGGGTTATTCATTGTTGTTATAACCATGGACTTCATCTCAACACAAGTAGCTTCGACCGCTGGTCGCTCCTGGATGACGTTCTAAAATAAATTCTGCCGCCTGCCGAAGAGCAACGTCAGGTTATAGCGTAACACCGGTATGAACAGTAGGTGGGAAATTCCTACTGTACGGAAATCTTATACGGCCCAGCCCTACAAACAGCACGTTAAGTTAACGTTGTGAAATAATAAACTCCCAAAATGTACATGTCCTTAAAAGATATTTAAGCAGGCATGTAAAAAGCCAAATAGTGTCATCGTAGTTTGTCATAAAAAAGCTAGTTATGCAAAACATTTGATATATTTTATATGAAGCAAATCAAAAAGATGTCATACTGTATTTGTCAAAAAAGTTAAATTCTAGGTCGAGTTTAGGGTTTTATTCAATTTAAAATAAATAAAAAAACTCAACTGTCGAACAGTTCTTTAACAAAATAAGTGGTTGGTCTTTGTTACCTTTGACTCGTATCCAGTCAGGAACTTCATGTCTCTGGATCTCTGTAGGACACCTTCTCGGTCGTTATTGGCGGCAGCATTAATAATCTGATTTGAAAAAAAGTGCAGAAAAATAAGCACGTTATGAGCTTCATTACGGTTTGAGTCCTTTTAAAACAGTTTCGCCAACAAAAATATTATTTAGAAAAAAGTTATGTGAAAAGTTTCTAATTAACAAAATCCTTTTCATCCAGCCGTTACTACATATTAAAATCTAGTTTTAATTAAAAGCATATGATGGATAAATGATCCTGTCATCACAAACAGGAAATAAAACAAAGTAAATGAACCGGCTAATACCGTATTTGTTGGTCAATGTAAACTACAATAAGTGTTTCACCTCGAGTGCTCACCTCGATGTAGGTGTCAGTGAAACTCTTATCGAATCCCCGCGTAGCTCCAAAATCCAAGAGTGCAACCTGGAAATAAACGGCCTTCAGTGAAGACGGGAGAAATAGTAAAAGGACCAACAGTGTTCTTGTTAAACAAAGGGAATCGACACACTGACTTTGTGAGCTTGGGGATCAAAGAAGAAGTTGGACCAGTTTGGATCAGTCTGCATGAATCTGAACTCAAAAAGCTCCCTCAGGCACAACGTCAGGATGTGCTCACAAATCTAAGGGAGAGAAATACAACCGTGCTCCATGAACATTGTGGCGACATGACTGTTAAAAAAAAAAAAAAAAAAAAAAGGTCTCTGCATTCTTGAAGCCCCCGAAAAAGGTGTCAACATGCTGGCAGTGCGGATGGTGTGAATTCGGGTCGCGGCGCTCGTACCTCATTCCTGAGCTCCTGGGGGAGGTCGGTGGCCTTGTCCAGAGGGAAACCCGGCACCAGCGTCGTGGTGAGGACGTGCGGGCTGCTCAGCTCGTCGATCACGTCGGGCACGTAGAAGTACGGATTATCCTTCAGCAGCTCTCTGACACACAACAACGTAAGAAAGAAAACATCGCATTCAACTAGACAGCTGAAGTTCAACCGTCACGCTTAAATAAATGTGCGTATCATTTCCTCCAATGATGAGGTGGAATGAGTCTGGCTCTGTACAAAAAAAGGTAAGTCAACCAACCAGCACCTCAAAAGCTCACTTATCATGTCGTCATGACAAGCTGGCAGTGTCCCCCCTTTAAAGGCTATGCTAAGCTAACTGTCGTATTTTCCCCAAACAGACAAATTGTCTCAGATTCCCCACAAGAAAGCAAATAAGCACATTTCCCAGACAGCATTTATCTCGATTAGCTTTTAATTAAAACACTGAACGTCAGTTATAAACAGCCCCCCTTCAAGGTGTCAAGAGAGCAATTCAATTGCCCAGAGTTCTTTTTTTTTTAATCCTTTCAAGTATTTATAGACAAAGTTTAGAGTTAACTGCTCACATGTGAGGAATATCAAAGTATTGCTTTGCATTTAGAGTTTCAAAGCCCCCCCAAAGAGGTGTGCAGAAAAAGGGAATTCGGACAACTTACTGGAATCTTTTGGTACATTGGGCCTCCCTTATGTAATCACACTCCCAGGGCCAGCTCCCGGCTCATGACCTCAATGAGGTGCTCTGGAAACATACCTGCAAGAGGGCAAACGTTAAAAAGAGGGAAATCAAGACATGCAAGCCCCCTGATGTGAGGAGGGCATGTTGACTGAAGACATAGCAGCCGTTATCAATATGATAAAAAATAAAAAGGTCTCCAACAATGTTACCTTGAGGCAGCATGTTGCTTAAACTCAGAAGCGTCATGATATTATTCACGTCGCTGTCGATACTCTTGGCAACACCAGGGTACTGAAAGCACAGATTTCATTGTACGATTCACTTTGCAATCGTTTCCTTCCGTGTTTTATCTCGGCGCAAACACCCACCTGAATCTTCATGGCCACCTCTCTGCCGTCCTTCAGTCTGGCTAGATGCACCTGACCGATGGACGCCGCCGCAAACGGCTTCTCCTCAAAGCAGTCCAGCTGGTCTCTCCAGTTTGGGCCGAGGTCACTGCAGATGGCTTTCTGCAGGGCGAGAAGAGAAAGTCGCCTCCTCGGTGAACTCGAGTTTAGCCCCCTCGCCTCGTTCATTGCGGCTCTCCAAACCGTACCATCATCTGTTTAGTGGGCATGAAGTCCGCGCTCTGTCGAACACGCTCAAAGATTTTGGCCAGCTGAGGGTTAATGAAGGCGTCATCTGAGGGGAGGGGAAATAAGATACAAACTGAGTGAAATCGGACCGTAACGAAGGCGCTTGTGTAATTACATTCAGTTATCAGCACCAGTTTCAGAAAAATAAGCATCTTTTAATCTAAAATGTGCTGTAGCGGGAAGTGATGCATCTTGCTCATTTTGTACAGTGCAAGTGGAAATATTAAGGCATTAGTTTGAATGCAAAATGTGCTATTTTTTATTAATTTAGTTCAAGCACTTTAAAGGACTGTAGGCTTCAAAATATGTGCATTGACTCTGGGTAATAGTCACATGGACCTAAAGCTCTTAATGTTCAGAAAATACATTGAGTAACAATAGTTGATTAATCGTTTTCATCTTTAAGAAACTGACACACCAAATAATTTCCTATTAATCCAAATCTTATTACTAAAGAACATTTAATCCCATTAGACGTATTTGGAGCACCAAATCTTAATCAGTTCATCCTCGGTCCAGATGGATGTTGGAGCATAATATGATGTAAATGGAACGGACTGAAGGACACGACCTTTGACCCCAAAGTATAATCAGTTCAATGTTAGACCAGCGCAGAGGCATCGATGTCATAACATATGCAGCGTCTATAGAACATTGAGCAGCACACAAGTTTGTTATGCAGATGTCAGTTTAGTACGTCATGATACATTTAGGTCTTAGAATAGGTCATAATTATGTAATACAATATCTCATGGTATAGCTTTTAATCAAAAGTAATATCAAATTGTATAGTAGACAAGATAAGTCAACGGCTCATACAGTGAGTGATGAAATCCACCATGTGCACAGCATACCTACAACTTATCAAATATATTTAGTTAATTAATAAAGTCCAACTTTTTCTCCTGAGCAGAAAATGGAAATATTCAACTAAATCACATAAAACTGTACAGACTGAAGTTTCTTTCCTGTGGTGGTGACTAATAATATTACATGAGAAAACAAACCAGAGAGCATGATGACACGGGTGATAGCCGGCAGTGTAAAGTTTCACTTGAGCCACGGCCGCCTACAATAGCTCAGCTGGAATGGAACTTGTTGTATTCAGCTGGCCAAATGCTTATTTTAAGTGATGATATTTGCTTCTTACTGAAGGATCAAGTTGGTTGAGAAGCTGCAGCACCAGCTGGTTGTGTGTTTGGTCTCTGGGGAAAGCTGAACAGTCACAGGCCCACAGTCTGTTAGTGTGCGTGTGTGTGTGTGTGTGTGTGGTGCAAGATCAGATTCTAAATAAGAGACACTCCCACCTTGAATGCTGAGCATCTGTCCAATTTTCAGAGCAGCACCTCTAACTTTGCAAAGTGTCCGGACGATTCTTTGAGCGTTTGCTTCAGAGAGGAACGCACTTGAGCCCAGGACGGATTTATCATCACCTAAAAAAAGAGAATCATGCCAATTATTGAACGTTTCAGCGCCAAACAGGATTACTTCTAATAATGTACACCACTATCTACAAGCACAGGAACATTACACAGGACATATTTTTCAGTGTCTGTACTGTAAACGTTATGCAAGACAACGTGGGCCGAGTCACTCTAGAGCGACGTCTATAAGAGGCACCACGCTGGCCTCCGACCCTCCCGTCACCTTTCCCTCCTTGATGGGATTTGAAACTCTTCTTGGCCACTTCAGCGATTGCCCCAATGCCGAGTCCAAGCGCCAGTCCTGCAAAAAGAAATGCAAGAATGAACACGCAAGGAGGAGAAACGCTACATGCCCACAACAGTTATTGCCAAAATACCTTTAAATAAAACCACGCGCTTCTTCGGCTAAGTTTGTTTTGACAGATTAGCTGTGACTTGGGCACGTTTAGTGAGTTGGGGACCCGACCAACCCTCTATTGAACAAACCTTGGTATTTGGCAGTGGGAGAAGTAGACTTACGGACTAATGGTTTAAGTAAAAAACATTGCACAGTAATCCTGCATTCAAATGTTTAATCAGGTGAAGTGCCATCGTCAGCACAACCAAGTCCGTTAGATCTTTCAAGCCAAATATAATGCAGGTTAACAAATACAGTTATCTCATACAGGTTAACAAATACCATTTTAAATGATAGATTTAGTGAGTAAAATCTAACATCTCTGCCAGGTAAATGTAGTACGGCAGTACACCGTTGTGGAAGTACACAGCAAATAAGTAGACTGCCAGGATCTATTTGAAAGGAGACGTTAAAATGTCATTTTTTATATTGCTATAAATGCCCAATTTCACCTTTACCAATGCCCTCCTCTGAATCTGATAAGCACAGCGACAGAAAGGCTGTAATAAAATCAATGGGTAACCAGAGGAGGGTTGATTTCTCATGGTAACACTCAGAGCCTTTTATAGTTCAGCGCCATGAAAGACGACCAATAAACATCAGATGCCAAACAGCGAAATGTGATGACGGCACATTTTATAACAGCTGGCTTTTCAGGCACGTCCCCGAAATATTTTCTCATGCTCTTGATTTCACAGCACTTCACAACTCTCCAGGAATAACGGAGCTGCCACTTGTGAACAATTATTGCCCGTTTAGGGTTACTAAAACATTGAGTTAAATGCTGCAAATTCAGGAGTCATTTTATCCATTAAAACAAGTGAGCTCAACATAAGTTGGTAAAGAAACAAAGGGCTCATTTCTTTCCATTTATTTAATGACTTATGTGGGGAAAAAAGTAACTTAAACCTCAAGTATAATACGTATTCTGAATATTCAAAATTATATGGTTAAAATAAGAAATGCATTCAAACTCAAATTATTCTGTGATTCCTTTTTACCATTTGTGCACCCAAGTTACAAGAGACTCCTCCATGCTTATAGTTCCTCATTATTCCACTGATTTACGTGTCGCTGTAATGCAGGAAATAATGCAGCAGCAAAGGCAGAGCGACATAATGTGAACAATGCTGGTTTCAAAATCATTTTTGAGAAACACTGAAAAAAACATAACATTTGGTCTATTGATGCACAGGGCACCATGAAAAAATAGATTTTTTTGGGCAAAGATTACACCTTTAAGAGGTCCTGGAAGCTGCCCACTAATGTCAACCCGACCCCACTGATGGCGCTATGGGTTGAACCAGTTGATGGTGTTTAATGTCAGAAGTTTAACATTCACAATAGTTTATTCTGAGGACTTTGATATCAATGAGGTCGCTTTCTATTTTTCTTTTTTTTACCAGTGTTTTTTTTTTTTGTACCAGAAAAAACGGCCAATAAACAAACTTACCCCCAAAATTCACCAGCCTTCCTATCCGTGTAACAGGCACTTTCCTCTCTCTGGCTCTTTCACTGAGCTGGATACAAGAGAAGCACTCAAACAACAAAAGAATAAAATTGTGCCGAGCAACGATCAAACAAGAACATTGGAAAGGCCTATCGGCCAATAATATATTCTCACACACACACACACACACACACACACACAGTTGTGCATACCACTTGTTTATGTTGCTTGAGGCCTTTTTTCTTGGCGCTTCCTGCTCCATCGACGTCCACCAGCTTAGGAGGTCCCCGGGTTGAGTTGCCTTGGTTAAAAAACCTTGTCTGACCAGAATGCAGCTGGCGGGACCAGTCGCCGTGGTACCTCACGCGCCTGCTGCCGGCTCTTCCGCTGCACGTCGCCTGTCCGCCGGTAACACTTCTTGTGTAACGTGCACTGAAAGGGCCGCCAGTGGCAGAACATCTGTAACGCTGCACTGCTGTGGACCTGAGGACGCAGACGTCCTGCGGTCTGTTGAACGTCTCCTGGAGGACAAAACACAGCAGTAGGTGTTAAAGGAATGGCTCAGCTTTTTGGGAAATTAGCTTATTCACTTTGTGAGGGTTATAAGAGAAGAGCACCACACTCTTGTCCTATAAATATTAAGCAGTTTGCTAGCTTCACTAAGCAAAGACTGAGGAGTCCAAAAATCTGAAAGAACCCAGTGCTCTAAAGTTCACAGGTTACATCCGATTTGTTTAACCTGTACAAAAAGTGGAATTGTAACAAAGATGGCGCAGTGAAAAATGTTTAAGTTAGAAAATGGTGCAGATTAATCCAAATCAGGAATTCCTTTTCAAGCAAAACCTTATTTGTTGAGAAATGTAAACTACAACATTGTGTTTCAATAAGAAGTTCTCACCTCGATGTAGGTGTCAGTGAAACTCTTATCAAATCCCCAAGTATAGCACTTTGTTGTAACCCATGCACAGTTGTAATCTTTATTTCTATGCACAAATGTTCAGCCCGATCTAACGCGTAGGCGTTGATGAGTTTATCTGGGTAGGATGTTTGTGAAACTCCATCCAGCTTCAAGGCTGCAGACGGACATCACGGCTCACTTGCTCACCTTCGCTGACCCGGCGGGATGATGGAAGTTTACCAGCCTCTGGTACCCGGGGCCGCGGAGGCCGCTTGGTGAGGCTCTGCAGGCCACCTGCTTCATCCAGGTCAGACCCCTCCAGACCAGCATGTCCCCTGCCATGGCGTTGATATTCAGACCCGAGGACAGGAGTAACGGGGTCTGCGAAAGGTGGCGTCCAGGCTGGGAGGAGAGCGTGAAGTTCAGGCTCTGTTTTCCATAACTTAACCAAAGAGTGACTCCATATCCGCAGCGTGCTTGGGAACACACAACCTAATCTAACACCCCACCTTGAGTGCAATATTAACTTGGCTGAGTATGATAAGGAAACAAGGACTAAAACACATGCAGTCTTGAAGGTTAAAAAAAATGCATATGCAAAAATATGCTTTTAACAATCGTTTTGAAGAATTCCCACTGAAAACCGACGAACTATTACATTTTAGGTTTGCTCATCACCTTAAAAGTCACACCAAAAAAAAGGAGATTTAACTCACCAACTTCCCGCACGTTTAGCTCCACGAGGAAGAAGTGAGCATCGCTCAGCACGAGCCGCCGTTCACTTTAATTCGACGTGACACAACTTCTCGTGAGCACTTCAACACGTGCACACTTTCCTCCAGACGGAGTTTGACAAACAGTGGCCAATGAGGCAAAGTCCGCTCGTTGGATCCGGATGTCAACACACGTGCGGCCAATTGTCATCAGCTCCCCGCGGCGTTTCGGGCTCTTTCTCGATGCGCGTTATTGTGTGGTTTTGTGAAACGTCATCGGTCGCGGCCAAAGAACTTTTCCAATTCAAAAGTCCGCTTCTCGCCGGAAACGGTCAAAACACCCGGATGTGATTTACCCCGCCCATTTTACCGAGAAACATATAGGCGCAGGTTTGGCCGCTCTTGTGAGCGCCACATATACCAGAATGCATTTCACTTGAGCGACAGACAGGCGACAAACGGAAGAGGAAGATGAACACAACAGTGATGCTACACCACTTCTCCTGATCTGGAATCATTAACTGTAAATCATTTCACTCCCTCCGTTAGTTCGCTCCATTCAACCTGGTCGGTGTTTACATGGTCACGTGGACCGCGTTTCAAAATGAAATGCACCACTATTCAAAGCGTTACGGTAAATGGCCTCGCACAGCTCAAAAGGCACTAATCGTCTATGATGTGTGATATCGCTGTGATATCTTAGAACTGTCTTTAAACCAGTCCCAAAAAATGCAACTCTCCATTGTCACCTGATCCTTGTTCAACTGTGAAATATTACTGTACAGTTTTTGACAAAGCTAAAGATCAGTAGAAAATTACATGATATTCGTCATTTCTTAATCTTCACACTGTCTTTAAACCATATAAAAAAAGTGGTAACACTCTTTTTTCACTTGATCCTAGCTCTAGAGGGCTTGTTTGAATGATGATACGGTGGGAGGCTGGCGGATTTAGATGGGGAGGGCGTTCCGGAGAGGAGGTGCAGCAGCTGGGAACATAGATATTATCCTGTATATCAGGGGCGTCAAACTCAATTGCACAGGGGGCCAATATCCAAAACACACTTCAGGTCGCGGGCCGAACAGAATAAAAATTTATTGAACACACTAAAACTAAATGTTTCTTTTAACATAAATATAAATACAAACAGACAGGAATGTTATTCTGCAATAAATAAACTTAAACTTTAAATAACTTAAAATATCTTGCTCTCCATAAAAAATTGTGCTTTTCAGAAATAACAAATAACTATGCAAAACATTCAGTTTTCTTTGCTCTTATGTCATTTTATCAGAGCTGGATGCTTTGCATCTTTTTTTGGCAACAAGTTGGTTTATGTTTGGCGTGAGGTCCCGTGTTGTGGAGACTCTCAGGATGGACTGAAGGCAGTGAGACGACTCCTGTGTGCTGTTTTGTTTGTCTTCACTGAGAACAGCTTCTCACGCAGATATGTGCTACCAAACATGCACACGGTTCGAGCCGCATGTAGACGGAGCTGGGACATTGCTGCGGGAATGGAGTGAATAAACGGTGTCGTACTTTGTCTTTAGTGTCCCATTACACTGCAGCTCAATCAGCTCCATCTGAAACTGCACAGGTGCAGTTTCCACGTCGACGGCAAATGGGTTGCGAAACAACTCAAAATTATTTTTTTATTCCTCAAAATCACCAAAGCGCCGCGCGAACTCCGTGCGCAGTGCGCTCAGTTTATCAGCAAAGTGCGTATTTGCGAACATCGTTGTGCCGCATTACTTGGCAACAGGGAAAGTGGGGCAAATTGCACTGGTGCATTTGTGTCTCCCATAAAATCAGCTTCACTGCGTCATACATGTCAGTGATCATGCGGTCACGTCCCTGGAGCTGGAGGTTCAAGGCATTGAGACGTGCGGTTAAGTCAGCCAGAAACGCCACGGAAAGCGCTCGGCAAGGCAGCTGAAGCGCTGCATTATGGGATCTGTAGTTTATTTTGTTATCAGCGCTTCATATCGTCGGGCCATTAGTAACAATAATATACAATGATCTCGCTGGCCAGATATAATTGCATGCCGGGCCGGATATGGCCCGCGGGCCTTGAGTTTGACATAACAGAACAGTAACAGCATAGCCAGCCAGGCTGCATCTTAGCAGGGATCTGCGTCCTGTGAGTGGAGCTACTTTGTCCATCTATCCATCCCAGGAGAGGGATCCTCCTCTGCCGTTCTCCCGAAAGGTTCCTTCCTTTTTTCTCCCCATTGAAGCGTTTTTCATTTGCCAACGTGAAGGTTTTGGAACAGAGGATGTTGCATGTGTACAGACTGTAAAACCCTCTGAAAAATAACTGTAATTTTGGGCTGGACAAAATAAAATTAATTGATTTACCTGATCTTCCTTTATTAAAGAATACATGGAGATAAATGAATAACTTCCAGCAGTCATGTAGTCCAGATGAAGGTGTACTAGCTTAACACTGATTCACAACAAATGTTAATTTACACTTCAGGAGATCTTCAATCCGACTACCACAAAAAATCACCAATGAAACAAACTTCCAGGCTTTTGTCAGGGTCTGATGGCAGACTTTATTTTTGGGAAGAGTCGGAGAGCGTTCTGTGTTGTCACCTCCATCACCTCCTCTAACGACACTCCTTTAATCTTACTGATGTACTCGGCAGAGATGCAGATGTTTTTTGGCTCATTTCTCACCTGAATTCAAGACGCAGAACAACAATAAAATGTATGTGTAAAAAGGTTTGAAAAAAACATTTCTATTGCTAATATTCTTCTAAAAATATAGTATTTTACCTGTTTTTCTGGACCAAGAGCAGGTGAATCTGTTTCAAGACAAATGTTCTCTAACGGCAACTGTTTCACAAGTTTCTGCTTCTTGGAGGAAAATACACAAAAGAACCATCATCAACAACTACAAGTCAATGTGGTAAAGTCAACCAAGCAAACCTGTCAGCGCTGCACAAGAGACCTTGTAAGCAGCTCAGTGGCTAATATATTATTCTGTTGAACTCTGTTTTAAAATCAAAGTGAAAAACAGGTGCTCTGTTATACCTGATCACTGCGTATGATGGATGGTGGGATGGAGAAGAAATATCCTGCCTTCACTCCTTCCATGGCAACAGATGGTTTCCCATCAAAGGCATGAAGCAGGGCTTTCTGGACACCTAGTGGCGTGTCAGTGGAACTGCAGTTAACTTCCAAACTGCTCAAGTAAACACAATTGAATCTCAACCGTATTGTTTACCTTGCTTCTTGAGGAGGTGGATGGTGGGTCTTCCTGCAGAGCGTGAATGAACATTCCTAGAAATAAAATAAACTCCATAGGTATTGCATGTCTATTTGTTAGGGGACAAACTATGTGTAGGTGCCAATTTGTCCGATAAATCAAAGGGATTTGTGCCTTTTGCAGGCAAGAGAGTAGAAGGTTTATTCAGAGATTTTGCTTTACTTGTTGCTTATTGGCCAACAAAACAAGCAAACAGATCATTCATGTCACTGCCTCTCCTGCCCTGCTAACAAACTATAAGCCCAACCAGGTGCATGCTGGTCCTGTGCTGCCTACTCTGTGTTAACTAATTAGAAAACAAACATTCCCTAATCTATGTTTGCTTTAATAACAGCAAAATGTTATTTGACTAAATTGACTATTAAACAGAAAAAACGTATTAATATATCACACAAGCCAATCTAAATAATTATATATAACTATTACTTGTGAATGAATTACTAAATAGGAAGAGCAAATTAGTGAGCAGATGAGTTCCTATCGTCTACAGCATGACTCACAGAGGGAGATCCAGTTCCTTGGCTATCTGGGCCTGACGAATGAGGACCTGCCTTTGGCTTTCTTTGTCACTCTCATCGTTGACATATCTGGGTGTAAAATCCAAACCAACCTAAGTAACAGATAGGAATAAGAGTGTATTACTAACATGACTTAAACAAAGAAAGCAAGGACGACAAACTGCTATACAATCACAAATACTGTATTTTTACCTCCCCAATGGCCACAAGGTGGTCCTTGTACTTCTCTATTACGGGGAGAGCTGCATCTAGATCCTTCAGAGAGAATAAAAAAACATCCTTTACCTCTTCACTATAATGGGACAACTACAATTCTCCAGAGAATAATAATACTTTAAAAAGTTATATTCAAGAGTGAATATTGGCTCTGGAAGGAACCCAACAAAATGATATTCATGCCATTGTTATTTATGAAGCACAACATGATGGAATGGATTTACAATGAAACAAAAGGAATGTCTAATAGGATAGTGTGCCTTATCCCTAATTTCTTATCATCTCTATACTGTTGCTTTTAAGTTAAGTTGACAAGAAATAAAACATTCAATACAGTATAAATGTGGTATATTGGATCGAGCACTCGGTGCTCGATTGTGTTTGACTGTCACTACTACGCAGTTATGTGATTGTTTGTTCATGCCTGGGAGTTGAGAGATTCGCCCGCCAGTAAAGGATTTTGTGCTGCATCCTCGTACATATTTTGGGGGAATTCCTTGTAGTCTGTGTGAGCTGGTAATTACATCTCAGCCTACCTGGACAGAAGCCCCCCTCTGTTGTTCTGGGGATATTTGTTGGACAGGATGAACTCCTAGGCACGGAAAAACGAAACCTGGAAACCTTGAGATGAAGTGAAAAGCTTAGTACAGTAAGACTGAATGATTAAACTCACGGGACTCCAACACTTCGTTACCTTTTTGACAACTCAATAATCTTCTCAAATTCACCAGAATGCTCGGCCACAGCCACCAGGGCCAATAATCCAGCCTGTGGAACAATAACGCAAAAGTTAAAACCGCGATCGCTCTTCTGAACAATATGCATCTCAGCGGGCACTGCTCACCTTTTTTGAATTCTCAACCACCTCATCTATGTCCTGACAAAGGAAACAGACAAACGTCAACCCTGGAGAAAGTATTTCCGGTACAAACCCCGGTGGCGTACTTGTACCTTGTCAAAGTCCCCCGCAGAGATATGACAGTGGCAGTCGACGTAGCCATACATCGGTAACGTGTTGTCCAAAACAAAAACATGACCTCCTTCCGCAACGCGAGGCGGAGTGCGCATGCGCCAACCTAGAAGCGCGCGCGATGTGTTCTACGGCGTCGCCCGGGGAAGAGGAGTTCCGTTCAGACTGATATATATGCGGTGCATCGACAACGGCCAGCGGATCAAACACCCTTTCTGTTTTCAGGAAGCCGTCCTCCACTTTACACCGTCACCTGACTTTGTTTTAACGTTTACTTTGAGCTCGTTCGCGCACGCACGCGGCCGCGGGTCGTTGTGACATTCGAGTGGCGATGGGAAGCTTCACGGTTTGTCTGCTGTTGTCGATCGCCACCGGCGCAGCAGCGCGATACGAACCCAACTGGGAATCCGTCGACTCCAGACCGCTGCCAGAGTGGTACGACCAGGCCAAGTTCGGCATCTTCATCCACTGGGGGGTCTTCTCTGTGCCGAGCTTCGGCAGCGAGTGGTTCTGGTGAGTTGGTGGTGTGTGTTTTCTCGCATTCGTGAATGTTTATGACGTGGTTTCGATTGGACACATGCTGGTTTAGTGAACTGTCATCCAGCTTTCCTCAGCACGCGCAAAGTAAAGCGATCAACGGTTGTTGGTGAGTGACGCCGAGAGCGAAAAGTGTCAGGTTCCCTTTCGCCAGACGGTCAGTCCGCTGGTGCTCTCTGACCGCTGGTTTTCATCTCCAGACTTTTTCAGGGGGGGGGGGGGCACCTGTTATAACGGCGGGGAAACACACTGGGTGCGGTCGGTTCAAAACATTGGGCAAAAATGACCCGTCTCAGGCTTTATGAGCAGTTATAATACGGGAAGATGAGATCCAGCGTTGTGATTGGTGGAGAGTGAGTCACGGGGTGTGCGTTATTAAAGCAATAAGGCTGTACTTTATCGTCCAATAATGTTCGGTATTATAATAGTAACAGTTCGGTGGCGTTGTTGCAGCAACCTAATAAACAAAATCCAACCTCTGGGCTTTGAGTCCGCAGTGATATGGAACTGCGCAATGTGAACAGCAACTGGACATTATCGCTCAATAACGCACACCTCGTGACTCACTCTCAACCAATCACAACGCTGGATTTCATCTCGCCGTATTGTAATGGGCGTGACGTGCAGTACCTGTTCCTAACAACGCCCTCCAACTGTTACATTATTTGACGATAAAGTACAGCCTCAAGTACCTTATTGCTTAAATGCATAACCCCTTTGTGTTCACTTTTAAAGCCTCTCGCATTAAGACATCCAGCACTTTATTTAGGACGCTGCACGACTGAGTCGCTGCGTTGTGGGTTTCGGAATGCCATTTATCCACTTGTTCTGTAAAGGGAAGTCTTCTGAAAAAGCCTTCTTGAGCTGTCAAGTTGGAAACCAGTCGGACCAGTTTGAGCTACAGTTTCTGGACAAACCTTTTTCAGATTTTTATCTTTCTCCTCGATCTTCCTTCCTGCTCCAGGTTTTACTGGCAGAATCAAAAAGCAAAGCCGTATGTCGATTTCATGCAGAAGAATTATCCCCCAGGCTTCAAGTACCAAGACTTTGCACCGCAGTTCACTGCTGAGTTCTTTGATGCCAAAGAGTGGACGGACATCTTTGCCTCATCGGGGGCAAAGTACATCGTCCTGACCACAAAACACCATGAAGGTACATGACATGATCCACAGCCTACCTTTCTGATTTATCCGTTTCAAGTCATTTTACCACAAGAGACCATGTCAGAGCTCTGAAATAAAGGGACAATTCCACATGTTTTGAGAGGTTTTCTCTATGTTTTTAGGTTTCACGCTCTGGGGCTCCAAAAACTCCTGGAACTGGAACGCAGTGGATGTTGGACCAAAAAGAGACCTGGTAGAGGAGGTGGCCAGTTCCCTCCGGGCCAACAGTGACCTGCGTTTGGGGCTTTATCACTCTCTCTTTGAGTGGTTTAATCCGCTCTTTGAACAGGACGCTGCCAATGCCTTCACTACAAACTACTTTGCAGCCACTAAATCTCTGCCTGAGCTTCATGAGCTCATTGTCAAGTACAAACCGGAGCTGCTGTGGTCTGACGGGGACGGAGATGCACCTGACAAGTACTGGAACAGCACAGGGTTCTTAGCCTGGCTCTACAATGACAGGTATTTATACAGGGAGGGGGTCTTTTATTCGATTTCTCATTTACACAGCCAGCGTGACGCTAAACTCAATGTCTTCACAGTCCTGTAAGAGACACAGTGGTGACGAATGATCGCTGGGGCTACGGCTCCATCTGCACCCACGGAGGGTATTACACCTGTGCCGATCGCTACCAGCCAGGAAAGCTGCTCAACCGCAAGTGGGAAAGCTGCATATCCATCGACTCAAAGTCCTGGGGTTACAGACGCAACGCTGCTCTCAAGGATTACCTCACCACCCAGCAGCTTGTAGCCGTGAGCGCCGAATGTCTCCCTTACTTATCGACTCTTTTATTTCGTAAGCAATGAATAAACAGATCGAGGATTCACCGCAGAGACCGAGAGATGTGTAACATTGACAAATGACAGAGAATGGGCGGAAATGCAAACTTCCCCGAGCTCAACTTTGTTTATTTGTATGACTTGTTTGTCCAAAACCCAAAGATATTTAGTTAATAATAATGGATAATAAAGAAGGTCTGTTATCATTTTCATTTGATAAGCTGTAACCTAAATGTTTTGATTCAAAATTGAGAATGACGATGGGTTTTAGTCCTGTGTGCTCTGAGGAAACGGCGCCCTGTAGCTTACAGAGAAATCTTTAATCTATAAAAGGCCACCTGGTGTTTCAGACGTTGGTGGAGACGGTTTCCTTTGGGGGAAACCTGCTGTTGAACATCGGCCCGACACACGACGGAAGGATCGCTCCCATCTTTGAGGAGCGTCTGAGGGACATGGGTCAGTGGCTGAAGGTCAACGGAGAGTCTATTTACAACACAACAGCATGGCGGGTTCAGAAGGACACCGTCAGCACCACAGTCAGGTGGGTTACTATGTCAAATATACCTATTATCGTTTTCCCCACTTTGTGCCTGGTATTGAGTTTTTTTTATTGAGGATGATGATGAAGGTACTCACTCTGTTGGAATTCCAACGTTGTCCGGTCACTTCACATTTAGAACTACTTTATTGCAAGTTTTTAACTTACACTTTGCCACCCTTGACATACATTTTCGAGCTTTGTGTGATTTTATTATTGTTAATCCTATTTTTAAAGCCCATACATAGGCCTGTTTTATTGTGGATACTTATGTCTCCTGACAGATACACTTTCAGACCCAAGGAAACGAGCCTCTTTGCTCTTCTACTGGAGTGGCCCAAAAATGGATCTGTGATTCTGAATGAGCCTGTGGTTACTGAAGGAAAGACTCAGGTAAGACAAGCGCTTTGGTAAGGTAATTATTATTATAATATGATCACTCCGTAGTAACAAGACATTACAGCGCTAAAAGGCCAACGATATCTTTGAGGTAATCTAGAAATCTCCATTAAATTCTTTACCAATAAGTTTATCTTACCCCCGTTCAGTGTGTTGCTCAGTTAATTCTTTCAAAAGCTATATTTAAAGGATACTTAATCAAAAGATGTATTTGTTTATGTTCAGTGTAAAGATTTGGCATTGATTAAAATGACTATTTATTTTGTTCACCAATAGCATACCTCTTTTCCTGATGGTCAATAAGTTAGTTAGATGTGATCAGTTGCCATATTTTACCATATGTGATTCATAGATGATGAAATGTCAGAAAATAGTGAGTATGTCAGTATGAAAACAATAAAATTGTTGAAACTAAAATGACATGTTTTAAACAATTTTATGAAATAGTGAACAATTGACTAAAGACATATTTTACTAATCGTTCCTGATCTAACGGCATACCTTGATGACATTAATGATTAATTAAACAAGCTGGTTTTTCAGACTGTATTGTAGTGTGCTCAGAGAAGAACCTCCATCACATTAACAGAGACAGTATTTAATTAAGTGATCAATATATCGACCTCTCTGGTTTAACCCTGCTGGAATGTCCAACAACCACACTGCATCCTGGGAAATGAGGTTGACTCGTTCACACGGCAGCTTGCTCTATTTCTCTCGTTTTATCAACATGCCATCATTGTTCGTGTGTTGCTTTTGTTCTAAAAAACAAAAGGTGGAGCTTGTAGGGGTCGGGCCAGTGAAGTGGGAACCGGTGAAGCCCAGCGGGCTGCGGGTTCTCCTCCCCCAGCTGTCCATCAGCCAGATGCCTTGCCAGTGGGCCTGGACACTGAGGCTGACAGGTGCCACTTAAAGGGAAACGAGATCAGCAGAAGAGGAACTGGCCGAGCTGCAGGCCGAGAGACGGAGCCAACGCTTTATGTAAATGTTTCAACCGCGCCCATAAAAAGCACTGTGCTGAGTTGCACCTTTTAAATATGGTCTTTTTTGATATACTTAACATGAATACATGATAATTGTTTATGATCTATTAACTTTTAAGATTAAAGGCTCTTTTTCCAGCTCCAAAGGGGGAATGGTAATGAAGTACATTTACTCAAGTACTGCACTTAAATATAATCCTACTACTTCAGTACTTCCATTTAAAATAAATTCATGCTTGTACTCTGCAATATTTTGGAAGCCAATATTAGACCGTGCACACATTATTCATTTAAACACTTTAGTTACTTTGCAGACTCTGATCAACTGCAATGTATTAAATATACAAAGAAGATTCAACTTTTTTAGTTTTTTACACTTTGGTGTTACTACTTTTACTGGGAAAATAACCTCTTAACTTGGGGACATATATGTAATTTTGTGTTGACCTAAATATGATATGCATTATTCAACATGTGACCTCTGACACAAAATTGTCAAAATCCTCCTGCACTATTGGGATTGATTGTAAGCCCATGTATTTGTATGTGATTTTCATACTGCCTTTTTCCCAGTGATGTGAATGTTTTATATGTCAGGGATTCCAAATAAATGGGAATGTAAAACTAAGAAACGAAGCCTTTGTACCATCTCAACCCTACCTCTTAGATCACTACACTGTACTGCGTCCCTCTAGCGCCCCCCTGCGGCTCACATCTGCAATGCGTGACATTTCGGAGAACGCTGACGGCGCGAAACTGCTCTCTACCCCCCCCCCCCCCCCCCCCAACCCATTTTAAGGGGGGGCAAAGAACCAGAGAAAAACAAATTCTCCTCCTCAGCCTCCAAAACATGTTTCTGGAAAAAAAAGAGTTGCTCGTCGCACATGTGACCGGTGAGCCTCAGCTCCCAGCTGCTTCACACCGCGGTCACAGTGTTTGACAGCCGTAATTATCTGGCCCCTGCCTCCTGCCCCCTGCCCCCTGCCTCCTGCCTCCTGCCTCCTGCCCCCCTTGTATGTATGTTGTCCCCTAAGATGTCCTGTGCGGGCAGGTCTCACTGTTATGTCTCCGCTCGGTGTTTCCTGCTCTGCAAATGTTCCATGACGTGCAGATGGGGGGCTTTTAAGGGGTTCTCACGTCCGTGCATCGCCCCTCTTCAGCAGGCTATCCCCGAGCCTGGGACCCGCGCATCACAGCCGATCCCCTATAAACAACAACAAAAACAACAACAACAGAAAGATGTGAGGATGCAAATCATGTCGACACATGTACTTCAAAACACACGTTGACACATTTTAGTGAAAGCTGGTAAGTTGCACTCATTTTTAAGTGCACAAATATTCATGTTTGTAAAATGAAATCTAGCAGATCTCTAAAGTCTAAAGTATCGTTGAAACGTCACGTCAACCTCTGACATGTGACGACTAATACAATATGGTGACTAAGTCGAATTGTAGGGATTTGATTACATCATTATAGTTTTGTGTTATAGATTTCTAGCATTCTAGAATGATATATAATATTTATATACCTGAGACCTGGAAAACGTTTATTTGGGGCTTTTTTGCTCAAAATTCTATTAATTATAAAAATAGTATATAGTTACTTTGATTACTGAGCAAATCCTTTCAGTATATTCCTGTAATAGTCTACATATTGTAGGTGTCAAACACAGGAACATTCAATCGGTATCATATTGTGATAAATGCACATGACCTAAATTAAGGCATTTTATATTAAAGGACCCAGATACATTTACCTTACTTTATATTAGATTTTATTCTAATTAACATTCAAAGTATCTCCATTTTAATATCAGCCCAACAATTATAATCTGTATAATCACATAATGACGCACTGTGGCTGAAGCTCGTGTTCTTATTTCTGCAGTCTTGGTGCTGTAACGTGTGGTGGTAATTATATATGGTGACAGGAACCAGTGAAATGGCTAGAGACGTTGGCATGGTTGCCATGGAAACACAAAATCATGTCAAGCTTATTTTCAGGTACTGCTGTGATAATGGCGTCAAGTGTGCCTCCTTTGAAAGAGCTGGCGGATAAATTGACTGATTTTTTTAGGGGGGGGGGGGGTGAATTATTGTTGCATCAAGGGAGAATTTCAAACCTGCAGGATTTAGCGTTCATATATTAGTTATGGGTGTTTGTATCAGTTGTTTGTTCAGCCTGCAGTGTTTAGTGTCCCCTCACTCTGACACATGACAGCCACTACAGCCAGCAGGGAGGAAAACCTCATTCCTTCCATTCATAAACACCCCCCTCTCTCCCTGTGTGTGTTGACCCCCCCTCCCACCCCTCCTCCCATCGCTCTCACCACTAATGTCATTAGAGGCCTTCTAGTAGTCGGGTGCCTGTGTGGCAGTCAATCACATGCAGATTGGTGGCAGATTTGAGGCGGTCAGCAGAGCGGCGGTGGAGCTTTAGATGGTGGAAATGCCAAAGCAGTGTGGAACATCCTGGGGGACAGACCATTATATTTATAGAGATGGACGCCTTGACCTTCACTGCACATTGAATATCAGCCATTTTAGTGCCGCTCCTCTAGATACTGAATACAGCATAATGGATCTCAGCTGCACTGCAGTTAGTTAGCTTCAACTTCCTTTTCGGCTTGTTAGAGGCTAATAATAGCTTTTTGCAATTCCATACCGTCGACAAACTCTGTCAATACACAGTCTCTGCAAACACTGCTTTTCTGGCACACAGAGTTTCTAAAGGGAAGTGTACTGTGAAATTACAGTATGGGGTTGTCAGTAAAATAAAGGCTTGCCATTTGGGTCAGGGTATTAAACTTATAGGTGAAGTGTAACTATAAGCCCTTATTTAGGCTCCAGCCTTTGTCCTGCAGCTTCATGTTCAGAGAAAGACCTCTGATAAAAATGGCTTAGCCGTAGCTAAAGCCAAGGACTCCTATTCATAGAGGCACCCAGTTGTTCTCACCCGATGGCACAGAGTGAAACTGAGGAGGATGGTCAAAGCGGGTGAAGTATTTATAGTTGTGTAAATTATAGTTTCACACAAGTGACTGAGGAGGAGCGATCATAAATCCATCAAAATCAGGAGAGAGACTTAGTTTGTCGTACGCAGAGCAGTTTCTGAAGAAATAGTTAGAGAAATAGATGTTGAACTGTGTCCAGTCGTCACATAAAATCAAATCAATTGTGTCCTGGGTTCCACCTGTAGAAGCAGCTGAGGCTCAGGCAGAATGTTTAAGTCAGTGCACTTTATAGTAGTTTAATGCACCATCAAGTGCCATATTTAAGATATTTACCGGTACAGTGAGCAGTAGTCAAATACATGTGGTGGAGTAAAAACACAATATTTCCCTGTGGAGTAAAAAGAAATACTAAATGGAAATGTAATACATAAATACAAATCACAGGTCAAAATACACCTAATTAGTCTTTAAGTGTACCTACAGTAGCAATGGTGCAGGAAGTACTCAGACATAATACTTATGAGACCAACACATTTTTGCTTTGAAATTTATGGACTACATTTCAGCATTTAGCACCAACGGTACTCTAGTTGTTTCACTGCATAGTTCATTTAGCTCATTAACACAAAAACAACAGGAACTTTAGCAATACGATTTGGTTCTCTGAAATGTAGTGGAACACAAATACAAAGTACCACAATAATGATCCAAAGAAAGTATAAATACCTTGTAAATTATACCAATGCACGTATTGAAGCTGGTGTATTTTGTTGATTTCAGATCCTTTAGTTGCATATGTCGCCTTCAGTTATCAAGCAAAGCTTAAAACTTTCCTCTTTGATTCTGCCTATAGTTAGGGCTGGCTCAGGTTAGCCCGGACCAGCCCTTAGTTAAGCTGCTAGGCTTAGACTGCCGGGGGACTTCTTAGGACACACCAAGCTCCTCTCTTACGCTCTCGTTCTACAGTAATTCACGTTTTATTAATGCACTAATTCAGCTTCTTTCCCGGAGATTTTTAGTGCTTTCTCCCCTAGCAGGTCTCCGTAGATCGTAGTTCCTTCTGGACCCTGGTCCTGACATCTGCCGTGGCCCTGCTGACACCTGCTGCTGCCATCAGCATCATCATTATTATATTAGATATTAATCATATTACTTTACTCGTAAACCAACATTACCCTCTCCCAAAGTCTCTGTGCTCTCCCTCCCCACAGGCTTTTGTGGATGGTGGTTCTATGTGATGGTGGTTCTATCTGATGGTGGTTGCCCCTGCAGTGGTCCTGCTGTGCGCCTGGCTTACTACTCACAGTTACTTGAATAATTTCTGTCATAGGAATTGCATGTATTATACATTGTTCATTCTGTACCCATGGCATCCATTGTAGTCTGTCCATCCCGGGAGTGGGATCCCTCCTCTGACGTTCTCCCTAAGGTTTCTTCCCTTTTTTCCCTCTTGGAAGGGTTTTTTTGTCTCGTTTTTTGGGGAGTTTTTCCTGTGCTGATGGTGGGTTTCGGGGCAGAGGATGTTGTATGTGTACAGACTGTAAAGCCCTCTGAGGCAAATTTATAATTTGCGATTTTGGGCTATACAAAATAAAATGAATTGAAATTGAAATTGAATATGTGAAATAACTTGTTGATCTGGAAGTATCCATACATACAGATATACATACAATATATAACAATTGAAGAAACTGTAAGAACTAACATAGGATTTAGCATTTCACCAAACAATACAGAAAAAATAATAGCTTTGAGCATATGAAAATTTCACATTTGCATATACCACTTACGGTAAAATCGTGTAAAGAGGAAGTACTGAGCATACGTTAATGTAGAGGCTTCAATAGCACCATTTCTCACTGAACTCATGCATCTGATTCACAGGATGAGGTTTGCAGCTGCACATAATCTGCAGTATTGTCCTAGTTTTTTGTTTTTTTTTGTCTTTTTTGCCGTGTTAATGACACCCTCATCACGACTCTCTCCATTCACAAAGCCAATCCTGTCGCGATGGGAGGGGAAACGGCTCTGAACGCACTGTGGGAGTCTCAGGATTCGGAGAACATTTTTTTTTTGCCGCATCCTTACAGGCAGCCGCACGCCGTCTTTTACATTCAGTTCCTCTCTATACACAAAGCGGGCGGCATCACGCTGTAGGAAGTGTACATCCAGAGGGGCTGCGCCGTGTGATTAGTGCCTTTCACGGCGCCTCTCTCTTCCGCTGACTCTTGCAGAGTCTCCATCCACATCGCACCACATCGGGCTAAAATAAACGACTTAATCTATCGGAAAGGTAATGCATCATTATATCTGACTCCCCACTCTGTGAGTGTGGATGGGGCAGCTCCCGCTGTGCTGTGAGAGAGAGGGAGGGAGGGAGGGAGAGGAAAAGCGTCCTTAAACGTGGGCTGTTGTGTAATCCCTCCCAGGGCCCCTTTGCTATTTCTGTGCCCGGGTCCGCACGTCACGGTTGGGTATTTTCTCTGGTGACCAGATCGCATCAATAGCTCTTCTAATGTGCAGCCAGTCCGCCAGCAGCTCCGCGGCCGGTGGGACGTCACCCCGCTGCTTTATTTCATTGTTGCTGCCCCGGCACGAGGGGAACGGAGGAGCGGACTATGCAGCGTGAGGAATGTCACACGTGACCGTCGATATGGGACGGGGGACTATTCAAATGTCAGGTTTGTATGATAATTATATTTGATATCTGAATGTCAGCTGCTGTATAAGCCCCCCCCCCCCCCGTCCATCAGACAGTGCGCTGCATGTCATTGTGACCACAGTGAGAGCTGCTGATAGGACCTGCAGGCTTTGTCTTGCGTTGCTGTCAGAGCACCACGGAGCGTTTCCCCATCCAGTCATCCCCGCATGATATTTATGGATCCGTTGTCAGCGAGAGGCTGCGTGCCTGTTCCCTTTAATGGTCAACTTCGCCTCCACGCGAGGCAACGCAGCGGCGGAACCCGTCGTCCTCTCTGGAGCAGCGAGGGATCTGCCCCGCGTCTCACCGCGAAGCCGTAGGACCGTCAGCCCACAGTCGCCCCGAAACACACCTACTGCCTCCCACCTGCCTGCTGTTGTCGCGCGTCATTGCTGCTGTGTCATATATTTTTGTATAGGTTAGTGCTTGTTGCTGGGAGCCAGAGGATATTTGCAAACGAAACGTCTGCTGGTACAGTCTTTTGTATTTAAATAGGAGAAGTCTGGATCTTTTTTAGATATTTGCCCAACGAGACTCTGAATATGTCCGTTCCCTCTCTATCAAGCTTAGTCTAAAGGCATGCGTTGTTTCTGAGGGTCTTATCTCGCTGTCTCTCTGCACCTGTATTCCCCTTCCCTCCACTCGAGGATGGGAATCTAAGCAATGAGGTCAGGCCGACCTTGAAGGGGAGCTCCCTGCCGGGCCTCTGAATTTATTTACCCCGAGGCACCCCACTTTACATTTGTAAACCTCCCTGCTGGAGCATGGATCGTTCCACTCGGGAGGCGGTGCTTGCCATCCTTGGTTATCTTTTCTCTACACTGCTCTGGAAGAAGCCCTCAAATCTTTCCGGGAGAGAGCTGGTGAAGCATAAGCAGCCAAAGAGAGGCAATGGGCTTTTGCAAAACAACAGCAAAAACAAATAGGATAAATTATTTCAGATTTCAGCTGTTTGCAAGCATCTCTTCTGTCACCTTGGCTTCGTATCCTCTGGCAAATGCCCGAGGAGTGTGTGGTGCGCAAACAAAGAAAGAGAGGGAGTGAGAGGGAGAGAGCGGGAGTCGGAGGATGTCCTAATTAAGGGAAACTCAGAGGGTTTGAACCAGATAATCTTACATAACCTCGTTAGGGAGGACACAGCATTTGATACTGAGAAGATGGAAATGACGTGCCCTGAGAGACCCGTCCCCATGGCATGAAGAGAAAGTATAGCAGGCAAAGCAGTTCACTTTCACCGCAGGGGGAAGGTTGAGGTTTCTTCTTGAGGTCCGGTGTGTGTAGTCCCCTGTAGCTCACTGTGTAAACGGTGATGACGCTGGAGAGACGGACGGGCGAGGAGGTTTGAGTCCCACCGGAGACAAGGAACCTGAATGTGTAGTACTGGGATTCCGGCGTAAGAAGTTGTTTAAGACAGAACTCTGTGACACATCATACTGAAAGTGGTGCAGCTGGAATCATCGACCCACGATCTAAAGTAGCTGTCTGTCACCTGTGTGCGCTGGAATAAAGTAATTGGGTCATATACTTACTGTTGTTGACAGCATTCAGCCGTTTATGGCTTAAATACCCCCAAAATGGGCCGAAGTCGACACAAAGGTACCTTTGGCTTTTTGGAAGCTGTTAAAGAGAAAATAATGTTTTTTCCATTCCTGCTGTGAAGGAGCTCGTTATGGGTTTTATTTGAAGGACCTTTGGGAAACAGCTTTGCTTTCACTCTCAAGGAGGGGATTTTAAATCTAGTTACATAACTAGATTAGCGTCTTGTGCATCTGCATGTGGTCCATGTTTAGGTGATTGTTTGTCATTCATCTATATTTGTCTAATTGTAGTTTCTGTCTGATTTCTTCCAGGTGACCCTTCCAATCAGTTCCCATGTATGTTAATATCACCACGGTTACATAACAGGTAGTGCTCTTGTAAATCGATCCCAAAGAAAGTGACATCGGATTCATGGAGTCACTTGAAACTACTGCAGGGGTGAAAAGCTCCACTGAGGGTCGGGACAGAAATGTTGTTGCACACAAAATGTTCCCCTCAGCGGCAGTACAAACTAGGAGGAGTCGATCAGTCGAATTGGAAGGCGACGGGTGGCACCAACTACAAGAAGGTCAGAGTCGAGACACGTGTGGTTTCAAAGAAATGTCGGACTCAGGAAAATCATTGCAATTAGAAGATCGGCACTCCCAAACTCAGTCCACAAGCCATCAGGAACATGAAGCGTCTTTGTATCCAGAACAGTCCACAAAACCCTTTCCCGCTGGCAGGCAGAAATCTGCAGGCGACTTAGTTTCTGCGCAGTCCCCTGGACCTCCATCGCACCGGAAGAGCGCCAGTTCACCTGAAGCCCAACAACAGTGTTGCCATCCAGGGATGGATCAGCTGTCAGACGCTGCGTGTAAAGTGGAGCAGAAACCACAAAAGCCTGGTAAGTATGTTTGTGACTACTGCGGAAGGGCGTGCGCCAAACCCAGCGTGCTCAAGAAACATATTCGCTCGCACACCGGAGAGCGGCCCTATCCGTGCGTTCCATGCGGCTTCTCCTTCAAAACAAAGAGTAACTTGTACAAACACAGAAAGTCCCACGCTCATTCGGTCAAAGCGGGAACGGTGCCACTCTCAGAACTCGGTTCTTACAATGCCAACGCGGACCAGGGGTCTTTTGAAGGGGACGGGGAGTTGTTCTCTGATGCTGAGCAAAGCACGGACACGGATGAGGACGCTCTCAACGACCCGCTGCTGCTGCTGGACTCGCCGTCGGACGGATCAGATAACGCCGCTGTAAAAGTACTGAATCTCACCGCTCAGAAAAGGGGAGCCTCGTCGCTCCCGGCTCAGGATGGTCCACCCCAGCCCCACGAAATCAATGCGCGTCCCGCTGCTGCCGAGGCCGGCCGTGCAATTCAATCCTGCACGATCAAACAGAGGCTCGCACTCCGGCTGTCTGAGAAGCGAAGCAGCGACTCCGACCACAATCTGTCCCTCCCGAGCCAGTCGAGCAAGGGCAGCACGGACTCCGGCTACTTCTCGCGCTCCGAGAGTACCGAGCACCAGACCGGTGCTCCCAGCGCCAACGCAAAGTCCTATCAAGAAATTATGTTCGGGAAGTGTTACAAGCCGAGCCCTAAACAGACGGAAGCTTTTGTGAATGAATACACAGGGAGACGCTCGGAGAAAGGCGTCTCCCGTGTTTACACCCAAGAAAGGGACACCGTTGAGCCGATCAAAATAAACACAAAGTCCTTCACGGCGGAGGAGGCGAAGGAGCCGCCGTCAGACACCGGCTCCGATGCGGCGACTCTGATGAGAAGCAACTCGATGCCGACGTCCTCGGCGGCGTGTCTGCCCATGCCTCAGGCCCTCAGAGGCAGCCACTCTTTTGACGAGAGAGCAAGCACCGGGGGCGCCAGGAGGCTCAGGCGGCAAGCTGCTTTCGAACACAGCGCACAAGACGGCCACGCAGACGCAGACGGCCACGGGAAGACGAGCGAGAGTGGCCCTAAACCCTCGGGATTGGAGAAGGAAAACTACCCCTCGGTGACATCTAACATGTGCCACCACAGACACGCCATGGAACTGGCGACACGCAAGCGTCGCAAAGAGAAGAGGGAAGAGGAAGATTTGCAGGGTCAGTATGAGGGCCGTCAAGAACAGTGTGAAGAAATGTTTGACTCAAGTCTGGACTATGATTCAAAGCTGGCTGCCGTGGGCCTTATCGCATTAGGAAAAGGACTCTCTTTAAGTGTGCTAACGCAGATGGACAGGTGTGACATGGACATATCAGGGAGCCCTGAAATGTCCGCTAGGAAAACGTTAGGGAATGTAATTTCTGTCATCCAGCACACAAACTCAATAAACAGGCCTCAGGCTGAACAGTCAGAATTACACCAGTATCACGGGCAGAGGCAGGAGAGTATCTCTTCTTTTCAAGCTATGGAGGCGAGGGAATCATATGAGTTGGAAAGGAGTGATAGCGGGCTGAGGCAATCGTTTCAACTGGGCCCAAAACTTGTGCGGCAGCCCAACATACAAGTCCCAGAAATCCGGGTCACAGTAGAACCCGACAGTCCAGAAAAAGCTCCCGAGGTGCAGGTGAAGGAGCCAGAGAAGCACGTGGAGGAGTTCCAGTGGCCTCAAAGGAGTGAAACTTTAGCACAATTCCCTCCAGAGAAGCTGCCTCCAAAGAAGAAAAGGCTACGCTTGGCTGATATCGAGCACTCCTCTGGCGAATCCAGTTTCGAGTCCGCCTGCACCAGTCTCTCCCGCAGCCCGAGCCAAGACAGCAACTTGTCTTACAGCTCCGCCTTCTCCTTTGACAGGGAGGAGAGCCTGAAGTCAGTCTCTCCAGCCAGGCAAGATGAATTTGGCAAACCACTTGAGCTCTTAGCAGTGCCAGGGAGCGGGCACTCCCTCGCCGTGCTCAGCCAGCGTCAACAACACGAAATGAGACGCTCCGCCTCAGAGCAGGCGCCGTGTAACTTGCGCAAGGAGTTCCCGGAGGTACGCAGCATATCATTTGACTATGGCAGCCTTTCTCCAGCGTCCAAAGTTAGACCGGTGGACATCAGCCTCTCGGCTGTGATGGAGAGAAGGAAGGGAAACTTGGTGCGTCAGGAATCATTGAACATGGACACAGAGGTAACACAAGTCCCGTCGCAGGTGTTTGCGCGGCCCCTCGGCAGCACCTCCCCTCCATTCACCGCACTCGCCGTTCTGCCGCAGACGTTGCCAATATTCTCCACGGGGAGTACATTCCCCCAGCTGTCACATCCAAGCCTTCTGGTTCCCGTAAGAATACCGACTCATGTGCCGTGCTACGGCAGTATCACATACACTTCAGTATCGCAGATTTTTGACAATCAGCACGACGGAGACTACCGTCTGTGTGGAAATCTCGAGTCTTGTGCCGGACCGCCTTCGACGCACACGCTCAGTGTAGAAGCCCCCGATTTGTCTTTGGCTAAGCTCAAGACCGGCATCCCTCTCTCTCTGACATCCAGAACCATCTCAACCACTAACGCCTCCAGTGGCGGCGCCAACAAACGCATGCTGTCCCCTGCCAGCAGCATGGACCTGTTCCTGGAGGTCAAGCAGGAAAAACGGGTGAAAGAGGAAAGAATGTTTGGGCAGATAGTCGAGGAGCTGAGCGCCGTGGAGTTGGGAAACTGTAACTTGAGCGATGAGAAGGGGCACAGGTCAGAGATGCACCGCACATCTACACCTCATACTCAGGACGACTCGCGTATGAGCAAATTGACCACGCTCCAACTGGAAGTGACAGGGGCCGCTGACCCCGGCGTCGAGTCAGCAATGGAAAGCAGCTCACCTCCCGACTCCGTGGTGTCAGTCAGCGGAGTGAAAGACGGCGGCGTGCAGAAACATGTGCAGATGGACGCGGTGGCACAGCGGGTCTCCAGACAAGATATCCTGATCACTCACACCGAGGACTCAAGACTGTTATCTCAGTTTCCGAGTCTTCGCACCACGACAGGAGTGAGCTGGTGTTACCTGAACTACACCAAGCCGAGCTGCTCTCTCGGCGCCGCCCCTTTCTCCTCCGCGTACACCACCTGGGGTGTGAGTTCCCACAACCCCAACCCTCTCGAGCTGAGCACCAGCGCAGCTCTGGCTCTGCTGCGGTCCAAACAGAGGGGAGACAAGGTTATATACAGCGTGGCGGCTATGTGCCGGCCTGGCACGGGGAAACTGGTGTCATCCCTCATCCTGTGGAGGCAGAACATGGAGCAGGTGAGAAAATAGTTTTTTAAAGCACACATCAAAAAATCGATTTGAGGAGTCTGAAGAGCAAAGCCCTGTTGTTGACATATTGAATTGTTCTTACATATAGTGGATTCATAAAGAAAAGCTCCACTGGGCAGAATCACACTTTGGTAGCCCGTTATGTTATTAAGAGGTACATGTTTGAAATGTAGAAAGTTTAAAGCACCAGATTATGAAGAATTTGGTCCACATTTGATTTTTTTGGCAGAAGGTTCACTATTGGAAAGTTTCTGAAAATCATTTGCCAGCTGTTAGCTTTTAAAATTTTAGAATTTTAAAAGCTTTGATTAGTCACTTTTTCTTGGCAGTAAAAAACATATTCAAGTAAATATTGTGTCTCTTGGCAAAGGGATGTTTTCCTCTGCAGCTTTGGATTTAGCTGGATAAGATTCCCGAATACTGACGGAAAACACAGATGTTTCGCGCAGCTTTCAGAGAATAGAATCACAAAACGCAACAAAATGTGGGTTATGTGTAGAGTTTCCCCTTCTAGCAGCAGCATAATTCATGTTTCCCAAACATGCTGTGTAACACCATGTGTGACACAGAGCGTTGGAAGCATCGCGTTACGCTGTCGATACCCTGTCCACTTCAGATGGATGTTAACAAAATGTTTGGTCATCTCATTCAGCTGCAGAGGAAACCCGAGCCCAAAGAGGTGGACATCACCTACGGGAAGAAGATGAAAGACATCAGCTGCAGAGTGAAAACCGCCAGGGAGGATTGGAAAGAGAGGGAGGCTTCCACGACCCAAACAGTGCCAACGCGCATTAAGATCTTCGAGGGAGGGTCAGTAAAGATATTAGTTATCGTAACACTTGTCAGTTCTGCTGACAGCAGCTATATTAGGAGGCTACTGCATTCTCCCTCTGTCCGTCTGCCTCTTGCATGTGTTTGTTCACCACAATGCTGTTTATGTCTTTCAGGTACAAGTCCAATGAAGACTACGTGTACGTCAGAGGTCGAGGCCGGGGGAAATACATTTGTGAGGAGTGTGGGATTCGCTGTAAGAAGCCGAGCATGCTGAAAAAACACATCAGGACCCACACAGACGTAAGGCCGTACATCTGCAGGGTCTGCAACTTTGCCTTTAAAACTAAAGGTGAGTATTATTATATTTATATAGTATTCTAAGCTTATAGACAATAAAACATACTTATTTATAGATAATGCAAAGGACTCCGTATTTACAGTATTTGCTTAAAACAATCTTTGGCATGCAGCAGGGAGTAGATTTCACTGCTCCTGAGGCGTTACTGAATTTTTGCTAAATCAGCAGTGGTCTCTTTATTTTTATCTTTCATTATTTCTGGGTGAATCTTCTGACTGGACTGAAATGAAATAAAACTGAGTCAACATCTGCCCCGTTAAGCAATATTGTCGCTATTTTTCAGTCAGAAATAGTAACTTGTTTTGTAATTTACAGGAAACCTGACTAAACATATGAAGTCAAAGGCACACATGAAGAAATGTCTTGAACTGGGAGTGTCAGTGACGATGGATGACACGGAGATACAGGAACAAGGTCAGATACAATCAAATATTCATGCAGACTCTTCTTCTGTTCTACGCAACAGAGCAAAAATCTGACTAAACTGATGCGTTTCTCTTTTAAAGTGGACGACAGCCAACAAGAGTCCAAGACAGAGGTGACCATCACAACCAAACACCAGTTCTCAGACGCCGAGGACTCCGACGGCATGGACGAAGACGTCGACGAAATCGACGAAGACGACGACGACGACGACGAATACGAGGGCGACTCCACTCCAAGGCTGCGTTCGAGGAGCACCAGTCCTCAGACGTGTGGGCCGACCTCTATGTCAGTCTCGGCCGCCGCCGCCCTCCACGTCTATTCCTTCGCCTCTCCGCCGGGCGCCGATGTCCGCCAGCAGTCCTCCGACAGGCGCACGGGCTCGGACCCTCGAGCCGTCCATGCAACCGTACGGAGGGAGAAGTCTTTGGACGACGACTCTCTGAGCGTCCTGTCTCCGGACCAGGCCGGCTTCCTATTTGACCCCTACTCTTCCTGTCTGCTGTCTCCTGGTTGGGAGTCTCCCATCAGGGAGCCCTCCCCTTCACGTCTGCGCTACACGTCCCCGAGGCGAGAACTCTCTCCTCGAGGTCGCTCCTCTCCCAGGTGGGAGACCTCCCCGCTGAGGCCCAGCTCGCCCGGCGTCACACCCATCCAGCACCTCTCCCCGGTCTCCATCGAGCGGCCGGTGTCTCCTGGAACCGAGCTGGCCGGAAAGAGAGAGTCCTCGGTCAGAGGTCGGCAGAGAGTCGTGCTGAGGGCTGTTTCGCCCCGCAGAGGCTCGCACCAACACAGAGGCAGCGGTGATAAAACCCGTCACCAGGCGAAGATGGAGATGGCTCAGCATGGATCCTTTGAGATGGAGATGGTAGGTGTCATTAAGTGTTCAACTACACCTCTGACAAATAGGGTGATATGGTGACATTGTTACTGTCAACAGATCTCTTGAAAAACCCCAAACCAATGATATCTTAATTATGGCCGTAATATATATATATATATATATATATATATATATATATATATATATATATATATGGCGAGCTACGTTTTTTTTCTTATGTCCTAAAGTTTACTCCCGTATTCCTCGTATCTTTGTTAACTGTAATATATTTTCACATGAGAAATGATCCTGGCAACGTTGAAACTCCTCCCAACGGTGCCAACTTGTCGTTTCAGGATGAAAGGAGCAGCTTGGCTTCAAATCTGCCCGGTCCTTCCAGTTCTCATCACCAGAACATCCTCAGCCACCTCCCTCTTCACTCCCAGCAGCAGACCCGCAGTTTGCTCCCCGTCGTTCCTGTGGGGGGGCTCCAGATGCTGCACACCCCGCCTTCCTCCAGCACCGATGTCACCCTTCCCTCGGCACCAAGCCCCCCGAGCAGCGAGCGCCGGCGCTGCAGCAGCAGGCAGGGATCTGTCCACGGGCCTGAGTCTGGAGGAGAGGACGGCGGGGACCAGAACCAGCTGTCCCGCCAGGCCTCTGAGGAGAAAAGCCTCGACCCCGGGCCCGGGGACAGTGGACCGGAGGAGAGCGTCCAGACGTGCTTGAAAGCCATTGCTTCGTTGAAGATCACCACAGAGGAGCCTCACTGAAGGAGAAGACAGCCCCTCCTCGGCGCTACACCTGCGACCTTGTTCGCCCTCAGCCCTTTAGGCACATAACCTCATCTTTATCCAATTAGAGGCAATATCATAACAATTCCTCGGGTTTTGCACATCCTCCAGACGGCTCCTTTTTAGATCTGAGTGGAGATGAAACCTTCACAATGAAGAAACCCACCCTGTCTGATGTCCTCTTCTCCTCGGAGACTCTTTGAAATGATTGGACGAGCAGCAGGATGACTTCTGAGGTGGAGAATCATTATTGGGTGCAGGTGCAATATGGAAAGATATTATGCTAATATGCCTTTGTCTGACATAGTAGTTTGCGTACTATTGCACATAAATTATATTTATGGATTCTGTACAAATTTCCTTAACATATACTCCTTCTTAGATGCATACAAACAGTGTATTTTACTGTATGTGTACTTTGAAAATAGACTGTTGTTTAATGTAATCATATCAAGGTGTTACTCAGTAGTGCAGTAAATAAAGACTATTCATAAGGGGAAAAGTATGTGTGTTATGAAACAGTCTGACCAAATTTTAAGTAGATGCTTCTTGTGCAGTTTGGTGCTTCTAATCAAGCGGCAAGAGTCTGTGCCTTTATTTTGCTTTTCATCATTTTGTTATGAGAAGGTCGTTGTGGAATACAGAAATATGTCGAGGAAGAATTTATTCAGAAGTGTCAGCGCTGTCAAAGAGTTCGCTCAAAGAAAAGCTTTTTATTTCTTGTTCCGTCAGTTATGCTGTCAGACGGATGCAGCTTGATTTATGTGAAACAATCTTAAAAAATGTTTCTTATGTTGCAATTTTTTATAAGTGTTGTGGTTTTTATCTTGGTAACAATGCATGGGATTTGCTATTGCACAAAATAGAGGAAGTTATTATGTAATTATGAATACTGTAAGATGTATTTATATATTAGAACGTGAGCACTTATTGATACTGGTAAAAATTTGAATACTATTTATATGGTATATCTGTACTTATGCAGCAGTGATGCGGTTATGCAGTGAGCCACGCTGGTGTTGCTTTCGGTATCTTGTATTTGCTTTAATTAAACAGCGTTCTCTCTCTCACACACACACACACACACAGACGACCGCGAGCATTTTATGATTTTGACGATGCACTTTCATCTTTTGATCTTTGATGTTTAACTGACGTGGTCGGTGAATTTAAGGGAGTAAAACTTATTGTGTTCTTGTGGTGTTTGAAACATTCCAGTCGTTTTTTTCACACGTTGCACACTAATTCAAGGGGCTATGATGATCAGTCAATAGTATGTTTTCTTGCATTTCAAGTGTAACTGGATGAATCAATATCACTTTACTGTAAGTAATTCTAAAGTAATGATGTTAACAGGGTGAGTTGGTTGACCGTGTTTCAGCTCAAAATGTCAGTGATCTTTCACCAAATGCATTACTTCTCTGTACATATATGTGTATTTTTATGATTTAAACTATTTTTGCAGTGTTGAATTCTGAGGACTTTTTATGTGGATTGTTTATATCTCTTTGAGAGGTAACAAGTCTGCAGTTGACGTGACGGAGGTTTAACGGGGGCGAAAATAGCACAGTGTTGATCGCTAACTCCGTGTGTCTCACCTTTGAAAAAATAAATACGGTGCATTCACGTCTTCAAGTGGCAACGTTACCGGTTTGAGAATGAATTTTCAAAATCAGAAAACACTTTGTTCACTCATGTTTACATAAAACAATTTAGAAGGTGCACTGCTTTTTTCCTTTTCTGAAGATTGATTTCATGTGTTTTTATTTGTCGTACCGGTGCAGAACGCTCACATAATGTGAAGGGAAAGTGAAGCCTTCCATTTGCTTTGGCATACAGTATGTATTCAGATTGTGTTTGTGTTTTGTTTTTATTGTGTACTTATATTTACTGAACTGCTTTGTGCCTCTCATGTCCATGAAATTCCCTGTAAAACACACAGAGGACAAATCATTTTACCTCTCAGCTAAGATCTTTTGAGGAGAACCCCCTCAGTAGCCGACCCGTTGTTTAGCTTTCTGCATCGAAGCTGGTTAGTCAGGACGGAGTGCCTCTTTTATGCTACGGGGACTTTATTGTTTGGTGCTCTACTTTTTCAGATTAAATTCAAAATTGTTTTAAAAGAATATACTTCAAACTCAAGGATGTGTGTTGCAGCTTATTATACGTCTTTCTTCTTCTTCTTCTTCTTCTTCTGCTGCTCAAAATGGCTTCCCGGCCTTTCCTCCCGCACGGCACACAATCGTTGAAATTAGAGCACGCAGGGAATCAGATGAAATCGTTCCTATTTTACCTTCAGGGGGAGAATAATCTCCAGACGGTGACATCCTCTGGTGAAAGATGATTACTGCAGTAACAACATGGAACAAACGAACGCCTCCAAAGAAATGGCGCTCACCTCGTGGAAGATGTTCCACCGCTCTCAGGCTGCGTTCACTTCAGCGAAAAATGTGGCGGCACATTCAGTGTGCACCGCACCCGACCGCAGGGTTACACGGTGTGAGCCGTGTAAATAAGTGAGGGGACGACAGTGATCTTGGCGTTATGCCGGCTCTTCTCAGGATTTGGGAGGAGGTCTGTTCTAATTCTGGCCAATCACATCGACTGATCTTTCCTTTTTTTTTTGTTCTATCCTGCTCAGTGACTTTGCCTGTCAGGCCCATTTTGTTAGAATAATTATATGGGTGTTAACAGCATTGCAGCTTAAAATAAAGTTAGTGCTGGCCATCGCACAAAATGGCTGCGCAAGATCAGGAGAAAATGTTCAAATGGTGAGGTATTTTGATTGTATTCACACACACGCGGTGGGTGTTTCTATGCCTGCTTTCAGAGGACCACGGGTGTCCTGGACAGAGACGTAGAGCGTCCCTCTCCGCTCCCCTGGTTTATTTTGAGGTGGTCTTATCACAGCTGTTGTAACTGTGGTGGCAGCCTGTCCACAGCCCCTCCACACTCCTCCTCTCCCCACTCTGGAACTAGTTCCCGGTAAGACCCCGTTTGCTCGCTACCCTGCTTCTTCAGGGATATTTAACCTTGAATTGCATTTATAAAACAACTTGAATTCTGTTCTTGAAGTCCTGTGAGGTACTAATACATTTTTGTTTGAATTTGACGGCCCTGCGAAGCTTTGTGAATATGAGAAGTAGAGGCACTGAGTCACTTGTTAACATATAGTGCCAATAATACTATTATTACTACTCCTATATCTGCTTAGATTCTCTGAATGTGCACCACCACATTTGTTTCTTTGGACAGTGAAGGTATCGATATTTTCTCCCGCTGTCATTTCTTTCAAGTTGCATTTGGTTTTGGATATCTGTCTCTACTTAAAAATATGTAACATGTATTAGGTCACTTATATAATACAGTTATTTTCAAAGTTGGAAATGCCGCTTTTGCACACAACAACCACTGACATTGACATCAATGAAAGTGGATTGGAAATAAATAAATAACTTGCCCATATTAAGACGTTCCTAAAATAGCCTTGGGGGTCTGGAACAGGTGCCATGTGCTCTGCTTGTGAAAGCAGTGTGAAGGCTGCACTAATTTTATGCACGTAAACAGGCTCTAGCTGTGAGCCAGTACGACAGCCACAATCACTGGTACAATAATAGGCTCTGCTGTCGCTTTCGTTGATGCATCTTCTTTAGTCAAATTAAATTAAATTTGCTTGTCTCGGGAGAAAAGCATAAGAAAAGCATTCTTAGCATTAAGAACAAGAACATACTATATTTTTAATAGCTACAATTGTTTACAAAACGGCATCTAATAGTTATGATTGAGCTCTTTCAGCACATAATATGCATCTGGGTTCATTTACCTTTCTGAGAAGCACCATGGTTGTATCTGCGGAGGGATGTGGTCTTACATAATTGTTTAATTAAATAATCAGCTGATGGTACTTGGATTAGTTTGGTCCAGTAGTGTCGGAAAATAATATTAAAAAATCTCATTATACAATTTCACATTCCAACATGATGGCTTGAAATTGTTTGATTTGTCCGGCAAACAGTCAAAACCTCAAAGCTGTTCAGTTAATCGCCGTAAATCACAATGGAAAAGTGTTCAATCACCTCAGAGAAGCTGAAACCAGCAAATGTTTTTGCCTTTGCTTAAAAAAATCATTAAAGCGGCAATCAAAACAGCTGCTGGTTAATTATTTGTATTTAGGTGAAAAGGCGTGTAGCTTTTGCATTATGAAACGTTCACCTAACGTGCATCACGTTAATTGATTTTGGTACCAAACAAGACCAACTTGAAAAAGCAAGAAGCGTGACCACCAAACTGTTCCTCTCCTCACAGCTGAGAATAATGGAGGCCTGTCCTGCACCCACGGGTCCCGAAGCGTCGCCAGCCGAGGCTCCGCACATTGACCTGACAGAAGACCTGGCCCAGCAGCTGGAGGACATCATTAGCGCCTACCAGGCCGACGAGACTCCCGCCGAGCCAGAAGACGCAGACGAGGTCACAGCTGTGAAAGAGCCAGCCACCCGCAAGGACCAGAAACTGGAGAAGAAGATGCTCAAAAACCTCGGTCTATTTTCTTTTTTACATATATCTTCCATAGTGAGGTGTGTTAGTAGAGCTGTGATGCTTGTACGTGTAACCATCTGCAACAGAAGCAGGTCCAACATTTCCATGTGTCTTTTATGATCATGTGCTCTAAAGTGATTTTCTCAATACAGGAGTAGTCAAAATGGTTTTAGCCCAAACTTGACCGGTGACTTACTGGTGGTGTTTAATCCTCCGCGGCTGCTCAGGGAAGGAGGCCATGCTGCTGATGCAAAGTCTGAACAAACTCAACACTCCGGAGCAGAAACTGGAAGCCATCATCAAGAAGCACGCTGAGCTGGTGAGAGACGGAGCGCTGGAGATGAAAGAGAGAAAACGTAGAAGTGGTGCACATCTTTACCCTTGTGGGCGCGTGGTGGACTTTTCCTGTGTGTTTGCACAGTTGGAGGAGCACCGCAGTGACCAGAAGCAGTTAAAAGTTCTGCAGAAGAAGTTGCTGCAGGTGATGAAGGAGAAGGACCAGCTGCAGAGCGAGCACAGCCGGGCCGTGCTGGCTCGCAGTAAACTGGAGAGTCTCTGTCGAGAGCTGCAGAGACACAACAAGACATTAAAGGTACTTCAGCCCCTGTCCTCTCTGCTCCTCATGCTCAGCAGCGGAGGTAATGATTCATATCCCACCATAGTTCTTCAACAGCCGAGCTGCTGAAATTGCCTTTTGTTGTTGGTTGAATTTCTGTGCCGGCTGTCCACACGTTGTGCTCTACAGTCGGTGACATCAGCTGCCACCGAAGATCAACCATGTCGTAGATTGAACCTCTCAAACTGCCACAACTCATGTCGTGGAGCAGAGTGGTGTTCAAACCGGACAAACATACAAACGTACTGAATACATCTACAGTATATTAACGCTGCTTGAAGGGGAACGCGTATTTCACTCCGAGCTGATGCAAAGCATGATGCACATTGAGAACAAACACAATCCGTGGCTGTATGTGAAACCAGAAGGCAGTTTAATGTATTAAGAGGTTGAAAGGACGTTACCTTCTTGATGTGGTAATTTAGCATTTTTAGTAGCTTACGCTGTGAAGAAATAACAGAATACAACGAAAGTCTTTTGTAAAGCTAAGTGGGGTTTATACCGACTTCCATAGCAATTTCTTTAGAACAATTACCGTTAGTTGATAAAAAAATATATTTTACGTCAATGACTATTTTGATTCATCATTCAATTTCTGACAAAAATGCCAAATATGATCCGGTTACAGCTTTGTAGCTGTGACTGTTTTTCTTTGACTAATGTGGCTGTAAACCTTTAAATATATTTAGGTTTTAAACTCCAATAAAAAAGCAACATCATCAACAACATCGGGGACTTGTGAAAGACACTGAGAAAATAATAATAATGACATTAATTGTTCCAGCTCTAATAACTGCACATTCTTCAGTCTGCTTAGTTGGAGGTGGGAAAGATTTCAGTGGGAAGAACCACAGTGATTTGACAAGCAAAAGACGACCGCGACTGAAGATGACCGAGCTCAAACATTGATCTCTGGAATGCAGGAGGAGACCCTGCAGAGGTGCAGAGAGGACGACCTGAAGAGGAAAGAGATCACCACCCATTTCCAGGGGACGCTGAGTGAGATTCAGGCCCAAATCGAGGAGCACAGCAGCCGCAACACGGCGCTCTGTCAGGAGAACGGCGCTCTGGCAGAGAAACTGAAGGGGCTCATCTCACAATACGACCAGCGAGAGGCGGTATGGATCCTGACACGCGACACACGTCCCGGCCTCTGTGTCAGCTGTCAAACACATGAATTATCAGTTACAGTATTTGGGTTTTTCGTGACCCGCCTCAGCAAGAAATCAAACAGCTTTCTCTCATAAACTTCCTTTCAGAACCTGGAAAAGGTCTTCAAACACAGAGACCTGAAAGAAAAGCTGCTGGACACCAAGCTCACGCAGGCCAACATGATCCTGAAGGAGACGGAGGAGAAGCACAAGCTGGAAAAAGAGCTCGTGCGTTTTGTTTCTCACAATGTATTTCCGAAGAACATGTCTGCCTTTTAATTCCTTACTGCTTTTCATCAAGGATTTTCATTTCTCACAGCTGCTAAAACAGACGGCAGAATACAAAACGAGGGTGAAGGTCATGAGGGAGCAAGAAAACGACATGAGGATCCAGGTACAGTTGCCGGGCTTTAGGAGGCAAATTGACATATTTTGAAACCTCTACAGAGGCACGCGTGATGTTTGACTCGCTCTCTCCCCTCAGCTCGAGATGTACTCCAAGAAGTTTGATGAATTCCAGGGCACGGTATCAAAGAGTAACAGTGTCTACAGCGACTTCAAACAGGACATGGACAAAGTAAGAACGGTTCCACACAACATTCGAAGACAGCTTCATGATGTTGGTTATGTTAGTTAGTTTATCTGGGAATGAAAACTGTAGAAAAACAGAAGTGAGGAAAACAATTCCCCCGAGATTTAAGCTAAAACTAAATCTGACAAACTCTAAGATCCTACATTCTACTGTGGGAGCTATTTTTAGAAGTGGCTTTGATTGTGTTCTGTTTAACGGAATATTTTTTTTGTGGTGTAGATGGCCAAGAAGATGAGAAAGTTGGATAAAGAGAACCAGTCATGGAAGAGTCGCTTTGACAGCTGCAACAAGAGTCTCCTTGACATGGTGTCAGATGTAAGAAACATTTCAGTCATTTATAGCCAAATACGACTGTTTGGTTGTTATCTTTCTATTTTTTTTGTCGCTCGCACAAATGCTTTTCATGCATTTAATCATTTTACAGAAAGCAATCAAGGAAAAGGAGTTCGAGCTCCTCACCACCAAGAACCAAAAGCTGGAGAATCTGTGCAGGGCTTTGCAAGAGGAGAGGAAGACTCTCTATGAGAAGGTCCAGGGAGCAGAAAGTCAACCACACAACAGTGCTGAGCCAAAGGAGAAGGATGACCCAGAGGAGCTTGAGACCCCCAAAGTCCCTGAAGACAAAGAGCCCGTCCAGAAAACTGCTTCTGCTGCCGCCGAGACCCCAGCACCCGAAACGCCAATGACCAAGGAACTGGCTCAGCTGAAGGCCGAGCAGAGCCGCCTGAGGGAGATCGCCGACTCTTTCACGATCTCTCACGTTATACCCACAGATACGGTGGTTAGCCAATCACAAGGACTCTCTGAGGGCGTCCAGGAGCCGCAGCAGAACCACCGAGAGGAGATCAACGGCGAACACCTCCAGGAGGTTGAGGAGGACGGATGCCAAGAACAGAGAGATTTGGAAATGCAGTCAGTTGATTAACGCCGCAACAAACGCGGCAAAGAAATCTGATTTGTGTGCGATTCATAGCAATAAAAAGAAAAATGCAGGTGCTGGCTTTGTGTTCAGTGTTTGATCCTCACATGTCTGGATTTAGGAGAATTTCCACTAATTCCAACTCAGCAGTTTTATCCTTTAGAAAGGTTTTGACTTACAGCAACTGTCCCCGGATTGTCATGATTGATCATTGATACAGAACTGTCAAAGAATAAATATCTGGTTATTTGATATATCACAGTGCACTTAAAGATGTAATGTAATCAATTAACGAAGGATCTTAAGGTGAATTTCAGCAAGGGAACAATTAGAAATGAATTAAAAATACAGTATGTTACATTTTTTAAATTCAGACACCTATAGACCCTGTTTTTGTGGTGACATAACAGAGCATTTTATAAAGATTGCATCTAAATTTGCTAATGATTTTCAGTAGGAAATAGGAATCCTAATAATGCTTATTTCTATGTAGAATAAATTGTGATTTTTGTGGGGAGAGAATTCAGAGAGAATTCAGCTCATGTTATTCTGGCTGAGCTATTTTACCCCCAACATGCGAAAAAGACTACAGCCTTTACTGAACTCCAAAACCAGAAGACGTTTACATGCACAATCGATTCGGTGTTTAAAAAATGTGTTCAAACTTCACAAAGCTCCTTTCAGAGCCACATAACGTATTATACATTCCTTGTCACAAGCAGTAGTTCCTATGACTACAGAACGGATCCTCGCGCTTAAAACAGCGGCGTACGCTTCTAAAATGAGCTCAAACAAAAGACGTTTTGTTTTGTTTCTTTTACCGAGAGTCCACAGAGAAAGCCGGGATTATGTCACAACTGTTCACTGATAAGAAGCTGCACATCTTATGAAACTATTACAAATCAAACAAAGACAGAAAATGGCTGTAGGAGCAAAGCGTGCTGCTGTGAAAGCTGCAGAGTAGCAGAGCACGGGAGGTAGGAAGCACTGTGTGGGGACGGAGGACAGTGTGCTGTGCGCTTGGCACGTGATTTCAGTCTTGCGATATTTGCCACCATGTTCTTAAAATACTCTGGGAAACGATACCTATGGAGAATTTAAACGTAGCCACATGAGGTCTCCTTTGTTTCAGGTGTGATGTCCGTGCTGTGCAGCGCACGGGACAGAAAATAGAAAGGTAAATAAATCAAGCAGGGAGGTGTTCAGAGCAGGAAGGAGTCAAGAGGGCGAAGGAAAGGTTCAAATCTCTGAATCAGACAAAGAATATGCTGTTAAATAGATCAATCAGACACCTTCATGCCTATAATCTCTAATGTGTTCTTTTTTCTGTGTATCTCCGAGGTTGCAGAGGGCTTCATTATATGACTGAAGCCTTGAAGACCTGGAACATTCTTGTATATTCTTTTGTACATATTTTCTGTAACAGCATACGCGCTTGTGAAAATCCCAGAGTTGTCCAATCCAAACCAATCCGGAGGATCAATATCCTTAGCAGAAAGGTGATGACCTCAACTGCTACAACACACGATGCACATGTTTTCTAAACATAAAGCACATGCATGTATGAACAAAGAGCAACCCTGCACACTTCATAAGGATGGTTATTACTGTATGTCGCATTAAAGCATCATGTGGTCCCAGACAGCATTATTTATCCTCAAGAAATCATGGCAATAATAGATTATTTTCAATAATAGATAGATTTTCATTTAACAATGTCTTTGTTTTGTATGTTTTTTAAGCCTTTTTTTTATAAAATGTATTGAGAGATTGTATTTTGTATCTAAATGTGGAAGAGGATGTAACTTTGAGGCAGCACTGAGGTTTCATAAAAAAAGGACAATGCAAATGGGCTGTAGCCTTGATCGTGTCCCTCAACTGGATCATCCGGCAGAAACTATAATGCGTTTCTTCTTCTCTGCATTTTTCAACATCCAGACAACAATACTCTTGATTGTTGGGATCTTTAAATGGTAAACTGTACATCTAATTGGGGGTTGGTTGTTGCTGGGCTTTTGTTCCATTGTGTGTTCACCCAGAAAGCACTGCAGCAACCAACAAAAGCTGCCCTACATTCATAGTATTGGCTGAATGGGAAGATATGTAACAATAAATTGTGTTGAAGATCACTGGTAAGCATGAGAAGTGGGATTACCTCAAGCGTAAATACATGTGTGGCTGTTGGAGACACTGCCAGCATCGCACGGCGATTTCTGCAGCGAGGTTCAAATATACTAAAATAAACACACGCAAAAAGTTGACCCTCTTCAATTAAAAACATGGCCTTTTTTGATTGTGTATTAAAAAGGAAATTACAGATTAAGTCTGGTTATGGCCTATGGGTGTCATTCGGGACGGATTATGATTGGGGAGAACTGTTTTCCTCGCATAACGGAGATCCAGTGACCCGTGAAACGAGGCAGGAGGGGTGTGGGGCCTTGCACAGGGGAAGTGTACATGGGGAAGAGGCGGGCAAATATGCATGAGAACTCACTGCGCAGTACAATGAGTTGCTGACTAATGGGGAATAAATTGAAGAAGGGGTGGGGTCCCCATGTATGCAATACCCAGGACGGATGAAGACTTTTCCTCACAGGATCTTCCTCTCTGTCTTTATCCGGAGACACAGCAGCCAGTCGGAGAGACATTTTGAGGTTAATTGGTGAAAAATGCCGGAGGAGGCCGAACGGGAGAAATTACCCGAAGTCATCAGACAGTGGAACAACAACAGATTGGATTTGTTTGAAATAAGTCAACCTGATGAGGTGAGTCGCCTGCCGACAGACTTCAGACAGGTTTCATACGCCATTGGAATTGATTTAGGAGCCCAAATCTATTGGTCTGGTCAAATAACTGCTTCCTATTGCAACAAGCAACAAGGGAACTAGTTGTGTAGCCTAAACTGCTGTTAGCCGTTTTAGCGACTTTCCTTTGGGAAATAGTATGTACGTCTTGGGGCTTTTATTGTGAAGGGTAAGAACATCCAAAGTTGATCTGGTATGGGGTTTTTTTGGCACAGTTTAACAGAATAACACCACTAACACGTGCAGAAATCTATAAGGATGCAGCGATTTGTCGATTGTTACTGCTTTAAAGAAATTAACTGTTTAATTAATCTAGTTTAGACAACATTAAGGTTGTTTGAGTGTTTTTTACTTAGTTCATTCCCAAATCAAAGGGGAAATTGGCATTTTTATTCTAAAAGCCTATTTAGAAATGTGGTTTCACCAAACTTTATGAGAAGTAAAAAATCTATGTATGAAAGAACTCACTTAAAATCCATCTGCTTTCTGTCAGAACTTGGAGTTTCATGGAGTGATGCGCTTCTACTTTGAGGATCGTGTTGGAGGAAATGTGGCCACTAAGTGTCTGCGTGTCTGCAGCGACGCTTCAACTCAAGAGGTCATCGACACTCTGTCAGAGAAGTTCAGGCCTGACATGAAGATGCTGACAAATAGTTATTCCCTGTATGAGATCCACGCTAATAAAGGTAATCACTTCACGCAAAACATGTATGATTGACATGGACAATACAATTAATCAAATAATATACCGGCCGGAAAATAAATCAGCAACAACTTTGATGAACGATTAATCGCATAGAGTTATTTTTAAACCAAATTAGCTGCTTCTAGTCCCTTAATCATGAAGCGGTACCTTGCACGCTTTCTTGATCGTAAATTAACTATTTAAGGGGTTTTGAACTACACCAAAAGATTAATATTGAAAATTTGCTGTTGGAAGTCCAGTTGATTTAAGAATACGCTGCGCCCATTTGTTTTTCGTTTTGTGTGTTGAATAAGAACGTAGACTGGATCCGGACCAGAGACCCTTGGTTGTACAGTTGAACTGGACCACAGACAACAGAGAAGGACGTTTTGTGCTCAAGAAAGTCAAGGAGAGTTTGGAGGTACCACTTAGACAAATAATTAAGTCCGCAGCTTCCCTCTCTCTTCATCTAATCTCACATCTATGTTCTTTCTTGAATTGGTGTGGATCCATAAGGAAAACCGTCACGAGAAGGAAAAGGGAGGTGTGATCCAAACCTTCAAGCGGACACTTTCAAGAAAAGACAAAAAGAAAGAGAAGAACAAAACCAAAGCAACTGACACGTTTTCAGATGACGAGAATGGGTAAAATGTTTAATGTTCACAATGACATTTATATTTTGCCTGCTTCAGACCTCAACGCACAAAATGAAATCCCTTGTTTTGAAATAAACATCCAGGCCAACTGAAAAGCTCCTGAACAACAACAGCATTTGTGTGTCCAACAATGAGGAGAAAAAGAGCTGCACAGAAAACCCACGGCCACATTGGCCGGCTGCCGTCGGTAAGTAATCTGCAAAATGTTAAAAAACAGAAACTGTGGAACAGTGCAGTGGAATAAATAAGACCATTAGTGTATACAAGTATATGTAACCTGCACATGAACTATATGATATGGTATAAACATGACTTCTGTTTGCTTACATATAGAGGCAAAGCACACAGACAATATTTACCGGGATTCTTCCGATCAACCTGGATTGCCAATCGGAATTAAATTCAGCGACAGCTGTGAGTACAAAACACTGTTTTCTTCCGCTCTTATTTTGATACTTGTTAATAAATGTCCTCCTGCCCCCTGCTGGCGCCTGTCACGTTTCAGCCGAAGGAGCCTTCCTGTCTGCAGTCCTGAATTACACCAACAGCTCCACGGTTCATTTCAAGCTCTCCCCGGCGTACGTCCTCTACGCCGGGACGCGCTTTGCTCTGCAGCGCCACCACAGGCGAGGCTCCGCACGCGGCGACCACGGCGTCACGTTGACTGCAAGTAGATTGGTGGCCATGACATCAAAGGTCATCGAGGCAAGTGCAAGAAACATTTCACTGTTCTTGCAACTGCGCACATATTAAATCAAATGTACAATCTGTAAGCAAAGATTGCGGCCCGTGAGGTTACGTGACGCTGCTCATATACTTGCCGTGCAGAGGCAGCAGGCCGGCGCCGGCGCTCTCGCCTTCTGGATGGCCAACTGCTCCGAGCTGCTGAACTTCCTCAAGCACGACAAAGACCTCAGTGTGATCACACGTCAAAGTCAGCTGGACCTGTCCCACCTGGTGCACAAAGCCTACAGGTGCAGATGAAAAGACCCGACCATGAAGACTCACAGATTATAATTCCAAATAGAGACGGCGTACTAAAAACAGTTCAAATCACATATTTACAGTGCTTTACATTCACCCCCCTTGGACTTTTCTGCATTTTGCCATTTTAATAGCCCTAGATTCAAATGTATTTCATTGGTATTTCATGTAATGGACCAACACAAAATAGTCCCGTGGTGACTCTGCAGGATCTGCAAAGATCCTATTAGTCGTGTACTCTGAACATTTTTCCAGCAGGACAATGACCCCAGACATGCAGCCAGAGCTACTATGGAATGGTTTAGATCAGAGGTGCCCAACGGGTCAGTTGCCGAGGCCATGCAAGCTTGGTGGTGCCAAGCAACCCTGGCTGACTCCAATCAGTGCAAGTCACTGAGGCGTATTGGCCTGCTGACCAGGCTTCCAACCCCGTCACGTCTCCGCCCTCGCAGAGACACTAGAAAACTCCGTCAACCAAAACATCCACCGCAAAAGCAACCCTGACCCCCGATTCTCCAACATCTGGTAATATTATCTGTGAGATTTCATTTTGGCAGATATGCACACAGCAGAGGTTGCAGTACATAAAACTATTAACAAATACAAATAAGCACCTTTTTGACTAAAGGCTTCATGCCAGAAGTGTAAAGTTTTTGTTTGTGTTTTATTCCCCAAAGTTGCCTGCTACTCTGTCTTCAGAATGACTTAAGGAAGCACTTGCCCACTTTTTTGATTGATCCCGAGCAACATGGAGCCCTGCCTGCTGGAATAGGTAAATGTTTCATCCGTATTTGTGCCGGAGACGTTTCACGTTGAAACACTGTAAAAGTTGTGTCTCGCCTTCTTTCAGAAATGGTGCTGAACACCTTGATGAACGCCATGTCCCTCTTACGCCGCTGCCGGGTCAACCCTGCCTTGACCATCCAGCTCTTCTCCCAGCTCTTCCACTTTGTCAGCGTGTGGCTCTTCAACCAGCTCATGAACCCAGAGGCCAACACTCCTGGCCTGCGCTCCCACTACTGGGGGGCGGCTCTCCGCCAGAGGCTCACGGCCATCGAAGCCTGGGCGGAGCGGCAGGGCCTGGAGCTGGCCGCCGACTGTCACCTCGGACACATCCTCCAGGTCAGCTGCCCCTGCTCCACATGGCCAAATGAAAAACAAGCGCTTTGAATGGGCATGTTATGCAACATGGAGGCAGTGACTGATTCAAATTACGTTTGTTCTGATGAGAATAATATGAGTGTCTTGTGTAATGGGATGTGTTTCTGATCTGGTTTGCAATATTTATTTACGTATCAGTGCACATCTTTCAGTCAGTACGAGCTGTTAAAATAGCATTTCCTGGCTGTTTCTAGGCAACCATGCTCCTGACCATGAGCAAGTACTCAATGCAAGACGTGAAGGCCGTCCAGAGTACCTGTTTCAAGTTGAACTCTCTGCAGCTGCAGACGTTGCTATCCGGCTACCTCTATGCAACCAATGAACCTCGCATTCCAACCGTGAGTACCGCTCACCTTCCACTCCCTGCATGCCCTGGTTGTTTCTCGTGATGAACAGGATCATGAATAATAGATGGGTAATAGTGAGTTGTCTCACAAACCCATTTCATTATATAACCCATTAGATGTTGCGTGATATGACTACATACTTTGACTGTTTTAGTTTCCCTACCGCCTTCTAGCAGAATCTACTATCTAAACCTGCTACGACAAGCTCAAAGGGGAAAAAATGACATAACTTTAAACCTCATATTTCACCACTAGGAATACGAACAGCATGAAAGCACCAATATGCACATGCTAAGAAATAATCCCATTTCGTAACTCAAAAGCAAAAGTTATTCATATTTAGCACTATTTTAGTAGTGTTATTGTATATTATGGGATATTTCATTTATATGTAAATTGGACTTTAATATTGTTACTGTTATTTGTTTCGGCAGTAACGCAGCTATATATTCTATACAAAAAAAGGTTTTGTATGTTGAATCAAAATGAATACGGTAATGAAAATGAAAATGAATGAAAAGTAAGTGTTTCACCAGTGAAAGTAGTAAAGCACAATAAAGGCACCGCAAATATGTACTAGTTCAGTCCTTGAGACTCTTAGTACAGTAGCAACAGTTTCTACTTTCAACTTGTACCACCGCTACCAGGGACACTATTAAAACAACATTACCTCAATGCTCACGGTCACATCAGGCAGATTGGATGTTGATTCCCCGAAGACAGAATGACAAACAACCTGAAATACTTCTGCTGTCTGATCCACTCGTCATCCTGGCTGCAGGATTTGATCGATGCCGCAGTGACGGCCGCGAAGGTCTCAGCGGATAACCTGATCCGGAGCGAAGGGCGGGACATCCGCCTGGAGGAGAGCCTCGACCTGCGTCTGCCCTTCCTGCTGCCGGAGGGAGGATACTCCTGTGACACCGTGAGAGGAATCCCGCTGGGCCTCAGGGAATTTTTGGAGCCAATTTGCCAGAAAGGTTTGGGAGCCTGACTCATATTTACCAAAATGTAAAAATACTGTAGAATATCAGGACTGTCTCCTAAAATGGTTCTTTTTCTCTTCCAGGTCTTTGCTCTCTGACATCAGAGCCAAACTCTACAGGTGACTGGACCGTGTTCTTCAGTGAACCAACTTCCTCTGCAGAGAGCACGAGTTCGGTAAGCAAAAACACGTGGTTATGATTTCATTTGATCATTAAATAAAGCGTTAATACATGTCATTTGTTTCTGTTTTCCAAAATAGGCAACACACGGAGAGCCGGGCGTTGTGACCATCACACTGAACAAGCCTCTGAACAGTGGGATGGGGGTCAGCATTGTGGCTGCCAAGGTCAGTGCTTTTTCAGCTTTTCAAGTGCGTGAGTGCCGCGGTTTTGCAAAAGAAAGGAGGATTTAGTTATTGAAACACTAAAACTATCGAGCTAATGTCTGGACTAATGAACGCCTTTTATTTTGTCCAGGGAGCAGGTCAAGAAAACACTGGGATTTATATAAAATCCATTGTCAAGGGAGGACCAGCTGAGATGGTGAGATTTAACATATTTGCTCGTATGGGCTATGCAGTGTACAAAATAATTCGATGGAATTATACAAGGGTTGCTTGAACTTCAAAAATCTTTGTAGAACGGCAAGTTAACCGCTGGGGACCAGCTGCTGAGTGTGGATGGTAGAAGTGTGATCGGCCTCAGCCAAGAAAGGTTTGTGATCAGCAGGACTTTGTGCCTTTGGGCTGTTAGTCGTTCCACCACATTAGTCCAAATACAAAATATGTCAACAAGAATCTAATGGGTTACTATGACATTTTATTCACATTCATTTTCCCCAGAGGATGTATCCTAGGAACTGAGTGGTCCTGTGTTTAAAGTCTCATGAAGATATCCAAATACTGAACAAATACCAACTACTTTTTTTTTTTATGTCGTGCCATGTGAACGCAGCGTAATGCTCAGTTTCAAAACACATTCATCACAAAAGAGCTTTTTGTTTTACTTTCGGATCAATAAAACGTTTAAAATCGTACATAGTCTTCAATTTCTAACGAATCCTAATTCTTGTATTGATTCTATTGATTTAGGGCCGCCGCTATCATGATGCAAACGGGCCCCGTTGTGACCTTGCAGGTTGCAAAGTTTGCGGCGAGCTTCCACGGCCTGGGAGCTGTACTGAGCGACCCGACACCCGAGACCACAACAGGTGAAAACACCATCGGACTCACTGTTGCTGTTGTTGTTGTTATTGTTTTGAACTTCCGCCCTCCGTGACTTAATCAAGACTCCCTCTCGCTTCCCAAAGGCGGTAGAGGCCCCACCGAGCCGGGCGGTAAAGGACTCGCGCTGAACAGCGTTGATCCTGCTCCGTCAGATCGGCTCAATGGAGGCAACAGAGGGACGACGGACCGGATAATACAGAGAAACAGACAACTGTATCGCTCCGACCCCGACATGAAGGGTGCGCGCACTTCTATTGTTATCACGCGTCAGTGCGGCATAAACACCGTGATGTGAGACACGCAGAGGCCCTGAGGAACAACTCCAGTGTGTTTTCTTTTCTCCCTCGTTTCAGTGTGTTTTTCCCCCGAGGAGGATGACCCCGTTGACCCCGTTGTGAGAGGGAACAACATGGCTGCTGTCTCCACCCTCCACCTTTGTTACGATGTGAGATTATTAGATTATTGTAGATTTCTCTGTTTAATTCATTGAGACGTTTATAAAATGTTCAGTCGTCTATAAAAATAGAAAGTCAACTGCATACTGACGACAAAAAATATATTTTTTTTTAGTTACCTTGTGTAACAATTATCTTTTATATTTAGACAGTTCACAGGGAATACTTGACACTTCCGGCCCATAAATCCCAGGAAAAGAACGTGTCTGAAACCAGTCGACCACAGCAAACACTGAAGGTGTCTTTCAGGCCTTTAGACGGACTTCACTCCACCAAGAGGACCTTTATGGTAAGTCTTCATTCAGAGTCATAACATCTCTATCTCTATTTACTATACAAAGGTCAACAAAGGTCAAAAGTCAACATATTGTTCACAGTGGTGGGAAGTAAGTGGTGAACTATTTACAAGGTACTTGTACTTTACTTTATTTTCACGTTATGCCCTTTTATACTTCTACTCCACTACATTTATTTGAAAGACAGTTACTTTTAAGACGAAGAAATTAAATCTAAAAAACATAAAATTGGTAAATACGATACATGTTTAAAGGTTAAAGTAGTGCCCTGTCATCCCTTTTACTGTGCTGCAGAACCTTTTTTCCCCTCTATTCTTTTCTGCCACATTAGTCATCTGCGACCCCTCCAACTGTGGAGGAGCCCGACCTTGGTGGGGAAACACGGGATCAAACTTGCTGTGCTAACTGCGTTTTACTTTTCAAAGCGCCACGCTCTGTCCCAGGAGAACTTGTGCGTGGACAGAGGAGGCCCCCTGCTGGACGGACGGCAGCACTTCTGGGAGCCGAAGGAGCAGCGTGCAAAGCAAACCACCAGCCCCTATTCATCGTTCCCCATCCGCTCCAGCGTTTCATCCCACGACATCCTCTCAGATTATCGCCCGCCCACAAAACAGCAGCAGGGCGGCCGCACGAGCGGCGCCGGTGTCTGGAGAGCTCCTTTCTCACAGCATCCAACACCGACGCCCTCCAACCAGCCGACGCGCGTCGACATCCCTGTGACCAGAGCGATGGACGCGCACGCAAGCCCCCCGCTCACCACCTTCCAGGGTTCCTCTCTGCAGGCGGCGCGAATGTGCCAAACCCTCAAAGCGCGTGGGGCGGGGAACAGAGCGGATCACATCTATGCGTGTCCCATCACTGCGACCGGGAGGCCGCCGCAACCCGCGCCGCCCTCACAGCAGCAGAGGTGCAACACCCACAGGGACCCAGCTGCAAAGCCCCAAGTGAGCATCACTCCGACTAAACACGTCTCCTTCCAGGAACCTCTCACCGAGCAGGAGCAGTGCACGGGGCCTGCGAGGCCCAAAGACCCTCCGGACCGGTGCGACCCGTGGAGGAGGGACGCTCAGGAGAAGCTGGAGAAGCAGCAGAGGCTCCGCGTGGTGGAGCTCCTGGAGCAGGAGGTGCAGGAGCTCCAGGGCAAAGCGAGGCGCACGGCGGAGGAAAACGGCCGACTGCGAAGGATCAACCTGGAGTGGCAGTTTCAGAAGAGGCTGCAGGAGGTGCAGCAGAGAGGAGAGGATGAGGAGGAAGATGAGGACTTGGACATGATGGTAACAATACAGCAGCTGGAGAAAAGGGAACAGGTGAAGACCGACGCAGGTGTAAGTTAAAGGATGCACACTAAACACTGACAGATTGAAATGTTTCCAAAAATCATTCTAGGAAATTAAGGAAATCACTCACTAAAGTGGGATGAAGCAAACATGGTAGATGACATATAAACTACAGTCTGCTTCAAGTGAAGTGTTAAATGTATCCCAACATAAAGGGAAAGGTGTGAAACATATCACATTAATATACATTATATAAAAATACAATGTTTTCTAAATGACTAACCAACGATGGAATACTTCTGCGTGGACTCTGATATTTAAAAAGCCTTAATAACATATGTTTATTCTGTTTCACATCTTTAGAATAATAGAAGCTCTTCTGGAAACGTCAACAATGAATTGGAAGAGTCTGAGAAGCCGGTGGAGACAAAAGCAACGCTCGGTAATTGTTTGTACGTTTCAATTCATTCAAAGGAGTCTGTGCTCATCAGACCACTTATTTTATTGTACATTGCAATATTTCCATGCTTTGTCAGATCAAAGACAGAGTGGACGAAGTCAACAATCCAACAACATACTATCAAACAAGTGGGTCTAACCTGTAACACATTGAAATTCAATCCGAACAAGCAGCTTTTGATAATAATAATAACAATAATTTGATATTACTGATTTACAGAAACCCAGAGGAGAAAACCAGGAGGGCGTCAGCTCCTGAAAAGCTCACATTCAAGGAGCGCCAGCGTCTCTTCTCTCCGGCGTCCAGTGCATGAATGAATTGAATGCATGAATGAATGCGCAAGATTTGTTAACAACTACCTGGGGAGGAGAATGTCAATGCAAAGAAAAGTAATCCTTTGCTAAGCAAAACGATAGTATACAGTACCATGTAAAAAGACAGTATGATGATGCATTTACTGAACAAATATGTTGCTTGAGTTTCCTATTCATAGATAATAAACGGTTTATTTAGAAATGAAGTTGTTCCACTTATTAATCGCAAACTGACACTGAACAATAACTTTTTTTCTTACTATAAAAGCTACTTTGTGCGCTGAGAAAAAAGCACCACAGCTTTCTCTTGCTCGCTGGTTTCAATGGAGCCTTCCCGCAGACGGCGGATCTCGTTGATGGCGTCCGTCCCCGAGATCTTTCTGGTCTTCACCAGGTAGCAGGCCAGCATGGTCCCCGTCCTCCCGTGTCCGTGCATGCAGTGCACTGCCACACCCTGAAGAAGAGCAACACAGTATTTACTGTAACAAACACACCCATCTTGCGTCACTGCTAGGACTGGAATTTGCCTTTTGTTTTGATAGTTTCATTGTCTTTTGGGGTGTTAAATGGGAATATGTTGGGTTTGAGAGTCTTAATCGCACAAAGCAACCAATTTAAAGACATTACAGTGCATTTTAGGGTATTTTTACATTATATAGAACCATAAACCATTGATAAAAAATCTGATATGTAATCGTAACATAACGGCTGAAACATAATATGCTGAACCATATCTGACAAGAAGAAAATCAGATCCTCCAAACAAAGGCCTCAGAACCTTTAGAATAAACATTGGTGCCGAGAGCCTTTGGAGAATAAAAAGAGGCGCTCCAACGAAAATACAGCTAACAGAGAAAACGACCGACGTTTACTTCCGTAAATCCCTTTTTTTTGCGTATAAAACGAACCCAGGCAACTAAACCGGAAGTGTCGCGCGCGGGCGGCACGAGGAAGTGTCGCGCGCGGGCTCACCTCTCCCTTGGAGTTGGCCTCTTCCACGATGGAAAGGAAGCGGTCGATCTGCGCGGGGGACGGGGGGGAGAAGTCCACTATGTCGATGTGGTGCAGCCGGAGCTGCGGGACCGAGTCGCAGCCCGGCGGCTTCCTCTCGCACAGACACACCAGGTGTTTGACACCGTGGTCCAGCAGGTACTGGTACTCGGACGTCCTCCTGGGAAGCGCCAGTCCGGCCACTTTGTCAGGGTCGACCCAGGAGAAATTGTGCGGTGGAGTGGAAGCCATGTTTCGTCAAATCCGGATGAGTCAGTGGCTGCGGACTGCAGGCGGGTCACGAACGCACGTGTCGCACTTTGACACCGAGCCGCTCCCAATGTCCCATGTCGACGGTCACGTGGGACAGTCCGTTTCTCCTCCGGCCGGCGGGCCGGTAATGACAAACACGAGCAAGGTGACGTCCCGTCGGCCGCGGAGCCGCTGGCTGACTGGCGGAGCCATTGACCCAGAAATAGCAACGGGGCCCTGGGAGGGATTACGCGACAGCCCACTAGGAGACACTATGCAGCCATGTGGTCAAATCCTGGAATAATTCATAGACCGGATTAAAACAGTATTCGGTAGAAATGTGTACCCGTCTGATATACATCTATATGTCACCATGTTTTCAACCGACTTGACTAACTTTAGTAAGGCATTTCCTGGAACATTTCAATATTTTAGTGTGCATCCTTTAATTTACACCTGTGCTCCTTTCTCCAGCTGCGGTGTTACCATCATGGCCAAGTCCTCATCCTCTCCTGTTTTCCTTTGCCGTGCGCCTCACTTTGCACCTTCTGTAATCCTGAAAGTATCTACATCCATCATGTCCATTGCTGGAAGACCTTGGTGAAAGGGTTGAGAAACATCTAAAACATGCGCAGTGCTATTGGGAGGGTTAGCTGTAGCTATTTAATATTTTTGTATGAATCTTTACTCCAGCCGGTTGACCCGTTCTGATGCTCAAATTGACCAGTTTCTCCAATTAACCTTTTTGCTTCCTGCATGCATCGGCCTTAATAGCTGTAGTACTTGCACGAAAGAAACATTGGCTCGAACATAATGGTTTGTGAAAACTTTATTATGAACTGCAAAAACTTGAACACGAGTCAAATTCACAAAACATTAAAAAAAAAAAAAGTTCTTTCAGAACATTACGAAACAAATTAAAGGACAATATGCAGTGAGCTTTATTAGTATCAAATGAATAACCCAACACATTTCTTCCTGCTGAAACAGACCTTTGTGCGGACCCACGACACGCTTTGCGTCACACCGAGGCTTAGTTAGTTAATAAAAAGCAACGAAGATGAATCACGCGCGGCCCTGGTACAGCAGAATCTATACAAAAAAAAAAAGCCAGACTCCAACATAGTCACACAAGAAAGCTGAATCAATCCAACGGAGATGCTTGCATTATTCTGTGATGCATCAGGGCAGTGAATGAAATGCGTAGATCAGAAGAATAATCACAGTTTCACGACAAAGCCAGGCGCCAGCTTTGCAAAAATAAAAAATACATCCATGACCATTGTTGGGAAACTCCTACCATTCCAACCGAACCATTAACGGCTAAAAAGCACACAGGAGTGGATGGAATCATAACATGGCAGAGAGCGAGGACCGGCTGCAGGACTAACGCGCATCCTCACTGAATTCACTCAACATTTCTGCAAAAGTAAAAAGTTTTTTTATTTTTTTATAATGGGGCAAACAAATGAAGTAATGGCAGTACAAATTTACCTGTGGCAGCTCATCCAAACTAATACAAAAAACCTAAAAAATAAAATAAAAAAAAGTGGTGCATCAACGACTGAAGAGCTTATTTAAAAAGAAAAAAAAAAAGCCATGTAAATGGAGATTTCCTGCCCTTCGTTAAAAAGAAAGAATAAATCACATGCCACCACAGTGGCCTGTGGTGAGCAACTATCAGTCTATTTCACAGCCAACTGGTGCACCGATCTCAGTGCTTGCTGTCTGCAGAGGCAGATCGGGACCGGGAGCGAGAGCGAGATCGGGAACGGGACCGGGAGCGGGACCGGGAGCGAGACTGCTTGTTCTGAGCAGGTGGAGGGGAACGTGAGCGAGATCTGGAGCGGGACTTGGACCTGGACTTTGAGCGAGACTTTGAGCGGGACTTTGAGCGGGAGGGGGATCTGCCTGACGCCCGACCCCCTCCGGGGGCCTTCTTCTCTGGGGTGCGACTCATAGACCTGGAGCGGCTCCTGGAGCGGTTGCGGCTCCTGGAACGGCTCTTTGAGCGGGAGTAGCTGCGGGAGCGGGAGCGACTCTTGCTGTGGCTGTTGGAGAAGAGGGCATTCAATAATGCATTCATAACACTGCAAACAGTAACAGGAAGTTTATGTAAAGACAATAGCCTCTTAAGACGTCGGACAAGGGGAATATTGTCGACTTTACCAGGTTAGGTTTTGACATTATGGCACTGGAGTGAAAAGCAGTTGACTGAAACTCACCTTCTGCTGTCCTCAAAGATCTTAAGTTTGCGTCCATTCAGCTCGGACCCATCAAGCTTGGAGATAGCGTTTTTCAGGTCACTGCGGGAAGCAAACTCAACCACTCTACAGGGACAGAAAAAAAATGGATATGAACACCAGAGGACAACAACCAGTCTAAAGGTTTGACTTGTAAAAAAGCAACGTACCCTTCATTTTTATTGGGCCTGTGTGCATCCACAAAGGTAACTTCACCTGCCTTTCTCATCAGGTCTTTCAGGTCCTGTTTCAAAGCATGATGTGGGATTAGTGACAAAGAACGAAACACGAGATGCCGGTAAAAGCCGTTTCAGACCTGGGGGGAGAGAAATGAGCAGGCAGCAAGAAACCAGAACACACTGAAACCTGGGCTAATATTGACTTGTGTCACTGATAAGCTCCAATTTCAGCAGAGGGCATGTAAACAAAAGAGCTACTTCAAAGTGTGTAGACAAGTGTTTCCTTTAATAAACTGTTTAAAAGCATTTAATTGGCAAAGAAATTAACTAGTGAAACACTTGACAGTAGTCTATGTATTGAGCTTGAGTAATTACTGTTGTGTCTGGGTATGTGAGATGAACCTGTGCATTACTTGGTCAGATGACAGTAGTTCTCTGGTTAAGAGGACCACAATTTTTAAAGTATGGCCTAAAAATGATTTTCAAAAGTCTTTACATAGTAAGACTGCCTGCTTCCCATTTGAGACTAACACTATACCCCTTTACCACCCGACCCTAAACAAACCCAATCACATGAGTTTTATGCTACTTACCGCTCCATACCCAGGAAGACATTATCATAGAGCCACTTGTCCAAATAGCAAATGGGAACCAATGCAGTGTTAAGCCCTTGAGAAACGACCACGGCCTTGACCAGCATCCGGCCTCCACAAGTAAGGAACCACCAGAGAGCAAGTAGGGGGAGGGGTGTGCGCCCGATTCAACACCGCCCCCAGCTCCATCAGCAACAGAAAAAGACCCAAACGGGAGTGTAGGGACCGTGGATTTGAGGGGGGTTACAGCAGTCGGGGGTGCCAGCCCACAGAACCTCCAGACTGTGGCTACGGACCTCCTAAGGCTACCGTATCCTGCGCTAGACCACTTCCACCCGCTACGGGGCCCAGCCAAGACTTTAGACCGGCGGCAACTGCGTGTAAGGAGAGGCACCAAATGGACACTATTCAGAAAAACAACCAGAAGAGGGCGCTAAACACTTGACACCTCCGTGGAGGGTGTGTATTCACCTCTCACCAGAGCAGCTGTTAAATTTATTACTTAAATGTTTTTGGTCAGAATTCGAATTGGCAGTAGTTATGTGTGTTTGTCTTAAGAATGTATTTGAAGGGAAAGTAAACAAACTACAAAACATTGAGGGCCTTATATTGAAATTGGCCAATTACCTAATGAGTTTTTAAAAATTGACATGATCAAATAAATGCTGCTCAATTAAAAAAAAGACATGTCCTACAATAAAAATGTGATATCTACATTTTTTATCTTGTATTATAAGATAAAAAGGGAATGGTCGGTTGTCGCTTACCTGCCAGCTGATTCGCGAAGAGAGGTTCTCCACAATGAGCCTGTGGTCCGTCCGCACAGGGGGGCCATACCTGTCCAGTCAACGCAAACCAAAAAAAAGCTTTTAATACAACATTTTAGGTAAGATTGGGGGCCAGTAGATCAGACAGACAGAACACATTTCTTCTATTCATGTTCACATCAACATTTTAGTTGACTAGGGTTCGGAATAACCGTTTCCAATTAAAACTCCCGATCACGGTCAAACCTGCTTACTATCACCAGCATTAATGTGGCTGATACTTTTCTTTTGAGAGTTCAGACACAAGATTCACAAACGTACGTTGGGAGCAAAAGCGGGATAAGAAACATGTTATACTGGTTTTACTGCAAGTTTGACACAAACAACCCACGTTCAAGTGTCAACAAACACAAAACTTAAGTTATTGCTTAGGCAAATGTACCTGGATCCACTGCTGCGAGATGGACGATAGCCACCGCCTCCACTGCTGCCGCCGCCGCCGCCACCACCTCCCCCACCTCCGCCAAAACGTCCTCCCATTCCTCCAGGACCGCCACCCCTTCCTCTTCTGGAGCGAGCATGCTCGATAGTGACCCTTAAAAAAGGAGAAATTATCAGGAAAATACATTTTAAGCTGATTTGAATTAATAGGCTAGCATTAAGTAGTAAGTATCAGATTTCTACCTTTCACTGCATAATTCTTTGCCATTTAACTCATAGACAGCATCATCTGCATCTCTGTGGTCATCAAATTCCTGAAAGAGATGTAATCAAAAAGTGATTCTCTAAACAAAAAACAGGATTATAACTTGATCCACAACAGCTGATCACAAGTCGGTCACTCACCACAAAGCCAAATCCATTCTTCAGGTTGATTTCTCGAATCCGCCCATATCCCTTAAAAAACTTCTCCACGTCCCTCTCCCTGGCGTGTGGGCTCAAGCGCCCGATGAAGACACGGCAACCACTCATTGTTATCTGCTGAGATGATAAAACACAAGACCTGTTAAACATTAAACCAAACCAGGGGGGGGGACTTGGTGTTTGTTGCTTAGGCCCACGGTGTTTGCTTCACAATCCAAAGGGTTCACAGTTCAACGCTTAATCGTTTGTTACTAATAAACTGCATAAGGGGGTGAATAGGCTGAGCGTTGAAATGGACATATATAAAAAAATAAGACATCAGGACTCTGTGGAAGTCATTGTGTTCTTTAAACAAAGGCAGAGGCCGATTCATCAGGTCTAGGTGGAAAACTATTCGAGGGAAACCTGATCAGGACCAAACACAAGCGATACGGCTACTCCGATCGTACCAGTTTTCCCGTAATTAACTTACTATTTTGGCGCAAACTAACCAACTAGTTTCGGCTATGACCCATTACAAAGATATCGCCATTTCGGACAGTACAATTGGATGGCACCGTTAATACGGGCCTCGTGTTCAATTTCACTAACGTTAAGGTGTTTTTTTTTGCTCTCAATAATTGATTTATTAAATTGTATTGTGTATACGTTGTATTTTAATATATTCAACGTTAACCAACAAGCGTAACGTTAGATTCTCTCGGTGGAGAAAATGGCATCGGGCCCGGCTAACGCGTGTACCGTTAAGCAGCAGGCCTCAGCTACGACCACGCACGTCTCTTAGCTAACCGTTAAATGCACGATTACGTCGAATGATCACCGAAAAGACGAAGTGCGATGAGCGATGGTCCCGAGTAACATTAACATTGGCTAGCGTCATATTAGTTAGATTATGCTTGCTAAAAAATATTTGTCTCGTTCAGAACGGTCGTTGGCTGCCTCGAGGCCTACTACGGTTAGCTCGGGCGAGCTAGCCACCGTTAGGTTAGCCACAAAGACACAGTTCCCTTTTAAGAAAATTCGTGCCCCACGGTGAAAGACTATAAAAAGAGATAGAATTAATAACATGTTTAATGCAGAGTCAATCACATGCTTACCTTTTAATACTCAGATCGTCTCAGGTTTCGATGTTTAGGTCGACGTAAAGCTTCAACGATGTGTCGTGTGGTCTCGCTACTGCTCGACTACGCTTAATCAAAATGGCGAGTGGGTTAAAGGATGGAGGAGGGAACCGGAAATGCTGCAGCTGCCTTCAGGTTGCCAGTTTGAGGTTAGTCAATAGCCTCCCCGGTCAATCCTTCACTTGGTGGAAGATGACGATTTCCCCCCCGTTTTAGTATTCAAAAAGGTCATTGCATCGGCTCTGTTGACGTATGATGGCGAATAAAAAAAACGGCATTTAATGTTGAGATACACTTGATTTGATAATGAAAATAATATGTGGAGTTGTTCTGTATGCCCCTCATGAGGGGCATACAGAACAGATTTGGCAACCACCAAGCAGAAGAGACTTAAGTAATCCAGGGTCCTCCCACTTACATTACTATTGTATACGCTATATGTATACATATTTTATTCTTAATATGTATATTTTGTTGTTATTCTAATTGTCACAGTGGTTTTATACATGTTTCTTACTTTTTCTTAATTTACTAAATCACATCTTTAACATCCATTATAATGCTACATGAATTTTTAAAGAATAGTGACGCATGTATATCAAGACAAGACATTTTATAGCTTAAGAATAAACTTGGCATTTCTTTTTGATTGAAAAAACTACTTTGAATCTACTTGAACCCATCTTTAACATCTCTCTGCTGCAATTTATACAACATAGACAATTACATGTTAAATCTGTTATAAGCTGATATTTGCATATATATTGGCCCAGTTGATCTGCCTAGTTTTATTTGAGATCTGGATTTAAGAAATAGTTAATTTAATTAAAATGTCGGTTCTTTTGGCATATCAGGTGAAAGTCAAGTTAAATACCTGCTACATTTCCCACCCCTCCTATTTGAGGCTACAATAGAAAAAAACATATATTTCTTTAGTTATTCTTTCTATTTATTCTGGTACCATCATCATTCTTTCTGGGATAAGAAAAGCCAAATACTGGGTTACAGGTGAGAAATAAGGGAAACATTCCTGGTCTGCTCTGCAGAAAGACTTCTGAGAACTGATTCGTACAATATAATACAAAATATGACATCCAAAATGAATAGGAATGTAGCTTATTCAAGAACATAAAGAATAAGTCAATTGTGCCCTTTTGGGGGAAAAGGGGGGGGGGGTACTTGCATGTTTTGCTAATTACACATAACTTTATGACATCCCATTTTTCCTTCATGAGCATCTGATTTTCTCCCTGCAGCAAACCTCAGTTCAGTTCACAGATAAAATAAATAATAAATAAAATTGTATAAGTCTGATATTTCGGGAAAGACACTTTGTGCTGCTGTATTTCCGTGTTAGAGAAGTTTGACACCACTATCAAGCCTGGAGGATAAATATGACGCCCCATAGTATTCAGTTAGCTTAGCGTGAAGACTGAACATGGGGAAACCGCTGGCCTGCAACAAAACAAATCCGTCAAGTTGTCTTTTTAAAACTTTTTTGTTTTATTGGAGCAAATTGAGTGTTCAGTCTGCTGGTGGGGGAAGTTTGCCATCCTTAAAAGGGGCCCGGCGAGCTGGAACTGCTTCAATCCTTATGCTGAGGCTGAGCTACGCTAACCTAGTTTCCTGCCGCACATTCATACTATCCCACCATGAAAATGTCGTTCAATTTCTCATCTTACTCTCTATAAGAAGGCAAATAAGTATATTTCCCAAAATGCGTAACCTATTTCTTTAACAACTTCTGTCACTCAAAAGGTAGATATTTCTTTTCTTATTTTCCATGGCTGCTTAATCTTCATTGGTTTAATGGTGAAAAAGGTGATTAGATCATTATCACAGAGGAACATTCTCTGGGCGTAAATATACATTTCCGTTTTATAAAGACTGTTTGGATATAAAAGCGTAGACAAAAATTGTACTAGATCAAAGTCAATAACTTGAGCGTCTTGGGTTTCTTTGTGTTTGTGTCTCTGAGATGTTCACAGAGAACCGCTGTTGTCCAGGCGAGGCTGAATTAACGGCGACTACTCAACAGTATTTGCCCTTAATTGTTTACAACTTTCTATCCACTGGTTACACCGGTAGCACACTGCCAGTTCATTGAATAAACAAGCTCCAGGTTGTATCATTCATGTTAGAAAAGGAAAAGAGAGGAAATACTTGATATGGTCAGAAGTGTTGCGTTTTGTCCCAGTCTTTCAATATGCAACATTTTTACATGTTCCGACAGAGCTCGAGGAACAATCAGAAATTCTTTAAACCCTCTAAAATGGCCATGTTTAACTGCTTCGGTCCCACACAATGAAAGGCCACATAGAGGTTATTGAACGAGAACTTGTTGAAATTGAGCTGAGAAGCAGTTTCCTGGTAAATGCCACTTATAAGTAGCCTCGGGTGTCTCGACAGCTGTTCTGCAACAGCAGCTCTGAAGGCAGGGCAGGGAACAAGGCTGGAAAGGGTTTACAAGTTCATGGGGGAAAAAACAACAGTAATATTGTACTACAAACTTCAGATCTACAAGTGGCTGCGGTGGAGCCGGAGCACACGCTTCACGGCGCTCACGTTGTTCATCCTGTTGCCGGGAAGCGTCGCCGCAGCTCTGAAGTCACCTTTCATTAAAAGAGGCCACATCTTCACCTCCTGCCTCTTTACTAACAGGATGAACAGTATGAGGTGAGCCGGTTCCTCAAGCCTACCAGTGCCCCGGCCCTTGAGCAGGGGTGGCATTGGAGGTCAGTGCACGTTGGGCAGTTCACACCCGCGTGTGGCGGCAGCTGTGGGAGGAGCCGGCGGGCGCGGCCCCGGACGGGGACGAGCGGTCGTCGTCGCTCGACTCGTTGTGCCCCTCCTTGTGGAGGCCGAGGCTGATGTGGCTCTGCAGGGCGGCCGGGGTCAACCACTCCTTGGGTAGGCAGCTCTGCAGGAAGGGCACGCAGGAGCTGAAGTACGCCAGTCTGTTGACCCAGCGAGGGATTTCACGTCCACACAGCAGCTGAAAAGAGTTGCAATAATACGTGAAACACTTTTGTCTTTCTTTCCATAAATGCTCAAGACATAACAAACAAAACATTCAAAAATTAATGTATGTATGTACTAAGGAAATGGATGTGTAGTTTCTTCCAAACCATAAAGGGCTATCCCTGCAATTTAGAGTTGCACTTCAACTTTACACGTGGTCAATTTTTATTATTTGTTACAGGCTAAATGTTTACAATGTTCATCACCTTAGTGTCACATGTTAGCGTGCTTATATTTAATTGCAGCTGAGGATAAAGGGAATGTAACCAGTTTTGCATGTATTTGGGTCGTAAAGCAAAGCATTTGACAAATCAAAAATAAGCTGATCATAGAACAGGAAAAGGGGTTGAGCTGATATAAACCTGGGGACGTCAACAATTATTTTGCCATACTTACAATACAATCGTTCTTTTACACCTTCATTTGTGAAACCGGTGCAAAACCGCTTTAGGTATCAGGACAAACTCATGTATTATTTATGTCTAACCTCATTCAATTCAATGAGACGGTGACACGTCACACCAGACACACCTTTTCATTCAATTCAATGAGAAGGTGAAGAAGTCATGACCGGTACTTTGTATGTAAAGCTTTATAAGAGTTGTTGTGTATCTGGTGGTTTGTGTCCATATAGATACATGTAGGAACAACACCGTATCAGACTGACCTCAGACAGCGAGGACGAGAAGTGGTTGCAGTTCTTGTGCATCAGATGGTAGGCGTTGCCTTTGAAGTCTTTGCCCAGCTCCTCCATGATCTTGTCAATGTCCTCCTCTGTGAAGTCGGTGGTGCCCAAAATAATGGCCTCTCTGTTTGGAAGCAGGGAGGAAACCTATCAGCACACATTAACATTAAAAACCCCTCTGAGCACTGTATGCTAAGAATGAAGCGCGCTCACTTGAATTTGAATGTCTCTCCCAGCTCGGAGGCGTTCCCCGGAGTGATCTCAAAGATGCCACTGAACGGGTACGGGTGGCCCCCATATGCAAACTCTGTGAGGACATGGACGCATAACACACATTGACTCCTGGCACCGACGCACCAAACGATTGTGTGGTTACACAACAGAGAGAGCAATTAATCACTGACACAGTGTGCTTAAATCATTAAGCCGGGGCTGATTACAGACCTCTCTGCTCTGTATTTACAGCAGTGGAACAGAAAACAGGGTTGAACTCTGGGAGCCAAAGCATGTTAAATAGAGCGCCTGGCACTGTGAGCCACCTTTCATCTCCATCTTTAATCTGTTCACGTTGACAACCAACACACAGCGTTCCTTATCGGAAAGCATCAAACACACATGGACAAATACAGCAATTTAATCTAACACCATAAAGCATGTCTTCTACTTATATGTATGGATATAGTAGGAAAGTAATATTTAAACATGTGCACACACCTGAACTACAGTTCAGAGGGAAATATTGCACATTTTACTTTATAACTCAGTTAACAACATATTAACAATTGATGATCTTATAAAATATTCTACACTGTTATAGATTACTTCAGACCATAGAAATGTAACTAACTAAAGCTGTCAAAGTACAATATGTGCCGTTGGAATGAAGCAATGACCAAATAGCAGAAGAAGGAGTACCGGAAAATGTTTTCTAATTAGAGTACTTGAGTACATGTATTTGGTTACATCCCACCACTGTCTATGAGTTATGGAGTTACATAAAATGTATCAATAAATCCCCTGAAAACTCAGATGTTTTGCACCTAAGTATTTTGATTAAATCCACATTTACTCTTTGTAAAACCCTGTGACACTTTTGTCCTTTGAGCTTTAACCCGACAGTGATCAGGTATTACATACATATATACATATATATATATATATATATATATATATATATATATATATATATATATAATCCTTACACAAACAGAAGTGATTGCTGGCCTATTAAGGAATGCATTTTTTACTATCATCTTATTTCATGGTGCACAGAGACAACATTTCTGTTCGGTTAGGGCATAATGCCCAGAGATCTCGTTTCATGCTGGTTTCTGCTTCTCTTTCTTCAAAGCACACACATATTGTACAACACACAGCGTGCCAATTGTGACTCAACCCAGAAAAAATAGGTCATGTTATTAGGACCAAAAGTCCATATTCCATTTTTAAAACCAGACTTCATCAGCCTCGTGCAAAGCGCCGATGTTGAGGGCGCCGGTCCGAGTCGGGTCAGCTGCGCTGCAGTGGGATTGTACAGACATCAGGGGACAGAGGAAAGGTCTTACCTCTGCCATATATCTCAATGCCTGAGTGGAAGACTCCAATCCCCAGATTGGAAGTGTATTCATTTATCCAGTACTGCAGGGAGGGAAAGGAAAAGAGAAGAGGGCTTAGTTCTGGATTAACATAAAGAGTCATTTGTGTTGTATCAGGATATAAACAACACAGCAGCTCCACACAAAAACGTTGTTTATTTCACCAGAACAACCAGTATTTCTCATTAAATAAATCGAAAGTTTTGACAATCTGCATTTTTAAGAAAATATTCAACATTTTTTTTCCTTTTATCAGCTTATTCTTTCGCATGACTACAACAGCGGTGGCGTCCCAGCGTGCACCGGGCAGAAAACAAGGGAAACACCCAGAACTGAGCCATCACGAGGGCAATCTAACAATCACACAATGACGCTCTGATCTGTTTAACCCGCTGCAACGACCGAGACATCATTGGCCACCAACGCTCACTGACACTAGACGCCCCTGAGGAATCACACTAAGAGCTGTGCACGCTGCCCCAGCTGTCCCATATTAATAATAGAGCTCACTGATGGTCTCAGAGTGATACAATAAAAGCATTTCCCCCTCTTCGCTTTGTGTTAACGGGGTCATATTTCTGCAGTAACTTCCACCCATTTCAGCTCTTAGCATTTGCTTTCTTTTCTTTTTCATACCCGCCAGGGAACAATAATAATGGGAAGCTCAGCTTCAATGCACAAGGACGACGTTTGCTCCAGAAGAGTGAGATGAGATTGTGACGAGCTGAGTATCAAATGACTTTCAGTCGGCAAACAAGAGAATTAGCAACAATAGCGCAGCAGTGACAAATCTTGCTGATACAAACCACTGTTCTCGGATGCTGTGCCTCATCCTTCTCGGTCCATAACAACAAATTGCTGCAACGATCCATACCGCCCGCCCCCCCCCCAACATCCTGCCTCTGCGGATGCAGCATCCACTACACCCATCTGTCACATTGACCTCACGTTGGAGGCATCGCTTCATCGTCAACCCTTCTGCTCGCGGGATTCACTCTCGGGTGGAAACTTGCTGCCTCCTTCGTGTTTGATCCTCGGGTAAAAGCAGGAAGCACCTGTTCCAAGGCTGTATTTCCAGTTATTATAAATGTAAATGGGATATAGACTTTTTTTGCATTTGAAACAGAAGAGAGAAGTTCCAGTTTCTCTTTTTTCTCCCTGTAGCCGTTAGATGTATTTACATATTAGTTTACGCTCTACATGGTAGTTTTCAATGTCAGTGGCGGGTTCCGTCATCCCCACTCCCAATAAAAAGTACTTCTACATTTGTAGAATAATGACTAATCATAATAACCACCTCAGCCCACGGGGAGTTAACGTTAAGCGCTACCAGTGTGGACGAGGTCGACAATATTGCAGCTGTTTTGGTGTGACTGGAGTAATTCTGTGGTCATGTTGTGTAACATTCACACAGGAGGTTGTTCAGCAGCACAGACAGAAGAAGAGGAACATGTCTGAATGAAGACCCTTGTCCTTTAGGGGGGGGGTGTACATGTGTGTCTTTGTACGTGCATCATGTCACACGGTTGAGAGAAGCTCTTGTTCCCAAGGAACCTCTCTTATCTACTGTCTCACCTTTTTATTTTGTACATTTCACTCCCTCAGATAAGGACATTAAACACTCTTCACATACCACCTCAATCTATGACGGTTCTCCCCAAGTTAGATTGGAAATGATTTCAATGTGACATCTATTAGACGTGCAGGGGAGACGGATTAAACAAGCATCGGTAGGCGCTGGAAAAATGATTTGGACAAACAGTCTTACGTTGAGGACAGAAAACCTCGGTGTTTCATGTACGTGCGAGTCCAACTTGGACTTTTACAACTTTAAAATAGCTGTGAAGTGCACCAGTGAAACAGGTGTGTGGCGGGCCTGCTATTTCTGGAGCTAGATTCACTTCCTCTGCTGGTGTCAGATCACACAACCCCCCCCCAACTCTCTCTCACACACACACACACACACACACACACACACACACACACACACACACACACACGCACACACACGCACACACACACACACACACACACACAACGGAATAAAAGTGGCTGAGGGGTTCTTACCATATCATATACGTTAAGGATGACGGGTTCACTGGCCATGGTTTAAACCTGAGCTGGAAAGGCAAACGTCCCCCCTCCTCCTCCACGCTGTCACGGCTGCAAGGAGCTCCACGCCCCGCTGAAGTCACAGGGCCACACGGCGGACAGCAGCACCACCGGGCGGGGGGCAGGCTGCTCATTACCCGGAACACGTCCCGAGAGAAACCGGACGAGTGGCGCGTGTGGTCCCCGGTGGGTCACTACGGCATGTCGGGCGGCGAGAAAGGGAAATTAGGAAGAGGAAGAAGAAGAGGAAATCTTCGAAGACGAGCCGCTGTGCCGACAAACCGCGGCCGGTGACGTAGAAAGCGGCAACGGCTCAAAACGCGGCGGCGGCGGCGACGACGACATGATCCACGGCGGCCGCGCGGGGCCTACGAGCGGGCGAAGAGGCGACGGCCGGGGCGGGCCGAGGCCGACGGGCGGCGGGCGGAAACAACGCCTCTCGGTTCAGTGCACCTGATGGAGTCCGGAGGCGCCCCAGCATCACCGGCCGGTGCCGCTCCTCCCGCGGACACTTTGACCCCCGAACCGCTCCGATGGAGGGGGGGTTTCTCCTTTCTCCTCCGTCCCCTGTTTTGCTTCCAGATGCTCTCAGACGCAGCCGACGTGCATCCGAGCGGCGTGGTTCTCCGGCGATGCCTCCCTCTCCCTCCTGGTGGGGCTGGAGCTTCACATTACATCATATCTGCCTCCGCCGGCAGATGGGCGCGCGGCCGCTGCGCGTGTGTGCGGGAGCGCGTTGTGTTCTATCATCCAGCCCCCTTAAATTTAAACGTTATGAGACACTAGGACGCCGTTTTCTGCAAAGATCTGTGCTTCCATCGTCAAAGTTTGTTTTTGTGAACTATTCCCGCTTATAAATGATGACATACACAATCCCAGGTGGGCCACATAAACAGGATTATTACAACCTTATCAACTGGTTTACACCATGACACTGAATAATAATCAATAAATGTGCATTTTTACTATTGTCGCCATGAATCGATGGAGTCCGATCAGTCTCATTAATTACAAATACAAACAAAAGAATTCACATATATATTTAATTTACAAATAAATATGACTCCCACAATCTTGGTTAAAAGGTTGCCAAAATTACCAACAATGCTGTCAATATATCCGGGAACCCAATTCTGTCCTTTCACAATAAGACTTCCTGCTTACTCCTCCAAATAGAGCAATAAAAGCTTTTCTTCGTCGCCCCAGCATCGCACGCAAGTCCACTTTCTCTCATCAAACTAACTTTCTGCTAGTGATGGGAAGTTCGGATCATTTTACCGACTTGGTTCTTTGAATCTCGTTCAGTAAAATGAACAAATATTTTTTTGAGTCATTCGTTCATTTCAAGATAAATTCCTACATTAAAATAATGTATCATGACAGTCTGGATGATTTGAAGTAATCATTTATTTTCACACTAGCATTCAATTATCACGGCATAACTATTACGCTGAACTATAAGTAAAGTACAAAAAAGTTAAAATAACAAAACCTGTAATTATTACTTGTGAAAGAATATCATTCACGTCTTACTAAACCTAGCCACGCGAAAATGAACGATGTAAACAAATCCTTTCTGTTTCCTCTTCTGAGCGCAGGTCACGTGAAAAATGATCCTAAGATCCGTATCCGAAGACCCAGTCAAAATGAACGAATCAGTTCTGGTTTCTCTAGCTACCAGTGCTGAGCCTCTGCAGGTCACGTGAAAAATCTGTATCCGGCAGATGAACGAATCGTTCACCTCCCGACCGTGTCTTCGGGTCAATAATTCGTTCATCGTTTTCATTTTCACGGCGTTTACGTGCGTTTACCCTCCACTACAGCCCTGCTTGGAACGATTCGTTCAACGACACATCACTACTTTCTGCAGTAGCGGACACATTTGTCCCGTATTTTCCTCCAGAACTTTGGGCACCTCTCGACCGGCAAACCGGCGCTTACGGACATCTCCCTCCGTGAATCCAACCCGCCAATGACGGCTTGTATAAGCGGTCATATTTACGCATTTATTCCGACAAAAGTTCTTAAATCTGATCCGTTCTCTCGTAAACATTCTTCGTTTTAATAATGGCGGTATCGTGCTATGAAAGCGGAAATGTGAGACTCCGTAAAGGACGTAGTTAGCGGACCAATCGCAGCCTGGTGCGCTGCGGGAGGCTTGCGTTGCTTGCGTCGCTTTTGACGCAAGCCTAGAAAAATGGCTCGACGCAGGGAGGTGTGAAAAGGCACGCAAGGGGGGCTTGCGTCTGCGTCGCTCTGAAAACGCAGAAACATAAAATAGGCTTTGGACATGTAAATTACGTTAGATTATCACTATATAATCATTTTTACTTGTATGGTGACTAATCCTTAAATTAAAAAAACATATTAATTAATACATGAATTTTGGATTTAGTATTATACCATATAAAATAAAAAAGACAACTAGATGTGTTACAGGGTTCAATGATTGTCTCATTGAGAACAAACCCTCTGATTCGTTGGCTGATTTTAGTCACTAGAGACAGTTGAGATCAAGCTACCATTAACATTGGAGTGAATAAATTAGAATATTTAGAATTTTTCATTTTGGGGGAAGTTAACACACATTTTTCTGATCTGCTTTTTGTCATATTTATTTATTTATCTATCTAAACTGTAGGAGCGTTGACGGGCTGCAGCGTGGAGGTTCATTGAGTCTCTGATTGACAGAGTGGGAGAGAAGATGTCGTCTGTCGTCCAGCAGCAGAGAACAAACAGACATTCATGACTCTGCAGTTGCACTTGACTGCGTCATTAGAGACGCTCACACGTCCCGTTGAACTCGTTGAGCTTGAATTTGTGTTATTTGTGGAGAATTGAATTTGTTTTATTTGTGAAGAATTAAATTTGTTTTATTTGTGGAGAATTGAATTTGTTTTAATGGTGGAGAATTGAATTTGTTTTATTTGTGGAGAATTGAATTTGTTTGTGCTTTGAGTTGCCTGACTTCATTCTTTAGAAACATTCATGTTTTAATCAAAATGTTCCATAGAGGAAGAAGTAGAGGAACACATGTTCATCTACTTTAAATATTCTCTTCTTTTGCCGTTATTCTAAGACAAGATGTTTTATTACAGGAAGAAGAGAGTCAACAATTCAAATCAGGCTCAAAGTGTCGACTCACACCTGCGTGTGTCATTCAATTTATTCAAGTCAACAAATAACAAAGAACATGAGATTTTCTTTGGTTATCAAAATGTATTTATTATTGTTTAGATAATAATCACATGAGATTACTTACATGATACAATAACACACATACAAACAATAACAATAATACAACACAATGATTGGGGGGAAATCTGAAGGAGTTCCTGAGAAGAAAGAAAAGAAGTAGTTATTGACATGTTAATGTCGTTAGTGTGTCTGTGTGTAGAACAAAATGTTAGTTTGTCTATGTGTACATCTAAATGTTAAATGATCTATGTGTATCTCAATATTAATGTGTCTATGTGTACATCTCAATATTGGTGTGTCTATGTGTACATCTAAATATTAATGATCTATGTGTACATCTAAATGTTAGTGTGTCTATTTGTACATCTAAATATTAATGATCTATGCGTACATCTCAATATTAATGATCTATGTGTACATCTCAATATTAATGATCTATGTGTACATCTCAATATTAATGTGTCTATGTGTACACCTATATACCCTATATAGGCTGCCATACATCATAAATCGGCTCTTACAGGTAGTGTGTCTATGTATACATCTCAATATTAATGTGTCTATGTGTACATCTCAATATTAATGTGTATATGTGTACACCTCAATATTAATGTGTCTATGTGTACATCTCAATATTAATGTGTCTATGTGTACATCTCAATATTAATGATCTATGTGTACATCTTAATATTAATGATCTATGTGTACATCTCAATATTAATGTGTCTATGTGTACATCTAAATATTAATGATCTATGTGTACATCTCAATATTAATGATCTATGTGTACATCTAAATCTTAATGTGTCTATGTGTACATCTCAATATTAATGATCTATGTGTACATCTAAATGTCAATTTGTCTATGTGTACATCTCAATATTAATGATCTATGGGTACATCTAAATATTAATGATCTATGTGTACATCTCAATATAAAGTGTCTATGTGTACATATAAATATTAATGATCTTTGTGTATCTAAATGTCAATGTGTGTCTAAATAATTATGATTCTAAGCCCGGCTCCCAGCCGCCCGTCCTCCTCTTCTTCATCAAATTCACCTTCCATTTAACAACAGTCAACCAGTTTCGTATGTATTTTACCCGGGCAGACAGCTATGTTCTGAAAAGTTTATACTAACCTTTCAGAGAAAATGTTTGTGTCCACGAGCTTATGTTAGCCTCGCAGAATTAATTTATGCTGAAAGTTTATACTAACCTTTCAGAGAAAATGTTTGTGTCCACAAGCTTATGTTAGCCTCGCAGAATTAATTTATGACGAAAGTTTATACTAACCTTCCGGAGTCAATGCGTCTGTGAGTTTATGTTAACCTCTCAGACTCAATTATTAGGTCTGTCTGCCCTCCTTAGAACATACTTCCAAAACTTATTTCTTAAAGTGCATTTCTCAACACATCTCATTTATCTATTTAATCACTCCTCTCTCTCCCCCTCCACACTCCCATGTATCCCATGATGTATGGTAAACGTGTGACAGGACTAATATTGGAAAATAAGTGGACTTGTTTACAACAACACAAAGGCTACAGGACTCTAATTCATCCGTCATGAGACAACAGCGGCGCGTCAATGAGGGTTTCCGGAAAAAATGCCTCAGTGGCTTAAAGCGTTTGCTTAGTCTCTACGTTCAAAGTCAAAACTGATTTTCTTATACCGGCTAGAAACACCTGCCGAGCCCACAAATGTTCCTATCGTATATAGGCTGACCCGCCCATCAATCAGACGCTGCCATACATCATAAATCGGCTCTTACGGGTAGTGTGTCTATGTGTACATCTCAATATTAATGTGTCTATGTGTACATCTCAATATTAATGTGTCTATGTGTACATCTAAATGTTAATGTGTCTATGTATACATCTAAATATAAATGTTTCTATGCGTACATCTCAATATTAATGATCTATGTGTACATCTCAATATTAATGTGTCTATGTGTACATCTAAATGTTAATGTGTCTATGTGTACATCTCAATATTAATGATCTATGTGTACATCTCAATATTAATGATCTATGTGTACATCTCAATATTAATGTGTATATGTGTACATCTCAATATTAATTATCTATGTGTACATCTCAATATTAATGTGTCTATGTGTACATCTCAATATTAATGTGTCTATGTGTACATCTCAATATTAATGTGTCTATGTGTACATCTCAATATTAATGATCTATGTGTACATCTAAATATTAATGATCTATGTGTACATCTCAATATTAATGATCTATGTGTACATCTCAATATTAATGGGTCTATGTGTACATCTCAATATTAATGATCTATGTGTACATCTCAATATTAATGATCTATGTGTACATCTCAATATTAATGTGTCTATGTGTACATCTCAATATTAATGATCTCTGTGTACATCTCAATATTAATGTGTCTATGTGTACATCTAAGTATTAATGATCTATGTGTACATCTCAATATTAATGATCTATGTGTACATCTCAATATTAATGATCTATGTGTACATCTCATTATTAATGATCTATGTGTACATCTCAATATTAATGTTTCTATGTGTACATCTCAATATTAATGTGTCTATGCGTACATCTCAATATTAATGATCTATGTGTACATCTCAATATTAATGTGTCTATGTGTACATCTCAATATTAATGATCTATGTGTACATCTCAATATTAATGTGTCTATGTGTACATCTCAATATTAATGGTCTATGTGTACATCTCAATATTAATGTGTGTATGTGTACATCTCAATATTAATGATCTATGTGTACATCTCAATAATAATGATCAATGCGTACATCTCAATATTAATGTGTCTATGTGTACATCTAAATATTAATCTGTATATGTGTACATATGTATATATATGTATGTATACATATGTGTAAAATTGGCAAATAAGTGGACTTGTTTACAACAACACAAAGGCTACAGGACTCTCATTCATCCGTCATGAGACAACAGCGGCGCGTCAACGAGGGTTTCTGGACAAAATGCCTCAGTGGCTTAAAGCGTTTGCTTAGCATCTACAGATTAGTGTGTCTTTGTGTACATCTACATGTTAGTTTGTCTCTGAGTACGTGTGTGTGTGTGTGTGTGTGTGTGTGTTGTCCGCTTATCTGAGTCATGCGTAGATCTGGAGCTGCTCCTGAGGGGGCGACTCTCAGCACGTCCTGATGGCGTCCTGATGGCGTCCTGATGACATGGCGTCCTGATGGCGTCCTGATGACGTCCTGATGGCGTCCTGATGGCGTCCTGATGGCGTCCTGATGGCGCCCTGATGGCGTCCTGATGACATGGCGTCCTGATGGCGTCCTGATGGCGTCCTGATGACATGGCGTCCTGATGGCGTCCTGATGACGTCCTGATGGCGTCCTGATGGCGTCCTGATGGCGTCCTGTTGGTCTACAGAGACAAGGAGAAGAGACGTGAGGAGGAGCATCAGGATGTGAGACAACATTCATGAATCCAATTATTTTAATTTGATAAACCTTTTCAAAATTCTTTCATGTTTGTATTTGTGTGTGTAAGTGTACATT